CAGCAAGGATTGTCTCGTTGTCTCTCTTTGTAAGGGCTCTTCGGCATAATGTAAGTATGCTATCTTTGGTGGTACGAGTATTACTCAACCTTCTCACTGTATATTCCTATCAAGTGTCGTTCCATAGCTTATAAGCCGAGTGCCAACGTAGCGGGTCTTATCAACAAGCGGACGATTGCAAAGAATCGGCTTGATTTGGATATCAGCAGGATTTCGTGCATACATGGGTATCATTGGTAAATAGTGATCCATTCGTTTCTACAACGCCTGCCAACCTCTTCGCTTATTATAGTATGTGGTCTATTCAGCAAGCTACTTGTCTTGTGCCCTTTGGATTATTAATGGATGAAGCTGTCATTGGATGTCGAGATGTTTTCGTGCGTATGGCTATCATTGGTAAATAGTGGATGATCCGTGTTTTGGCTCCAATCCCAATCAACCTCCTCTTTTATTTAGTATGTGGGATATTCAGCAAGCTGCATGTCTTCTGGTGCATTGGGATTACTATGGATGCAGCTGTCATTGGATGTCAACATCTTTTGGTGCATGTGGCTATCATTGGTAAATGGTGATCCGTTCGTTTCTTCAACGCCTGCTAACCTCCTCTTTTATTATAGTATGTGGTCTATTCAGCAAGCCATTTGTCTTCTGGTTCTTTGGGTTATCATGGATGCAGCTGTCATTGGATGTCGACATGTTTTCGTGCGTATGGCTATCATTGGTAATTGCTGATCCATTCGTTCTACAACGCCTGCCAACCTCCGCTTTTATCTTAGTATGTGGGTTATTCATCAAGCTACTTGTCGTTTGGTCCTTTGGGATTTGCATACATGAAGCTGTCATTGGTAAATAATGATCCATTCTTTCTTTCAATGCCTACTAACACCCTCTTTCATGTGGGTTATTCAGCGAGCTACTTGTCTTGTTCCCTTTGGATTCTTGATGGGTGCAGCTTCATTGGATGATCGACAAGGTTTTATTCATATGGCTTTCATTGGTAAATAGTGGATGGCCCGTTTTTTTGGCTCCAACCCAACCAACCCCCTCTTTTATTATAGTATGTGTGCTATTCAGCAAACTACTTGTATTTTGGTCCTTTGGAATATTCATGGATGCAGGTATCATTGCTAAGTATCGTTCTATGTGTTCGGGAAAGTATTTACCGTGCATCGTTTATAGGCGAATCATGCCAGGGTCAAAGAGCAATGTCTATAGCATCCTTCAGTGTCAGCTTGCCTTATTACATCGTTCGATGGTTTTCGTTACTGTACCACCTATTGGACACTTCCTTTTATTTGCATCTGCAGCGGCAAGGCAACAAGTTCTATACCTTTTGGTATTGCCAAGTTTTATCTCGTCTTATTGTGGTCCTAGTTGTTGACAACCCTTTCAATGGATATCCTGCTACGCATGCCTGTTATGGGTGGATTATATCAGCCACAAGCAAGAAGCAGCAATGAGCCACAGAGCAGACATCTTTAGTGTCAACAACATTTATTTGATCCTCTGGTGTTCTCGTTATTGGCCAATTGATTTCAAGAGCCCTCTTCACCGCACGTATCTTATGGATGTATCACATCAGCAACAAACAACAATGTTACGTGTCCTTTTGGTGCTGTCAAGGTGTATCCATCTCTCATGGCATTCATCATCAAGTATCGCTTGGAGAAACGCTATCAGGATTGGTCACTGTGTCGGCATCTCTACAGCAAGGAAATGTGTTCTGATTACTGGGTAGCATCAAACATCGTGGATTCTCATATGACATTGGCTAAGTATTGTTACCATTACCTCAAAGATAAATTAGTGATATGCAGTTTTATAGGCCCATCATTCCATCAAGCTATAATCTCGCATGCTCTTTGGTGCCATCAAAGTCTCTCCTTAGAGCTGTCAATGGCGATTCCTATTGAATTGGAAGACGAAGATCAACATTTGAATTTGGGTGGGTGTCTCAGAAGCAAGCAAGCGATCTCTATCTTATGGCTGTGGTTGTCAAGGATACCGTTTCCATGGTTTTGGAAATCAGCTACCTACAAGTCGTCTCTTTATCGGTGGATCTTCAGAGCATTGTTTTTATCGGTGCCATGGCGGTTCTCGTTCCTCAAGTACTTGTATGGATACCTTGGAGCTTGGACGTTCTCTTACAAGTGAATATTCTCATCTGTGCTATTTCATCAAGACCGGATTTATTTGTTGCAGTGCATGATGTGTCTCTCATGACGCCTACCCAAGAAGGTCGCTTGATGGCAGCTACTACTGATATGGCAGATGTTTATTTGCTATGGGTAGAACGGGATGGTGCCTTACTCTTTTGTGTAAAGCATCGTTGGCAGCTATGATTCATTTGCGACAGTGTGGTCAGCCCTATCATGGCCCTATCAATTGCATTTGAGGATTACTGCCTTAGTCGTTGGAAGTTAGACTGCTACTCAGTGGCCTTGTGGTAGATATGGGATCATGTATTGCTTTTCGCTCTTATGGGTCGGCCTTTGTGGGCCTGGGATGCTATCCTTTTATCAGACCGAACATGTTGGCTCGAGCAGCACCTATAGAAGATGCTGTTGTTTACAATGGCAGCCCCCGTTATCCGGCTTGGTGCACCGTAGGGGAGAGGGTGACGGCAAAGCCTTCGCGTGGCCATCCTTGTCAGTACATGGGTTTCCATGGAAGCTAATTTGCCACCTTTATCATTTATATACTTATTACGCATTCATGAGCTTCACTAACAGTACTCTAATAGCTATACTTTGATGTTGGAAAGATGACGAATAATCTACAGCATACGTCAAGATAATACCATGGAGCAAGGCTTTCTTTGCAATCAATCAACGTTGAAGGTTACTTTTGATCATACCATTTTATCACGTGATTACAATTGTGTTCTGCATCAGGCTGTGAAAAAGGCAAGTTGGGCGGAGCAAAATTTGGGTATCCCTTTCACATCTACTCTTCTTTCTCTTCATCTGCATTTCACTCCACTGGACAATGACATCCACAGCAACTTCTTCACTACGATTTATTCTCAAACGATGACAGCACGTACATGGCACCTTGCACTACTCATTCTTTACGCGTCGTGCAGCGAACATGCAAAGAAACTAGCGCTCGGGTTCTTCTTCAAACTTGGTGACAACGAGCAACTACTTCCAGGGGATGTCTTTCTTGCGTAATATTGCAGCAGCATGTTGATCAGCTTTATCCATCACACAACAGCCATGTCATATAATCATTACTATCACCTCTTCGTCCACCCAAGACACGCGTCATTATCCAACAGCACACTACCGCAGGAGATTTGTATCATGAGTCACCCAGAGCAAGGTATAGAGGAGTATAGATGGGTTTGTTGATCAAGGAATGATAACTCATATTGCGGATCGTTCGTGAACCATAGGACGTGATGTTGGTGTAGAGTATACCATATCTGACGGCCATTGATATCCATTTTCAAGCATGCATCAATACAAGAAACTCCCGCAATACATCGTATATATCACAACATGGTTGGGCTGCCACAAAGAATCTGAGGCCACTCAATTACCCTATACACTCCATCCACCCATCATCACCCTCACGATAGACAATAGGTACAGGTAAATAAAAGGAATGACCTTCACGTATAGCGAAAGGTGTGTGCCATTTTACACTTTACATGATAATGATGATCCAATAACAGAAGTCATACTTGAGTCACCTAACAAAAAACACCTTTTAAGTGCAAGTGGACTTATCAGCTGTTGATGTACCATCACTTCGACTCGGTACTCCAAGATGCTTGACCACATTATCAGTTCGATCCATCATGACAACAATACCCACGCCCACTCACATATAAACAACGCTGTTGTCACCAACACTATCATACGCCCTTTCTTTCTACTTGTACGCATATCATCACCAATGACCTTTGGTAAGTCTCAAGGATAGTCTTTATGTGATTCCCAAAGTAAGGGTACTCATGCATTCATCTATGTAGCTCACTTCTTTGCTTTACCACTTGAAGTGCTCATTGATGCCAAATGACACTTGGCTGTGGTCCTTGATGGACCCTTTGTGGTAGGTATAGCTATCATTTATATTCCTCTTCGTTTATATATTGATACATGTTTTTGAAAGGATGCCTTGTACATTTGTTGTCAAAAGGCAACCCCGGTCTGATGGGGGATTTGGGACTTCTTTGCAGGTGACATAAGTACATCATCGCAACGATGGTGTGAATAGAGCTCCGTTTGAAGGAACCGCTGCTGCAGTCGTTAGTCAAGTAAATCCACTGGTTGGATCAACACTTGGCTTTGATCCATATGCAACAGCGTTTTCAAACTATCGAGGAAGGCAAGTACTTTTCGTGATTATCGTTTTAATTATGATGTAACGCATTAATCCAATACTATCTTTTAGCTATTCACTAGGCTTAAGGGAACGTTTAGGCATACCGGGCAGCCATTCCTGAGCAGTGGTGACTTGGAGTTTGTGACAGAGGCAGCTGACGGAGAAGATCCACAACAAATGCACTCAATCATGAAGCAGCAAGAAGTAAGTTTTAACCATTGTATTCTTATGACATTGGACCAAACTTTCATTATTAATAATAGATCGAAGAGAGAAGTCTATATTACGAGCCATGCTTAGAGAAGGCCCTACACCAGGTCATGGATTGGACGCCATTACTGGTAGTATTGCCGGAAGTGTGTGGGTGGCAGCCAACGTTGGTCGATTTGGTCAAACACCGAGGTGTGCATGAATCAACGTCGTCATATCAAAAACACTTGCGCCATCCAAGCCCAAACAGCGAATGGAGGGCATTCATTTGCAATACGTGAAGGAGCCAGAATTATTATGCATTCCATGGACGTTGCTCTTCGTATGCAGAACCGTTAACAGGATCTGTGGCAAAAGAACAAAAGCATCTTGATACGACCATGTAAATGATCCAACCTCCTTTTCCCCCTTTCAATCCAGAAAGCAACCAAGTATCCACGTCTTGCCCATATGGACTGATAGTATAATACCCCAATTATTACGTTGAATCCAATTTTCTTTCAATAAAAAAGTCGAAGAATAGCATATGGTAATGTGGATGTCTATTAAATTTTGGTATTACACGATCATACAACAATCGAAGTGTCAACATGTTATACTTCCTCCTGATATTATTATTCAACAACATAACATTTACTGATCTAAGCTCATTCTACAATGTGAATACCGAATATCGAAGCTTCAAAGCTATTCAAGGATTCAAAGTCGATGATGATTTACGTTGGATAGATGACTGCGTATGCATATTTCGGTGCGAGGTCATCAACGCTCCTCTCGTTCCATGCAAGAAATCCTTGTACCAAAATCTCGTCAAGAAGAACAAAGACCAAGTCGCAAAGCGTTTACTTGTTGTAGTACATTTAATGCTGAGGCAATGTCAAAGGTGTATGTTGGGGAGGTGCTGTTGCCGATGATTGTGTATTGCCTTCTGTACGTTTGATGTGCTGTGCGATCCACTCGTGATGCAATGCGTCATACGGTCGTAGCCTGTGTGCAGGATCCCATTGGAGACAACGACCAATAAAGTCAACAAATAAAAAGTCATGACAACCACCCAATGCATGTATCAATGGTTTGCATCCAGGACGTCGCTTACGACCACGATGACTGAATGATGGTCTTGGTCTGCCATCCAAATCTTTAGAGCAACGAATTAGCTTTATGCGCATGAATTTGCATGTCGCACAAACTTACCAAAAAACAAGTTCCGGCGGGTGCTTTGTTCAACCATATATGCGGGTGGCACGCCAAGTACTTCCATGATGCACACTAACTGGTCTTGTTCACTTTCACCCGGGAAAATAGGCATGCCCGTATACAACTCGGCAAGTATACAACCCACACTCCACATATCAATTGGTGTCCCATATGCCATTCCTATCACCATTTTAACCTCATTAGTCAAGGGATGATCCACCATCATATCCTTTTAACTTACCAAGAATCACTTCAGGTGCTCGATAGAAACGACTTTGGATGTATGTGTATACTAGAATTTGAATCATGAATACCTATTCCAGTGACGCACGTAGAGCTCCTCTCATTACCTCGTTCATCCTCGAAACAGCTGCTGCCAAAATCGATAACCTTGATGGACGTCTTATTGGGATGCTTCAGCAAGATGTTCTGTAACAATGATAGTTAGCTATAAATACTCAAAGGAAAGAACATAGCCATATTGGATTTACCTCTGGTTTCAAATCACAATGAGCTAATCGATGGTCGTACAACAAGCACAGCGAGCTGATAAGCTGGATTGTAAACCTATAAAGATATTATAAGTGGCTTTCCTTTTGAATGGCTTGTAATTTCTACTATACCTCCTAATCAAGCTTGGCTTGAATCCTGAAAAGTTATTGATCTTGATAAACTCATATAGGTTCATGCTGAGACATTCAAAGACGACGCACATGTGGTTTCGAAAATAGAAATGATCCAGCACCCGTATATTGTGGCATCGATCATCGGGATCCTAAGATAGTTGTTAATATCTTATGATGCATCACGAGCAAAATGCTATATACATTACCCAATCAACCAATTTTTTAAGAATGCGCACCTCGGTCAATGCCTGAGTTTGGAAACGTCGCTTGTTGCGTATTAACTTGACAGCTACTGAATGACCCGTCTTGTGATCGATACAGCGTACAACTTGACCAAATGATCCTTGACCAAGACGTTCAAGCACCTCGTAGCGGTAGGCGAGCTGATCATGAACCACAAGACGATAATCACCTCGCTCATCATCGTATCCATAGTTCAACACAGGATCATTGGGTCGGCCCTTGACCTTTCGAGCATGTGGTCCGAAAAAGTAGATATGGTCATAATCAAGAAGCTCATGCCGTTCGTACTCTGAGAGATACTGAGAATAATAGCGCAATACAACATGACAGGTCTTTGGGGTGCGTTCCTTTCGAGGTGATGATTGGCTGACTTGATTGATATCCGCTTCGCTCAAACGTCGTCGTCTTGGCGGTTTAGATTGCTGCAAGTTGTCCATCCCATCAATGCCTTCTCGAGCCTTGTCGTGTACATGATTCTGCGCTATCAAGCTTTCCAATTTTTCTTGTAGACCATCGGGTATAGAAGGACCCACGCCTAGTGATTTCACGCATTCAATATCCCAATTTTCCTCCATCGTCTTTTGTATACTTACTTTTCATGGAGACATCAGTGGATGTTGCTTCTGGATGCAATGGTGGGATTTGTGTAATCGATTCCAAGCTGTCATTGAACATGGCCTGTGGTCGTAGTTGAGGTGATAATGGTTCTTGCTCAGGGATCTCTTGTCCTTTGCCGTGCTTATTCATCTCTGGCAATGATTTGCTCTTCCATGGCTCCAAAGGTTTGCGACCTTGTGTAGCCACATTATCACTGGTCGTGGTTGGTGTTGTTGCCGCCGTCTTTTTGGATGATGCAAGGCTACTACTTTCAGTAGACGATGATGGTAAAACTGGTAGAGCATGGGTGGTTGAATCGCCTCCACAAAGTTGATGCGCTGGTGTCTCAATCCAATCATCATTGCATAATGTCGTAAAAGGTGTTGGCGCAGCTGAAAAAGATTTCTTTACACCAGCAGGCTTTGATGTGGCCGTATCAGCATGCTTTGATGGCTTGGATGATTGCTCATGTGGTGTTGTAATTGGCTTGGGAATATCCATGCTCAAAGGTTCCATCTTCATAGGCGGCAAAGGTGGTGCAAGAACGGGTGGTGGCGGTGGTGCTGCAAGGCTTCCAGGTAGCGTCTATTACCAACAAAGGGATGAATACACGATATCAACATTCCCATCCCAAGTTATTACCTTTCCACGACGACGATTCTTTTTTGTTGAATTGGCGGGTTGTTGTTTGCCGACAATGTTAGCTTGAGAATGTTCCAAAGACGTCATGGTTGTATCCTTTTGTTTTTGATCCGAAAAGCTCATGCGTTTCCATAGAGACATGGCACCTTTCATCAAGGATGACTCTCCACGTTTCCCCTGTAACGAATGCTGGCTACTGGTATCAATGTCCTTGTTTTCACCACCATCTTCACTGGATGTGCTTATCCCACTATTGTTGTGCGTAGCGGATTTAGCATCACCAGGCTTTTTGTTGGATTTGCCGACAACCTTTAAATAATGTTCAACACACTTGTGCATGTGACAAAAGAGAATCCTTTATTTACCTTACTATTGCTTGTGCTGTTAGAGGATGAGCGTGTCGGTAGTGGTGGCATGGGTGGAGTGAGATGTGTATTGGCTGCAAGATCATGTTGAGATCGGTTCTTTTGAAGAGGCATAGGGCGTGATGATGAAGAAATGCCTGTTGTAGAACGACGTCGTTGTCTCGTTGTGGTCGATGTTGTACGAGTAATTCCACCAATTGATCCACTTGACAATGTTCTCTTGTGCGACTCACGCTGTGGACCTTTCCCATCTGCTGGTACCAGTCCCAACTTATGCCTTACGTTGGTGATGATGTTGTCAGTTAAGTGTTGATCAGCTGCATGTGTTGATTTACGACGTTCTCGTCGTTTCTTGGTTGATCCATGTGAAGCATCAATAAGCTCATTCCTGATCTGCTCAATATCGACATTGGGTAAACTAGGTGGCGTATCTTGAGTGTCATCAGGTGGTGGAGGTGGCGATCTCAAGGAGCGTGAACGTGATCGACGAGTACCAATCTTTGACCATGATCGATTCCTTTTGACATTGCTGGTTGTTGTTCCTCGATCCTCATCCATCACCATGGATTTTGCCTTTGTACGTCGAGAACTTGTCTTTGATACATCCGTGCTACCACCATCATCTGATTCCTGAAGATCCAACCAATTCTGAGCAGTGGATATATTCGATACAAGATTGACAGCACTCAATTTCGATACGTCAGAGTTGTCATCGGCAGAGGCGGGTGGTGGTGAATGATTGACAAATGGGATACGCAATTCATGATCTTGTACACCAGAATCCGAATCGTCGGATTTATGAAGGGTCGTGGATGATGAAGGCTTCTTTATCGATTCATGCTGATGTTGACGAGACTTGGATCTTCCCAATAATCGTATATCAAATGCATCAAGAATGCTTTTGCGTTGCTTTGGTGAAGGTGGTACTTGTTTGCTGATCATTGACAGGGAAGGCTTGGTGTATATAGATCCTCGTTTGACACACACAAAGTAGTTGTATCTTCAATAAAAGGGCTGTCTTTTGTCGCGTGTTGCAAATGGACTGTGCGGATTGTATGCAGGAGGGAGTTGCTTAATGACTTGCCACCAAGGGGGTAGATGAAGGGTATCAGATGCAGAATGGGGGTATGACTCTACACTTGTTCGCACTTAGTAATGCAATTGCAACCGTGCATTTTGTTCATTGTACCTTTGAAGAGGCTGATGATGGGTTGGGTAGGGGCGAGAGTGCGGAAAAGAAAGGTCAACAGGCACTTTAAGCTGTCGAGAAAGAACAAAGGCAGTAAAGACGGGATTTATATTTGGAACAAAGGGACACCGAGCCACAGGCATCTCCTTGCTTCATCATGCAAAACAATCGACGTGTATTGCAGCATTGGTGTTGGGACGATTATAAAGAAGAGATCATCGCTGTGATGCTGCTCATCAATGATTCATGCGATACACAAGCACCTATATCAAGGTTCACCATTCTTCTCCCACGCAAATAGCTTATTTGATCACCTCAAAAGGAATGGATGTCTTGTAATGTTTGCTTTACGTTCCTTTGTTTCACCTCCTTTTGTCTTCGGAATCTTGCCGGTGATTGCCGGTATGGCGCTTGTTTCTCCTTGAGATCATCCATAGAGTGACCTGGTTTCAGCAGCGAAAATTGTATTGTTATGAAAGAATAAAGACGTGTTGGGTGGTAATTCAATGACATCCCAAAATGACCATTGTCATAGTAAAACGGGCACAGACTTGGTCATTTTCAAGCGTGGGTGTGCATCATGAGACTAAAGGGCTATCGTACAATGATGACTACTACTACAACGTAAGACAAGCTGCCATCAAACTCATTTCATGATTTATGCAATCATAGCAATGACATATCATGCCATTTGAATGCAAATGATCAATAATGGCTAATAATGGCTAATGATGATTCTCGATTGAAGTTGTTATGATTGTGGAATGGATCAACAAGAGTTTTACGTGTGTGCGTGTGTGTATCACAGGCCACCCCGTTCACAATCCATGGACGGGTACAACGGTAAAGTGATCCCGACACAGTTGCCCGGGAATGGAGTTTTTGTCGCACGAGCACATACACACAACAAATAAAGCGCATTGCAATGTAGATAAGAGCGCGGGGTGAGGAATAGGATGCATATGATTGTTGTTGTTGTGTCGATCGGGTGGTGGCGACTTGAGTTTGATGGTGATGAATGGGTTGTTGGGTGGATGAAACCATTGCATGGATCCGATGACTTTTGACTGGGGGCGGATTGTGTGGGGATCACCATCAGCAGACCTTAAGATGTCGTTGTTACTCACATGGTGATATGTAGTATAGTAGTAATAGTAGTAGCATGGTGGTCTTTTAACACGTCAGCACGGGGTAGTTAATGGATAACAACAAATGGGTCGGCTGAGGAGTGTTGTTCCGACAAACCCGATGGGTAACATCTTTTTTGTTTGGCATCACACGCTGTGGTGGGCGTTGATGAGAAAGTGTTCACAGCTGATCATCCGCGACAGGGAAGGAGACCTTTCTTGCCGAAGCACTGATGTGACACCACGCACCAGGGCCGACAGAGATAAACCGATGACCTGCTTACTTGTCGTACACACACGCACATACTCTTTTATATCAACCGCTTTGATTTCTTTATCCTTGTTTCTTTTTCTTCTCTCCTTGTTATTATCATCTACACACACCCTTTGCCCTTTTTTCTTTTACTCTCATGCCACCTAGTCCACCCAATAGCAACAACACAGCTCAAGGCCGTCACCATCATCATCATCATCACCATCACCATCCCATCATAGTGGAAAGAACCATACGTACATGTGAACCTTGTAGGCGGCGTAAACGACAATGCAATGGTATCAAGCCATGTACTCAGTGTGTTGAGTCACACATCGATTGTGTGTACAGCGTGGTTTCCGATGTACCTCGTTCAGTCTTCACTACCAGTACAGCACGTCGTCTTAGCTCTGGATCAGCTTGTGAGACCTGCCGTCGACGTAAAACGAAATGCGATGGTGGAAGTCCATGTGGGTTTTGTGCCTCTGCAGGTGTCGAATGTGTCAACAATTCTGAACGAAGGAAACGTGCTATGGGTATCCCAACAACAACAAGTGCAAATGCAACATCTTCAGCAGCTATACCAAGTGTAGCCCCTCCACCGGATCCTGATGCCATTGATCGTATTGAAGATAGACTACGTCGAATTGAAAAGCTGATGACGGCTTTTACTCCTGCAGCTAATAGTCCACTTGCTGCATCTACACGACCCATACATTGCTCATCGCCACCACCACCAACGTCATCTGGAAGACGTATGATTCGACATCATCGCCACTCTGTACAAGGTATCAGCGTTACGAAAGAGCAAGCTGAACTGCGAACAGCTTACGCGCTTAAAAAACGTGGAGGTTAATAATCGTTTCATTGCTTGTGTATAGTCATTGAATAAGAAACTAATTTTTCTTTTAGGCATGTCGCCACCACCATCACCTTATTACGATACAAATGGTGGTAGCAATAGCAACAATACCAGTGCTGCTGCTATTGCAAGGTATGCAACGCCTCCAAACAGTGGTGGAAAAGCGCGATACAACCATCAAAATCATGCATCCTCGCCATCTCCACCACCATCATTATCTCCTATCATGCGTCAAAACAGCTCAACAACACAGCCCATTACATCGTCCATGTTCAATCTTACGCTATCACCATCCTCTTCGACAACGTCATCCACGTCCAACAATTCTTCAATGATGATCCCACCTTTGACGACACCACAATCATCCATGTCAGCACCTCCAATGGCTGTTCCTCCTCAATCACACAACCATTATCAACAACATGCTGCTGAACATCAACCAGCAATACATAGGGGACATCACAACACAACAAGTATATCAACATCCTCTGAAAATGAATGGAAAATTGCCACTTCCACGAGCATGCCAAGCTTAATGGGTAAGAAAAGCGTAACGAGAAACATGGGGTTGTGTGAAATGACTCACACGCAACGTTATAGATCAATTGTCAAAGAGAACATTTGGCAACACACCAGCATTTACATTTCCCCCTTATCCATTGACGCCATCACCTCATCATCATCATCAGCAACAAACTTCTCCTCCTGCAGCATCATCACCATCATCCACCATTGAATGAAGACAAGAATTCATTATCATTCGTTTCTCTTCTCAAAGGCTGTTGTGCACGTTGCCATGGTAGCAAGAAACAAAAATTTCCCACAAAAGAATAAATCGAACACTAATTCCTTACACTTGTTCATGCGACATGATTACACTTGGATCCCAAGACATACACTCATACATGATATGATGTCGATAGGAGGTGGGGGTAATAGCCTAAAGAAGGAAAACAAAATTTGAGCATATCAGCCGTGTATATAAAACCATCAGAAGAACGCGGGTATCCTATCCATGTGGTTGTTCAGATTATCAAGAAGAATAAGGCAGGTAGCATCATCTGTGCAAGGTATCACCACTTGATTGATCATGGGATCATCACTGGCCTCTTTTTCCCTCTCAACCAGAATGAGCCATGCTCTGGTTGGTGCCGTGTGTGCGTGTGTGTGTGTCACAGATACAACATGCTAAGGTTTATTTTGCTTTACAATGAGAGAAAGAAAGGATGGGTGGAATGAAAAGGTTGGCAAGGAACGTTGATGTGTATTGTGTATTGGGCTAAAAGAGGTGTAGTAGACCACTGTCATTAGCGAAGATCTTGACAAATGTACTACCGGAAACATAGCCGTGTAGAGCTCATGCTCACACGTCTTTCCGCAATTCGGAAAGGTTCCATTACGCAAGACCGTGTGGGTGAAAGAAGGATGTGTGTGTGTGCGTGTGTGTGCATGACATGGAAGGAAGCACAAAAAAAGAAATTCCACGGAATAATGAAATCGGTGCAACAACAGCAAGTGCGGGTGATGGTGGTGGGGTGGATGCATGATCTGGCGTTTGCATCTAGTTTATGCAATTACAGATGATGATGATGATGATGATGGTTGGCAACAGCATTGCACAACATAAACTTTGGCGCAATGATCAGGTCACCAGTTATTATACACATCCATGCAGCCGACAAGCAACATTTTCTTCCCTTTCAACTCAGGTACAATTATGCAGCAGCAACAAATGAGATGATCTAAACCACCCAACAAGACGTCATTGTCCCTTTTTATTATAATCGTTAGCCTGTTCGGTGGTCACCCTCAACAAGGGTGATGATCTAGAAACAACATGTCAACCGCTACTACTGCTTCTTGCTTGATTCGGCAGATCACAGCAGCTATCCCGATCATCCTTATGCATTGACGTCATCCAAACCAACATGGCCTTCTCTTGTGGTGTGTATGGCGGTGACACATACACCGCAGCATCTTTCTCTTGTACCTTTGTATGCTGCAAGGTGGTGACACATGAAACCGCAGCAGCGCGGATAAAGAGTTGTTCCTGGCGCAGCGTCAAATGTATTTCAGGTGTCCGCTCATTGTACCTTTGTTTCACTTGCTGTCAGCAAAACGCACTCTCTCTCACTCACAACACAACACAACCCAACACAACCCAAAATGACCATCGACTCTGAAGCTGATTCCCCCGTTTTCTTTTTCGATTGCGACAATTGCCTTTATGTATGTAGTCAACTCGTTGTATAGCTCATCATTGACATTGCTCATTCAATACAGTCCAAAGATCTTGGTGTCCTCCAGCTCATGCGACAAAAGTGAGTAACGATACCACGCCCTACACGCACACACCCATATTTGCTTACCAGTTGTTTCTATACAGGATTGTCGAGTACTTTGTAAGGATGGGCATGGAAGAAAATGAAGGTAAGCGTGTGTCCAGGCATGGCTGATTTAGCATGCAACTCACATCACCCATATCAGCCAAGGAGCTTCGGGCAAGATATCACATGGATTACGGCCTTGCATTGCGTGGTCTTCAAAAGCATCATGAAGTTGATCCTATTCAATATGGTAAGCTTGGGTTGTGGAAGCAATTGGACTTTCATGGCATTTGAAACTAACCATGGCTATTAAAGACAAGGAGGTGGATGGTAGTCTTCCACTCGACGACATCATGAAGCCTGATCCTGAACTTCGTGAAATGCTTACTGGTCTCAAGATGAAGAAATGGATCTTTACAAATGCATACTATCCTGTAAGTGATCATTGGGATGTTGACAATCCTTTGCTTACTAACCATTGGGTATTTATAGCACGCTTGGCGGTGTGTAAAGCTTTTGGGCATCGATGATCAATTTGATGGTATGGGTTTGTAAACAAGGAAAAAGTGTTATTACAGGGAACTTACCATCATGCTACATAGGCATGACATTTGCTGATTACCGTGTACCTGATTTTGTCTGCAAACCTGGTATGTCGTCCATTCGATAAATTTTCCAAGACCAATGACTCATTATTTGCTTCTCTAATATGTAGAAATTGAGGCGTACAAAAAGGCAATGGAAGAAGCAGGTGTCAAGGACCCGAGCCTGTGCTACCTCGTGGATGACTCTGCAGCTAATGTAGATGCAGCCAAGGTACGTTGTTGACAGCTGTTTAATCTCCTGCGTGGGAACATCCTATATTAATGGACATTTTAGTCTCTTGGTTGGACAAGTATCCATGTCACCGATGACCTTGATGGCCCAAAACATGGCGACTACCAAATTACCACCATTCATGACTTGGCCAAGGTCCTTCCTCATTTGTGGAAATAGACAGCATTAGAGACAATTATTATCCTATTCAACGTTTCATGTCAATGACTTTTACGGCGGGTTCCATGTATGATATCCTTGTAGAAATGCCTATTGATTCCGGGTTCTTTATGATTTCACTACTTGTACAATAAATATCAACCACCATGGATGACACGTTTTCTTCTCTTCAAAATGGAATATTTTATTTACTCCTCGGCTGTGATATACGCCATGATGTTATTCTCTGGACCAGCAGAGCTATCGGGAAAAGCTATCACATTCTTGGTGCCGAGTTCAGTCAATAACGAATACAGTTGCTTGGGTGATTCAAAGGATTGGCGTGATAACAATGAGGCTGCAATACCCACCACGTGTGGTGATGCCATACTATTGGGAAATTCCTATTAGCTTGATATGTTTCATATTTCTTTGTTTGTTGTACCTTGTTCCATCCAATGATTTAACGTTGCCATGTTCACCTCCACCAATCCATGTGCTCACGATATCAGTACCCGGTGCGTACATGCTAACGCATGGACCAGTATTCGAGTACGATGCAACCCTATCAGTGATATCCGTTGCACCAATCACAAAGACATCCGGGCTTGATGAAGGAGAAAAATTACAAGCATCAGCACCTGCATTGCCAGCTGAAACAAAGACAGGGATATTGTGTTCTTGCACAAGGCTGCGGATGGCAGCATTCATGACTCGAGAGGGTGGACCACTGAGGGATAGATTGACCACAGCCTTGCCAGGTGTAGCTGCTTGAACAACATGTGACAATCCTACATCATTGTGAAAAAGAGACAACGTTATTAACTCGCTCGCTACATCTATGCATTGTTGTATTGTTTTACCTTTGAGCATGGTACTCAATTTGCCATCACCCGTTTTGTTGAGAATCTTGACCGATTGGATGTTGGCAGCCTTAGCCACACCGTATACTTTGCCTGCCACTTTGCCTGCCACATGGGTACCTTCCAATATCCCACATGGGCCGATTAGACCACTACCATCTCATGTAATAAAGGTAAACAGCATACCATGTCCTGCAAAATCGGTATCTTCTTCTTCTTGTACGAAATTTGAGGATGTAAATGCCCTTCCTTCGAAATCAGGGTGCTCGACATGGACACCGGAATCCAACACAAACACGTCAACTCCATGCCTGGAAATACTACATGTTAGTCCTTGTTGCATTCCTTTTCTTTGCAATGCATTACCCTTCATCATCAGCATAGTCGTATATGGATAAATCATTCAACTCGCGTTGACGAATGCGTGCTAAACCCCAGTTAGGGCTTACAGCTTTATAATGTATGGATCGTTTCTCAACCGGCATAGATCGTGTAAGCGTAGTCTTGTATACATTATCACTTTCAATAAACTCGATAGCGTCGTCTTGATGCAAGAGTTGAACGAACTGATCATCCAATGCGCCGGTCATTGTAAAGAAGCTGTCTCCCATATGTATGGAATCCATGAGTATAGGGGTGTTTGTATCGGCTGCTTGATAGCTAACGTCTCCACCGCTTGCCATGGACACCATGAATTCGTTATGCTTGGATGCAAGGAATGCGTGTGCTATACCATATTCAATGTCGTTATTAGGATTGCACACCTATACATGCTATGCTTAAAAGCTTACCGGAGCTCGCATTGTATGCGGGGTTGAATTTAATCACATACGCTGCATGATCGGTTGTGTCACGATAGGCGCCGGCTGCTGCAGCGGAAACGGCGTATGCGATCGCACAGCAGCTTGAAAGAGCTAATGGCAGTTTCATCCGACGTAGATATAAGCAATGTCAGCACAATGTAGAAAAAAGCAAGAAGAAAAGGATCGAGATAGGGCCGTCATATAATATCGGGAGGTGGCATGATGTGGGTAAAAAACAATCTCACACAAATGTCTTCGTTCTAGCAAACAAATCTATCATATATCCACCGAAGAATGGCTGCATAGTCCAGGGGAGATAGATCCACGTGTACATGTAAAAGCAAACAAATCAGACACCGCAAAATGCATTATCCGTCGACATCGTTTCCCTGTTTGTGAGCATTCATCATCAATCATTGAAAACGTGAGAATGATGTATGGCGGTAGGAGCCTTTGGGTATTAAACAACATGGCTCAATCTATGACTTTTATGTTCTAGATGTGTGTCAGTGAACATCATTTAAGACGAGGATGTGGGGAAAGGTGAGGTTTAGTGATGGCGTTGTTCATGCAATGAAAAAGCAGTAACTTTGGATGCTGAATCACTTTAGAGGAGGTGAAAAATGGTAGACGTCCATGTCAAGTTGCTTTATAGATCAGCATTTTGAAGGTATTCCTCGGGTCAAATTATATCAAAGACATCTTTATTATCAAGTGCTTGTCTACTTTGGATGTACCATGAGCCATCGTTCATTGTCATTTAATCCTGAAAGTCAGCACCGCTAGTGTGTGGCTGCAAATTGCATACCAGGATGGATTTCACATTTCAAAAGCAGCAAGGTGATATTACGCGCGTCGCTTGAACTTGTTCCCTTTACGCATAAGGTATCCTATCCACTTTCTTCTACACACATTCCCTTCACCGATCCCAACAATAACGTCCATTCTCTATTAGATACAACAACAAACAACATGGTACGTGCGCTTACAACTTGGGCCGATTGAGTGTTGCATGTAACTTATTCCTGCATGTTTATGGGTCTAGTTGCTTCGTATTCGATCCAAGGAAGGCATGAGCCGCATTCAAGTCGAGGCAAGCGACACATTTGCCGATCTGGCTGAAAAGGTATAATAGACAGTGTGTAAAGTATTATGCATTAACAGCTTTGGAAGATCGCGGCCACACTCCAACTTGCAGATGCCGGCACGATCGCTGTAGGCGACTCACCCAAACCAGAGGCAGCGACACCTATCACGACCATGAGCGACAAGACTCTAGGATCGGCTAACTTAAAGTAATGTATCAGCTTCGTTTCCATACACATTCAACTCACATTCGTTGATCAGGCACGGTGATATCGTCTATGTGTCCTATGCTGAAAAGCCGACAACGACCGAAGCAGCATCTTCATCATCGACAGCAGCCAACTCTTCAGAATTTATTCCAATGAACGAGCTCGCAAATATTAAGCAGGAGCCTGTGGATGATCTGCTCGAGAAGGAACGGGGTTTAATCAAACGCCCAAAGGATACCAAGTTGTAAGTGGTCATTGGGAAAGAAGGATGATGACAAGTGTTGGGTTATGAACTCGTTTTTTTCATTTCAGTTGTCGACACGGTGACAATGCCATGTGTGATTACTGTATGCCTCTCGAGGTAAGTTGTTTATTGAATGGATCATACGAGGGATGTATTAACATGAGTATATTGCATATAGCCTTATGATGCTGGTTATTTGGAAGAGAACAAGATCAAGCACATGTCATTCCAGGCCTATCTTCGCAAGATTGATGCTGCCAAGCAAACGAGTGCGCCATCTTCTACAGTACTCAAGCACCTACCGCCTCTTGAAGAACCGGATTACAGAGTCAAGGTCCCATGCTCTGGTGGTCACGCACCTTGGCCGGAGGGTATTTGTACAAAGTGTCAACCCAGTGCCATCACGCTTCAAAGACAGGCAAGTATGGCTGCTATCAGAGGAAGAGGTATCAATGGCTGACACGTGGCATTAGATCTATCGAATGGTGGATCACGTTGAGTTTGCATCAGCTGGAGTCATCGATACCTTTTTGAATGCTTGGCGTGAATCGGGCACACAGCGATTTGGATATTTGATTGGACGATACGAGCCCTATACCGAAGTACCACTTGGCGTTAAGGCGGTTGTGGAAACAATCTATGAGCCACCTCAGGAGGATCACATGGATGGTATTAAGCTATCGTTGCCATGGGATGAGGAAGAAGCTATGGTGAATCGTGTGGCGGAAGCGTGCGGGCTCAAGATGGTGGGCATGGTATTCACGGATCTTATCGATGACGGCACCGGCAAAGGAACAGTGGTTGCGAAGCGACACGTGGATTCGTACTTTATGTCATCACTCGAATGTGCATTTGCAGCTGATATGCAACGCCGCTATCCAAATCCTTGTCGACACTCAGCTACTGGCAAATATGGATCCAAGTTCTTGACATGTGTTATTTCAGGCGATACGGAAGGCAACATTGACGTCAAGGCATATCAAGTATCAGAAACGACCGTTGCCCTCAAGGAAGCTGACATCATTGAGCCCAGCCGTAAAGCTTCCGTTATGCGTGTCCAAGAGAGTGTGCCTCATGAACGATACGTGCCTGAGGTGTTTTACAAGTTCAAGAATGAATATGGCGTTGTGGTTAAGCAATCAGCTAAACCTACATTCCCTGTTGAATATCTTTTGGTTAATGTAAGTTGGGGTGATGCTTGCAAGGAATGGAATAGATATTCATGGGCGTCTTTTATCATAGGTCACACATGGTTTCCCACAAAGTCCCAATCCTTTATTCCATGCCAGCCCATGTTACAGTATTGAGAACCGCCACACAGGTGTACAAGATGTCAACACGCTCTCTCGATACTTGAATTCCTCTGGTGATCTCAAGCAGCTATTATCCGATTTCCATGTTTTGTGTTTCATTCGGAAGCTTAACATGCTCAATGATGATGAGTTTTCTGTTCTCTGCAACGTGGCAACCAAATCGGATGTGCCAGCCGAAGTACTAGAGCAGCTTACTGGATGGAAAACCATGACTATGGTACTAAAGGAAGCAGGTACGTCCTTTGTTTATTCCGAAATAAGGGTAGAGAACATTAGCTGATCCAATCGTTTGGTTATAAAATAGAAGGAAACGCGCGCTTTAATACGCCATCGACACAATCGGCAACACCTTCCGGTGCCGTTACCCCTGCAACATCCGACCTTGCTGAAGTTTCTTGTCGACACTGTACATTTGCCAATGCAGCTGGTGCTGTCAACTGCGAAATGTGCGGTTTACCTCTCAATGAATAGAAGATCAACCATATCACACGCACGCACATACACACAACATTGTTAAATCATACACCTAGTACAATATCAAAACACCCCCCCCTTTTAACGACCTCGTTCACCATTTGACTTGCTCCGTTACGATAGCAATGTTTTGCTCCTTTAACAAGAAAAATTATCCATTTCGCCAAATTTCATGCATGAATGTAGATCACAATAATGAACCTTGTGAGTTTGAGGAGAGAGGAGTGAGAGTGGTGTGTGAAGAGAGAGCAAAAGTGATTGGCCATTATCAACTGCACGTGTGGTTCTCCGAATAGAAAGTGCACATGTCGCATGCATACAGCTCTTGTATACTTTGCATTGTCACGTTGCAGTGCAGATGCTTGTTATTTATATGACGCGAATGTGTAACAATAATAACGATGATGGGGCGGTTAATGGTCATGCGAACGAATAGCAAGCAAGGCACATGCTCTCCTTGATGAAGGCAGCTCCTTCATTGGAAGCTTTTGGCCCAAGATTGGTTGTATCAACTATCATCAAGCATTGTATATTTTTGGATTCTAGGATCAAGACACAAAGTCATTCTTGGAAAAAAAGAAGAGATGTTTATTGCTATCTATAGATGATTTCCTTTTTTTCACAGGTTTAACCAGAAAAGTGTAAAAGTGGGCTGAATGAATGATAGGGAAATCCAATTGTTACAAGTAGTAAGTGAAAAACAAAATGGGTGCAGCTAAAGCCATCCATGTAGTGAACGCCAAAGAAATGGTGGATGCTGCTGTGCTACCTGGTTGATCTGCTGCAGAACCAGAATCTGATCCCGAGCCTGAGCTAGGGCTTGAAGATGAGTTGTTGTTGTTGCTGCTGTTAGCTGATGGATGTGGATCAGCCTCCGTTGGGTACACAAATGACGTTTCCCAGTAGGGCTGGGTGATGTTCATGCACTCTTGTACAGTCACCACGTTGAACGTCTCTTGCAATTGAGGAAGCCATTTTTCAGCCATTGATACAGTAGAGTTATTGAGCTCATGTTCCTAAAGATATTACATGAATTGAGCAAGAAGGCCAATGATACCAAAGATAAGATGCATGGATGACTTACCAAGATGATATGACCTTGTTGATTATCGCTGCCATTCTTACGAGCTTCGATCCAACCGTTAAAATATCCATCAACAGTATCAGGGCTGAGGTTACCGCCACCATCACCAGGCATGTTCCAGTCATTGGTGTCTTCATCCCAAAGAACGGTACGCATGCCCATTTGCCATGCAATGGCACGCACACGATCATCCACATCACCATAAGGTGGACGCCCTAAGAGAAGCATAACAACGTGTCAGCTTACAACATGCATTTACAAATATTGATGTATAATACTTGCAGCAACGAGGCGTCACATTCGTGGCCTCTTTGACGGCACGAAGCGACCAATAGAACTCGGCAACCACCAATTCGTTTGTTTGAGCCGTCATTTGTGGATGAGACCATGTGTGGATGCAGATAACGTGGCCATTGTTTAATGCACGTTGAGCAGCTGCAGGGTATGTTACAACGTTAGATCCAATGTACTATACATCAAATGTTAGGCATCACAACATGTATGTATGTATGACAAGTGGATGTCTTACAAATAGTGTGGCTGTTTGGTTGTGCTTGGCCAAAAAGTTGTAGAGATTGGGTTCGGACCAAGATGAAGTAGCGTTATCATCCGTGGGATTAAAGGGACCATCATCGTAGGTCAACCCCCAATCACCAACTCGGGGACAATAATAGATGTCTTCTGGCAAGTCGTTTGTCTTTGGCTTGACACAATTGGTAGCCGACCACCAGCAGTAAGGGTCGGCATTAGAATCGTATCCTGACATATCCAAATCACCGTTGCTTTTGGCTGTGTGGATGGTTGCATTGGGTACTTTGCTCCAGTCAATGGATTGGATCACTTTTTGAATCTCTGGATGGTTCGTTGTTGGCTTTCCCCAAGGCTCAGGATATGCGCTTAGGTTAAGTGTTTGCCTTGACAAGGTATCTGTAATTTGAGGTCCATCACCTGATGGGTAGCTTGAAATTGTGTCCGCAGGTTTTGGAAAATCCGGTAACCATGTAGGAGATGCTTGAGGCAAAAGACCTGATGAGGAAGATGGTGATGGTGATGATGATGATGGTGTACCGCCATCCTGTTGACAAGAGCCCATTTGGATTGTGGATGACAACAAGGCAGCAATTGCAACTAAAATCCGGTTGCGAGGAGCCAACATTGCAGCAATCAATAGGTATTAAAAAGAAGAAGAAAAAAAGTGTTATGCCAATAGAAAGATTACAGCATCGATAGCCACCTTTTATATCTGTGCGCGATCAAATACCGCGGGATTGGGGAAGGAGTATACTTAGCTGCGCCCAGTTTTTATTTATCTTGTGTGCCAAGGCACAACAGTTGCCATGATACAGTATTGCTAGGCCACTGCTTTGTTATTGATCTCCACATCGTGGCTGTAGCGGTTGCTCTTTTTCCCGCTCCCTTTTCATTCACAAATTCACCCGTTTTAGATATTTTGTTCTTTGTTTACCTTGTACAGCTGTTGCACAGCCTCAGGAAATAGAAAAAGGTTGATCCCATGCATACCTTTTTTCACCCTATAGCCTTTAGCTACTACCCATTCTAAATAGAAAATGTCTTTTTTGAGAAACAAACGCTTGATGTCGTGTACACGATTAGCACGGAGCCTCCCGCTCGGATCGGCATAAACGACGGAGTGTGCTGTTGACATCCTGCTTTTGGCACGTTAGTAAAAGAACATGAAAAGTAGCTATATCAATGTCACAGGAGACAGCCAGCCTAACGCAATCTTGTTTGGATTGTAAGAATAGCATGTCCAAGTCGGTGGACATAAGGAAGGGGTGGTCAAGTATGGCAACAAGCCTCTCACGTTGGTCATGTATACATGTCAATGGGAGGAAGCAGATAAGGAAAAAAGGCGATCATTTTCATGTGAGCTATTGTTGGCAGTACAACCTCTATTTTGGCATGAGCATTTCATCATAAAGGTATTTGGGACTCTTCTCTTGTCAAGAATGCTTTAGGCTCAATAATCAATCTTGTACACTTATAGCATGTGCTCAACTCCTTTCATCAAGGGGATCAAAGAGGCGAGAGGTGGTGGCGTTCGGTGAAAAAGAGTGTGAGACTTGTTTCATGCAAATGCGATGATCACACCTTACATGGATACCAAAAAGAGTATGCGTGTAAAGAGGTATCTTGCATGAGGCAAATATACGGTGTTGTAGTAGAAGATCCTTGTGATAATAATGACCATGTTGAATGGACTATAATCGGGGTATCCATGATATTCAAGGGCAGCAGCAACAACAAGAGGATCAAAGAGTGAGTCTGTGCACTATAAAGTGTACCACACAATCATTGCCGAGATATGCCCTGTGCGTAAGTGATGAAGAAGCACGAGCGTCAAACAGCACCAATGAAGCCAAATGCCTATTGTTTGCAAAAAAGAGTAAACCAAAGTAATGGGGTGATAAGCACAGTTAAGGTAACAAATTGAGGAGCGGGGCTGCTCCGTTAATGTTACACATTTGATGTCGTGTTCCTCGCCAGCCCAGATATGCGGATGCATTTCTTTTTCTTTTTTTAACCTCATGTCCTAAGAGGACCCAACAGCAGCATCAATCAACAAGCAAAAGAAAGGGTGAAACTGTATTTTGATAACAATCATGATGGGTAAACCAAGATAAGGGTAATAGAGAGATCTAAGGTGTAATAATCGGAATCATGCGACAACCCGTAAAATCACATTTTGTGTATCCCCAGGGAAAAAGCATTGATCCACAAATCAATTCCTGACGATCCATCATGGCCCTTCATCATCGATGACGTCGTTTAGTTGAGGATGATGTGGGTCTGGAAGGAGGGGTTGTAAAGTAAGGTCGAGGGCAGGATTATGGAATCAATCAAGGGGTGGGGCATTGGTTTACTTTCTTTGTTGTTGATGAGATGCATATCAATAATATTGTAAAGAGTCGTCATTGTTCTAACCCATGTGAAGTGCACGCATAGTAAAAGAGATTGTGAATGTGATATGTGTTACTTTGGTGGGGGGCACCAACCAACCAACCAACAATGAATGAACATCCGAGAGAGTATTGTATCTCGTACGTGCACAACAACAAGAGTTGGTGTTCTCTTTCAAAGTCAGTATGAGCCCCAGGCCATCTTTCTTGTAGTTTGCTGAACCTTGTTCTCTTTCTCTTCCTCTTCCTTGATCCTTTCTTTCTCGGATGATGCAGCTTTCCTCACCGATGCCTTCTCCAGTATCAGCTTTGCCATACTCTGGTCAACGAGATTCAACAACGTCCTCCACCAATGCTACAACCACTGCTCCTCCTTTGGAATTACCGCCGATTCTCGATATGTCATCCCATTGCCATACTACAACTACTACAACTAGTAGTATAGGTATTGTATACATACACACACACACACACACACACACATAATCACTCTCTCACCCCTTCTTGCAAAAGGGGGTTAACTTTGAAAAGCTTGCTCACAATTTTTTTCCTTTGCAGTCAACGGCCCGCCTTCACCAACTTCACCACAAAAACCAGATGACAAACAACATGAGGAGTTGCTCATCTCGTCGTCGCCAGTGGCAATGTCAAGGTTGCAAGAAGCTGCTGTTGCACCTGCCTTTTTGGAACCTGCTCCGCAGTTGGACAATCATCGTATCAGCCACTATGAACCCGCGTTTCGACCATTGCTCTTTTCCACCTTTAAGGGCAACCCTTTCCGATCCTCCTCTACTAGTTGTCATTCATCCACTACCGATACTGCTTCTACAGACTCATCCACATCCAATGGAAGCCCACGAAAGTGGAAATTCTTTACCCACAAGATACCATCATTGCAAATACCCGTTCCTCGTCGATCTTTTCCAGTCCTTCAACCCAAGTCGCGTGGTGCTTCTTCTTCATCATCCAAGGAAAACAACCATCATCAGCAACAGCATCATCATCATCATCGTACTACTCGTAACCAACAGCAACAACAACAACATCCTAATCATCAGCCACAGCAACAGATCATGGAAAGAGATGATCAGCCTCAATATCGAGATGTATACTCACCCATGTCACCTACAATGGCCTCTGCCTCTGCTGCAGCTGCTGCAGCTGCTGTAAAGCATCATCCAGGATCATCAGTGGCGGAAGCATTTCTCAAATGTCTACGGTTGTCGGGCTTACAACGACAATCAACCACGCCACCACCTCCTTGTTCATTGTCGTCATCTTCGTCATCAACGCACAGTAGCAGCAGTGAAGATGAAACAGCATTGCTTGAAGAACAAGATCCTGCAACTCGATTAGCAGCTGAAGCATTGGCAGCTGCGTCAGCAGATGCGCATCACCGTGCGGCACAAGGTGAACAACTCGTATCACTTGTGATGCACCAAAAAAAGCGATCATCATCGTCGGGCCTGGATCACTCGCAATTTCTTACAAAGAACGCCCATATTAAACGACCACGCAACGCATGGATTCATGTAAACATAACCCACCCACTCGTACACATATCCCTTAAACCCCCTTGATACTAACATGCAGCATTTGACGTTATCCTAGTTTCGTTGCCATTATGGTCAAGCGCTTAAATCTCAGGATCCCACTCTACGAGCAGAAGAAATCTCAAAGTGAGTGATGCATCCTTTGTGTGCAACATTGTAACAATGTGCTAATATTATTATCATCAAAAGACGTGCATCACGACGTTGGGGTCGCTTGTCGGAGAAAGAAAAGAAACCATGGCATGCTCTTGCTGAACAAGAAAAATTAGCTCACAAGGAAGCCTTCCCTGAATACCGCTATTGTCCCAAGCGTCATTCTTCATCGTCCACCGCATCTTCCTCAACAACCTCATCCACCCTTTCTTCATTGTCCACCCCTACCAGTGCTACCAAAACAAGCCAACCATTGCATTTTCACCATGATATTGTTGACGCTCAATCAATGGTGAGTGACGATAATGGTAGTCATCGATACAAGAAGGCTAGAAGACGAACAAAATGATCACGTCAACTCGATTTTCTTGTTTTGTACAAAATCCAACATCACAGCACTCACAACACATTTACACGCTCTCTGTATCCTCCGCATTGATCAAAACACTCATACCACAAAAACACGTACACGCTATCTGAAGGGACGGCCCTCTTCTTCTCTTTCACATATATCACCCACCAACCAATTGTCTTTTGATACCACGTTTGATTACTACTTTGTGTTTGCTGATTTGCTATTTAATCTTGAGTTGTTATACACACACACACACACACATGCAAAATGATTTTGTTTTTTCAGGTTTAAAACCCCAATCTTTCCCCCACCCCTTATTTCTTGCAAGACGCAATACAGAGCTTCTTCTCTTTTAACTTGGCCTGTGGGAATACTGTTGTGCTTTGCATTGATGTTTATATATATACATTCGGGTACTCAGGTTTATCAAATGCATTATCCATTCTCATGTAGACTGATATCATCAGTCACTCTTCTAGAAGCATACGAGTAAACTCACGGGTGACAACGGCATCTATATAGCTCTCCATAATGCATGTTGGAATGATCTTGGATCAAAGCTACATATACATTTTTATTCAGCAGCAGCGATGATGACATAGGGTTCCTTTTACAAGAGACCACCATCAGTCGAGGAGAAGGATGGTGTTCCAAATACCACCGGGTATGTGACAACTTCCCACTGCACCATGATGTACAGGGTTCGGCCTATGCACATCATGCACCACTTAGATCCGCTTTTTGCAAGAAGCCAAAATGCCCCTTTATACCGTACACGCTATGGTCCAAAAGGCAGACTCGCAATCATCATGAAGTATAAATACGCCAGCGAGATTTCGGTTTATTCTTATTACTTGAATCTTCATCCTCGATACGCCAATGAAGTTATTTTTTGCCGTAGATGCCCTTGTACTTTTGCTTGCAACCGGTGCGTTGGGACAGCAACAATCTAGTGCGACGACAACCACATCAGCGAGTGGTAGCAGCAGCAGCAATGATAGTCCTATCGCTCAAAGCTCACCAGCTTGGTTGTCGGATGTGAAGCCGTTGCCTAGCAACATCAAAAATATCCATTTGATGTATCCAAGATACTTACAAAATCATTGCATGGCGATGTAAACAATCAAGCACTGCAAGGTTATCCACAACCTTCAAAGCTGCCACCAACAGATTCTCCTGAGGTGCAAGCTGTTATCAAGGCTATTGATTGGACCAAGGTCCCCAACATCCCCCCGCGTAAGACAAGATCGGATGGCTATGTTAGCATCCAAGATTACAACAACAATACTGATCCCGATTGCTGGTGGAGTGCTTCTCGTTGTGTCAAGGTACAAGGATACATACACCCATCCACCACTTATTCATTTGTATCCGTTGTATCTTTATTAATGATGCTTCATCATAGCCTAAATACCCTGGTCTTCCAGAGGATGTATCTTATTGCCCAAATGTGGGTGATTGGGGTTTGGTGAGTATAGTTGTTGTTGATTTGTGCATTTTGACATCTTAATTTATTCTTACAACAAAAACACATTGCACACCGATTTCATACGTAGACGTTTGACGATGGCCCACTGACACCTGACGAGCGTGAAGCAGCTGCAGAAGAGTCCGAATTCTACAACTTTTTGGCCGAGCATCAGCAAAAGGCTGATTTGTTTTGTAATTATACCTGCACAAATCCATGAAAGCGTACTTATCATGTTGTCTCTTGTAGATATCGGGTCGAATGTTTTCAAGGCACCTGCGGCTGCACAACGTGCTTTAGCTGATGGACACACCCTTTGCTCTCATACATGGTCTCATCCTCCTATGACGTCTCTCTCAAACGAACAAGTAGTGTCCGAATTGTATTGGACATTACGTGTTATCAAAGAGAGCACTAACGTCACTGTAAAATGCTGTAAGTTCCACGATACAAACATAGACTTATATAATGTTGACATGCCATCATGGTGCCTCTCTTAGGGCGCCCACCTTATGGTGATGTTGATGATCGTGTACGTGCTATTGCTTGGCAAATGGGTATGCATACGATTCTTTTTGATCAAGTCAGCTTTGATTGGAGTCTCCCTGGTGGTCCTGGTGGTGATAACATGCCACCTTCCATCATTGATGGTTACTTTGAGGGGTGGATCCAAGCTCTTAAGGATGGTACCGATAATCGACGTGGCCACATTGTTCTGGCAAGTAGCATTAAACCTACCACGTATTATTAGCAGGCTAACATCTTTTATTGGTTACAGCAACATGAGCACAGCAATGCATCAGTGTCCTTGGCTGAAAAGTGGTTACCCAAGATCAAGGAAGTGTTCAGAGTTGTATCGTACACACAATGCATGAATGTATCGAATCCATATTGGGAAGAAGGTTTTGCCTATCCAACTGACAATGTAAAACGAACAATGTTGCTCTCACTCGATCGCATTCTTCCCACCACCATCAAAACCACCACCAACATATCCATAATCATGAGCGCGCTTGCTTTGGCTAGTGCCATCTACTACATTATGTAGCATTCATGTATGTATAAATATAGTAAAATGAATCCATATCATCTTCTTTATTCGAGGATTAGCCTAAGTTATGGGTGTTCTATCAACGCCAGAGGGGACTGAGGTGATCCAAATATGGGAACTCTTGTGTGATGTGAAGCGCCGCTCTTTTGTTGCTGCATCTTGGGTTTTCCTTTTCCAGCCATCCTTCTTTCTCTTTCTCTTTCTCCCACTCAATCGTGTTAGGCACCACCCCCCAATGACCAACTCCTACAGCCTTTCAGACTGCTCAAAAAAGCGCGTGTGCTACTTTTACGATCGTATGTTATTATCCTTCACGACATTTCAATATCGTCATGTATCAACCCCCATTTGTGATCCACTGTAGATGACGTTGGAAACTTCAGCTATGGTCCAGGTAGGATTACAGCAACACGTGCACCAATGGGTCGTTCTCACAACATTGTACAACCGTAGGTCACTATATGAAGCCGAAGCGTATGCACATGGTGCACAACATGGTGGTGAATTACGGCTTGTACAACAAAATGGACATTGTGGTAAGTACGCGCTTGTCATTTGGATATGGATAAGGATATGGATAGCTCACTCCTTGTTAAAGAAACCAGTGCGAGCATCCGCTTTTCAAATGACACGGTTCCACTCGGACGAGTACATCAACTTTCTTCAACGAGTTACTCCTGACAACTTGGAGCATTTGGCAGTGCAACATGGCGGGCTTGAACAGGGGATTGCACGATGTAAGGGCACAGGTCTTTGTTATCATCTTCTCGTAGGACTAACTTGATCCATTCCTATAGTCAATGTTGGAGAGGATTGTCCGGTGTTCGAAGGCTTGTTTGAATTCTGTTCTATATCAGCAGGGGGTACCATTGGTAAGTGCTCATCACTAGTTACGTACCATGTTGCTGATCATGCATTGCCATGAATAGGTGCTGCCAACAAGTTATTGAATGGAGAAGCTGACATTGCTATCAATTGGTCGGGTGGCTTGCATCATGCAAAAAAGACAGAGGCATCTGGTTTTTGTTATGTGAATGATATCGTATTGGGTATCCTTGAATTGCTCAGGTAAAGGATATTTCAATCTCCTCCGATTGGACGACGAGCTCACCTACCATCATTTGACAGGTATCACCAACGAGTCTTATATGTGGATATTGACGTACATCATGGCGATGGTGTCGAGGAAGCCTTTTACACAACGGATCGTGTCATGACATGCTCCTTCCACAAATTTGGTGAATTCTTCCCGGGCACGGGTGACATCAAGGTAAGAAAGGGTTGCTTGTTGTCGATTTTGGATACCAATCGTATCGGTGGTTGTTTAGGACACTGGATTAGGGAAGGGCAAACATTATGCAGTGAATGTACCTTTGAGAGATGGCATCGATGACGACACGTACAAGAATGTTTTTCGGCCGGTAAGGATACAAGAGATTATGCAAGTGCTCGAAGCTCATAAGGAAAACAATATAGATCATAAAGCATATCATGGAATGGTATCGACCCGGTGCTGTGGTACTGCAATTGGGTGGTGACTCTTTAGCAGGCGATCGATTGGGATGCTTCAACTTATCTATGCGTGGTCATGCGTCCTGTGTGGAGTTTCTAAAGTCATTTAATGTTCCGATGATTATGGTCGGCGGTGGTGGCTATACAATTCGCAACGTTGCACGAACTTGGACATATGAAACTGGCTTGGCCTTGGGCGAGGATCTATCTCAGAACGAATTGCCATTCAATGACTATTTCGAATACTATGGCCCTGAATACAAATTGGACGTGCCTTCCAACAATATGGCCAATCACAACACACGAGAATACCTTGAAAAGATCATGTGAGTTGACACAAAGAGAATTGGAAGATCCCATAACTAGGAAGCTGACTACTTTTTGTGTAAAGCGCCAAGATCATTGACAACCTTCGCCAATTACCTTTCGCACCCTCTGCAGAACTTCAAGGTACAGTATCAAGATACACGTGCATGTCGATATGCAAAGGGCTAATGTAAAACACTCCCTTAATGTAGAGGTTCCACGGGATATGGATTTGGATGTGGAAGGAGAAGATAGCGAACAGGATGAAGCAGATGCTCGCCAAACCCAACGACATCGTTTAGAACGAATGGGCATATCAGTGTAGTAGAATCATTTAATATTATAACAGAGTTATGCATTCATGTTTTCAACGTCAAATCTCGTACCATTTGCTTCATGCTTTGTTTGTTACCTTGAATGTATATATAGCACCAATACCATCTCTACGTTTGTCATTACAACCACGGCCATAAATGCCTACATAAGCATTTCCTACGTGCACGCTATGTAGCGAAGGAAGGATCTTACATGGGAAAGCATTGGGTAATTCATATATGAACAACAGCGATTCTATTGAAAACAGCAAATATGGGGAATGCAATAGATGAAATCTTTGACTATGTAACAACGGAAGGAAATGGCTATCTCAGCGATGAAAAGGATGCATAGAGATGCTGTGCGATAGGTTTATGCCGATGCTGGGCTTAACACTTGCTGATCGTCACTATGAAGCACCGATGGAGCATTGTCGAAAAAGTCTAAAAGATCCGTGACAACGTCTAGCAAAAGATGTGAGACGACGGCTTTGATAACTTTGTGAAATGACATACCTCGTATATTCTGAACTGATAGATTTTCAGCTGTTCCCCACATATCCACCCACTGATTGATTGTCACAGGGAGTTCGGCATTACAGGTCCTCAACGCAAGGTATAAGCATCCCAAAGCGATTTCTTGTGGTTTACGCGTCAAAATGATCCTTGGCGAACAAACACTACATGTATACTCAAATCGTTAGCATACACCCTTAATCCTTGGTGTGCTCTAACCCATACCTGTCCCAGCAAAACGTCCACGCCACACGAGCAATTGTACTCAACTCAGGGTCCATTTCTAAAAGAGACGTTAATCGTATGTTAGAGCTATCATCATCAGCCATCTTACCTTGTTCCATATGCCTCCAAATGTCTTTGTGATAATCAGGTGATCCAGATCGAGACCTTCGACGTTCTCTCTTATCCACATTTTCAGCTTTGTTGAACCAAGAAACCGCTGCCATTGCTCGAAGTACGTGTAGGCAATAAGTGAAAGGGAGCGTCACCTCAAGATCGAAACTGAGTGCCCGTACCAAGAGTAATTCACCTGTGACCAATGAAGACCGCATCCGAAAATACGTCTGCACCCATCCACTTGAGCATTCCAACACCTTGAATACATCCTTGTGATTCATCATCTTACCTCATCCACTTGCAACACGTCCTCCTTCGGATGATAATATCTGGAGTATACATGCATATGATTAACCGCCATCCTCTATCGATCGAATGGATCATCCAACTTACCGGTATCCCACATTTACCAAGTCGCGTACTTTTCGTGGAACATCCGTTGCTTTGCATGCAAGATGAAGGCAAGTCGTAGCTAATAGCTTGTGTATGTGTTGGATGTCTGTTTGGTTAACCAAAGCGCATAATATGTATATGTTGTCATAAGGCGCACCTCCTCATTGGTATATAGTGGCATCGACTCGTCCACCCACTGATTGTTCCGTACACATTCGTTGTTCTTGTTGACTAGCATAAACTGGTGGAATTGGTTGTAATAAATAATAGCCGTTGCTGTCGTTCTCGCTGGACTACATGCGAACGTGAAGGAATGAGAGTCTTGCATCAAGTGCTGTAGCACGCTTTTGCCTTACAGATCGAGCATTGCACCAGCCTGCCGTAAATAATGGATAGTCGCGAGGTTGGGAATGAGTGGCAGTTCTGTATCTTTCATGGTTGTCAAGGAGTAAAGTTGAAGAGAGTGAGTGGGTGGAGGAGGAGGAGGAAAAGGAAAACGAAGGGCGTAGTGCGCATTCCCTTTTGTGAAACGCGGCAAGTTTATTCCAGCCTGTCAAGCTAAACTCATATTCCTATAACTTGGCACGATGATTCGGTGATGATGCTACTACTCGATTTACAAGTGAAACTATCTCTGGGACTATATTGACATTTTAGCATTGTGCTGCTCTACACATTCTATGGGTTGTTTACTTACCGAGGATATCGGGATCCTCTCCAGGCACAAGATGAGAAGCTTCCACGACCGTGTTGGTCACCAAAGGTGATGATGAAGCTTTGACTTGCTGGATAATTTCTTTACTCGCACTATGTGATCCATCATAAGAATAAATACTTCATCCATGTACAAAGGAGTCTATATCATGACATACAATGTTGATCGTGAAGCGTGGATAACGTGCACAGGCACCACCATTCCCCTAAGACTATGCAAGCTTGCAACCGATCCATACGTCCCACAGTCATACATGAGCTATTTGGGCCTGAAAGCTTAGTAATTTGTATGCGACATTATTATCCACAAAAGAAGGAGGCTTACCGCTTCCTCTTCCTTGGGGCATTTAAGCTTCACAGTGCCATCGGGTGCATCATAGAGGCCATAGTTCTTATTTTTGATGTGTTAGCGTATCCAAAGAATGGTCAACTTTGAGGAGTGCTCGATGATACATACCACATAATTCTCCAGGACCTCTGGAAGGAACTTTCGCCAATAGGCTCGACTCGATAGGGATTGGAAGCAAGCCTCCCTTTGGATAATGCACATGTAAATTTACATAGCAGCCTTGATGCATATAACAACCTCCATCACGTACCTGCTTTCCCACGTATCACGACGTTTCAAGATGGCTGCTGACAATGGAAAACGTTCACCACGCTTGCTCTTCTCTCTTGGTTTGATGTTCATTACCGGATCGATCACACAAACACCGTCAAATGTGCCGGGGTGCATAAATTCGGCCAAGAGCCTATATATAGTTAAGCGCATGTCAAGGCACTACAGCCTGCGATCCATTTGATCATCCACATACATGGCCGTTCCACCAACGCTATGAGCAATTCCAATCACCTTGTTATGCTTATTCTTAAGGCCCATGGCGTTGACTACTTGCTGCGTATCCATGCCATGATCAATCCACGTATCTATCATCATCATCATGATCCTCGCTATCAGCAAAACGGCACCTTTTCATACATCATCGACAACCAAGAAACATACATCCAGGGGTATTTACATGACCATCATTAAGCCGAGCTGAATCGCCATGGTTACGAGAATCCCAAGCATAAAAAACAAGGTCGATTTGCTCATACTGAGGAAGCCTACGTAAGGCATCCAAAAAGCGTTTCATCAAAGGATGCAGCATTTCCTTGTGAAAACTCGTGCCATGTGACCATACAAACGCGATGGATGAAATCGCAGGTTGTAAAGGTGCTTGAAAGGAGTATCTTTCGACTGCAAGATGATGCGTGTCAAACCCTTGAGAGGCTGGATGCACTGGAATGGCGTTGACTTGATCAGGGGTAAACCTCGTCATGCTGTATGAAAGAAATAGCGGAAAGAAAAGCACAAAGGGCAAGTTGGTGGTTGCTTAAAAAAGTCTTCCCGACTAAGATTGGATACACAGGTATCATTTGTCACTCTTACGCCCCTGCATATCATGCAACGCGGTACGCACTTGATAAGGCATCGCCACACAAACAGGTTTTACATGCAATACGATCAAATGCATGCGTATGCTAGTTCAAATTGATGCATCTATTTATGCTTTGTGTAGCCACGAATAAAAAGTAACATCAAACATACGCCAAGAGCAAGTTGAATAGCTTTCTCTTTCTCCCTAGGCATGGTCAAACTATATAGCCCAGACGATTATTATACATTCATCAACCTTCTCAATTGCATCGTGGCTCAATGTAAGGACAACGTCTTTACACGCTATCAAACAAGCACATCTTCTTGCACGTTTTCTTCTCTCAGCTATGAGGAGTTTGATCGCATCACCACGAAGCTTGCCTGCCAATGGCAGTTGTCATTTCTCAAAGACACACCATCCGATACTCCCGTTGCCTTATTAGCTGATCATTCGGTGGACTATGTAATCTCAGTCATTGCTATCATGAAGCTAAAAAGAGTTTTACTGGCTATTGCTCCACGCAACTCCCATGCCGCTATTCGTCATCTGGTGTTGAACGCTGGGGCCAAAACCTTAATCACGTCCAAGAAATACGAGGAAAAGGCTCAAGTTAGCATGGAAAACGACCGACACATAGTCAGCTGCCATAGTTTTGGGATGTTTGATATTCCGGCTATGGTACAAGAACCATTGCATATGGAGGTGGACACGTTGATTGATAGGCAATTTGATCCTGAGGATAAGGAAAAGACGGCTATTATTATCCACAGGTAACTGCTACTATCCCATACATGTCCTATCAAGGAGGTCATACTAAACTTGTCATCATCCGATTTATAGCTCAGGAAGCACGTCCTTCCCAAAGTTGATCCATCTCAGCAATCGATATGTGATTACGTTAGCGCAACATGATTCATATGAGCTGGCTCTTGCAGATAACCCGGATGTGTTACAGTACACGGTAGAGCCCTCTGATGTATTCCTCGTCGGGTTTCCAATGTAAGTCTTATAGCCGCAATGCATGCATCTATGGCGCATTCACATAACGCCATATGACCTTAGGTTCCACATGGGGGGTTTGTACCAGATGTTTAGTCCCATCATGTCACAAGCAAGCACGCTCCTATTCTCCCAGCTGCCAATTCAGCCTCGAGATATCATCACGGCGATCGATACATATAATGTTACCATCTCAGGGCAGCTTCCTATTATACTTGAGCAATTGTACGAGTATTTACAAGAAACCGGCAACACAAAGCCGCTTGAGAAACTTAAAATGTTGCAGTAAGGAGATGTAGATCGCGCCTAGTGATACGTTTTCCTTACTAACAATCATGAAAAAAGCTATGGCGGTGCACCTTTGAGTAAGGAAGTAGGTGATTTCTTCCAATCATTTTGCAAGCTACAATGCCGTTATGGGTCGACAGGTAATAAAGAAAAAAAGCATCAAAGAACACATTCCAACTACGATGATGGATCCTTTAGAAATGGGGATCACGTTTCGCTCTAGTGATTTACATGGCTGGTCAACGCTCCAACCTGTACGTATCATAAGCGATTATTGCTACATGGAGCCTTTTGATGGAAACTTGTATCACCTGGTAATCAAGGCTGGATGCCCTACACTTGCTAATCATTTGGTGACAAGGCCTAATGGAGATTATGCAACCAATGACCTTATGATGGAAGATCCACCAGGATCTCATTGTTGGCGTACAATGGGTCGCTGTGATGATACGCTCGTGATGCGAAATGGTGAAAAAACAAATCCAGTGCCAATGGAAGCTGCCTTGCGTCGTTCACCCTTGATTAATCGATGTACAATCATTGCACAAGATCGGCCTTGTACTGCTGTGCTGATCGAATTATCACCCGAAGAGGCTAAAAAGTACGATGCGAACGATTATTACACACAAGGTAAGAATAAGTAATGGAAGGTTTATTGCTGTTGGCTCATAAATGAAGCACAAATAGTGAAGGCTGCTGTGGACGAGGCTAACAAAGATGCTCCAAAGCATAGCACGATCTTGCCACAAATGATTTATATCCTCCCATTGGAAGAGCAATTACCCGTAACTGAAAAAGGCACGGTGATGCGGGGACGTGCCATTGAGCAGTTTGCAAGTATCATTGATACCATGTACAATAACTTTTTGAGTGGGAATATTACACCTGCTTCGTCTCAAGAGAAAAGAGTAGAAACAGTGACAGCTGATTGGAGCTTGCAGGATATTGAAGACTTGCTCATTCGAGTAGCATGCGACATTTTACAAAGGGATCTAAGCACCTTCGCCAACCAAGATAGCAAGAACCGCTCATTGTTCGATTATGGGCTTGACTCCATCTTGGCAATCCAGCTGCGTAATCGCATTGGCCAATTGTTTGACACCAACCTCGCTGCGAATTTCATATATGAGTATCCTACAATTACATCAATGGCAGCTATCCTCAAACCTGGCGAGAGTAAGATCTCCAAGGACAGCTACCAAGTGACACAGGAATTGCTGATGGATTATTTGGAACGTGCTGATAAGGATTTCGACCGGGTTGTCCATAGCAACGACATCAACAAGCATGACAACGAGGTCGTCCTTCTTACAGGAGCTACTGGTACGCTGGGTGTGTATATCCTAAGGGATCTCTTGTTATCCCCAAAAGTATCCAAAGTATATTGTCCAGTGCGAGGACCTGGTGGCACATTCATTGAAGACCTTGATGTGTTGATGGCAAGGATCAAACAAGCGTTTATTGCTAGACATTTGGATACAACCTTATTGGATGAAGGTGGCAACAAGATACAAGTATTGCCCATGGATATGGATAACTCTTATCATCTTGGATGGGGCAAAGATACGTATGATCGGCTACGTAACGAAGTTACTGTGGTGCAAGCTTGTGCCTGGCTTGTGGATTTTAACCAACCCGTGACCCATTTTGACAAGTCATGCATTCAAGGATTATACAACCTTTTGCATTTTGCTTATCGACACACCAACCCAATCCATGTGCATATTGTTTCCAGTGTGAGTGCGACAGCTGGTGTTGACGCGCCTTCCAATGTTCCTGAATCGGTGTTGATGCCTGCCATTCCTCAAACGGCATTGCCAAATGGGTATGCACAATCCAAATACATCGTTGAGCACTTGTTCGAGTTTTTATGGCGTGACAAAGGATGGCCATGTATGGTGGAGCGTATGGGTCAAGTGTGTGGCGACAATCAACACGCCATGTGGAGCCCATCCGAGATGTATCCTCTCATGATCATTGGTGGTGGTGCCTTCCTTGGAAAAATGCCTGAATTCCCCAATCGCACCATCGATTGGTTACCTGTCGATCATGCAGCTACCGCCATTGTCGATATTATGCTCAAAACGTCGCCATCCCAAGTACAACAAGGTCACGTGTTTCATATCGTCAACCCAACTACAATGACATGGATGGAACTCTTAAGCAACATGCGCACTTGTGGTATCCAATTTGACGTAGTTTCACCTGAGGAATGGGTCACATCGTTAAGCAAGGATCAAGACAATCCTGCCTATCGGCTCCTATCCTTTATGGAAGCAGCAATGAAGTCCTCATCGCCAATTTCCAACATGCAAACAAGGGAAACAAAGAACACGATCAGCGTGACATCAGCTCTTAACGAAACATCAACGTTCAATGTCGACTTTATGAAAAAGCACCTTGAATACTGGAAGAGTATAGGATTTTATAAAGCATGATACAGTAGATACCATATATTGAGCATTCGTCTTTAATAAAGCTGACTATCATTAACGTGTGATGATGCTTGCAGATGTTACTAAACAACCAAGGTCACATGGTATATCAATATGGAAACTCAGCTACCCCTGAAAATGGTTCCACAGCATTTGCTTAAGCGTAAAAAGATCAAGTAATATATGTATGCTCTTATAGACAAGTATATAAAGTACAAATAAATAGCCTTATTTCACAGACAAATGTTCAATTTCTCTACCAATCTCAGAAAACAGGTCCAGCTTGCTTTCTTTGTAATCCAATGGCTCCATGGAGTTTTGATCCTGATGATGTTCCTTTTCTTCTTCCCGCTCTTCTTGCTCTTTAGATTGAAGCTCTTGTCGTCGTTTGACACTACGTTCCAGAGCATCGCAATAATTTTGATACTTGATGATCTCATGCAAAAGGTAATTGGATTTAGCTTCCCAATTACTCATGACCTTGGGATGATTGTGCGTCTTGGTGGAAAACTGCAAGGCATTAAAGATTATTAGTGTCTTGGTTGATATACCCTTTATCCAGCATTTACCTTGACAAGAATTTTCCTCTTCAACTCTCTGTGCTCATTGATCTCGGTACTCAATGCATCCAAATGCTTTTGTAGTGCATCGAATTGGTCTTCCTCATTCAGCGTACTTGATACAGTGGGTGGAGCAGGAGGTTTCCATTCATAAATGTTGACTGTGTCAGGGTTTCCAAAGTATTTGCCTGAGCCATCATCAGCGTCCAGATTGAGAATGACATCATCCAAACATGATCCCCAGCCGTATTCCATATTGCTCACACCACCAGGCAATGGTTCCTTGCTTTGTCTTGCTGCCCAATAATTACACGTTTCTACCCATTCTTTGGCCTGATCCTGTGATGCTGTTTGGAACAAGAAAACGCCACCATTCGATTGTTGAATTGCAAATACATGAGGTCGTTGACGATTGTATCCAGGAGGTGGCAAAATGTTGGAAAGGGAGTGATTAAGACTGATGCTACCCAAGAGTTGCATAGTTGACTACATGATTCATAATAAGTAAACCATCATAAACCATTTCTTATATATACACTTACTGCCCATCGACCACCAAGCATTGAATTGGGACTACTTGTTGCTGATCGGTTTAGAGAATCTGCCAAAGTAGCGAATGTATTGACGCTGCTCATACGAAGCAAGCTACGTCGTTCCTCGCCAACGCTGCCTTGCATGGAATACATTTTAAACTCCCCATTGCCAACTACCAAGAAACAATCCTTCCATTCACGATGCTTGGCTTTCTGATTCGCATTCTCTAGTAGATGTTTCCTTGCTAGCATGCCTTCCTTGAGATAAGGTGGTCGACTTGTGAAGAGATCGGATCCATGCGAATGCATAAAACTCATCATTGGTTGATTCGGGGACAAGGTACTACCACCACCGCCACCACCAATACTGCTTGGAGAACGTGCGTTTCCATTGATGGTGGATGAAGCGCCTGATGTTGAAGATGAAAAGGAGGCACGTCGTGGTGATACAGCAGATGGTGTGGGTTGATCAGCACTCGTACTTGCTCTGGGAATTGGTTCTTCGGGGTATATCACGCTTTCACGTCCTGATTTGCGAATCATGGTATTGACACTACGCTTGAACTCGGCAACACGTCGCCCACCCATCAAGATGCTATTGCGTTTTTCAACTCCATCCGACGTATTGACCGTCAATTGTTGCTGTTGTTGACTCTCCAATGGCTGTAAAATCTGGTTTTGTTTGACTGATCCATACAATTCCTATCACAAGAGCGATAAATAGTAATTAGCATCTCTCATCAAATATGCTTGTGCCAATTATCCTCATTTACCTTCAAGCATATTTCCATATCAGCTTCCCATGTTTTGGTGAAAAGATGGCCTCGTCGCTTTTCTGGAGGGAGCATTCGCAATTGATCTTCGATCGTAGACATGGTGTTGCGTACAAATGCTTGTCGAGTCATTCTTGCGTGATTGCCTTGTGCGACATGAAGATCAGTGTTTAGCAGCAATAAGGAGTAAGCGACAGCGTAGACGATATCTATAACAATCAATGAGTATGGATGCACTTTCTTTTCCGAAATAGTACTTACCAATGTTGCCAAAAATACATTGCAGATTGCAATGCCAAAAGCGCCGAGCAAATGCTTCCAATATGCGATCAATCTGTTGCGCCTCCGCTTTGAAGTAAAGTTTGCTGCAAAGTTTTCTATAATGCCATAGTTTGAGTACAGCATTACAACTATGATTTGCCCATTCCTTCGTTCGTACCTGAAAGCGCTGTCAATTCGCATATTCTTGAAATCAAAGTTATCCATGTAATACTCAAGCGCCCGCGCATTGAGTGGTTTCCTATAATGGAAGCATACTTAGTATACGCAACATCAACTTTGTTCCCTACAAACTTACCCTTGACCTAGCCATTCAGCAGCACGCTCCTTTGTCACAAAGGACTCATCCCCATTCCATATCTTTTGTGCCGCAAATCGTGCTTCACCATCCTTAAGTTGAGGCTGTTGTTGTTCAAGTCGAATTTCTGGAAGTGCTGTATCATTTGCTTGAGTTGGCTCATTATCAATAGCAGCTTGTTGTCCATGAAAAGATCGCTTTCGACGCTGACTCATAGGTCTTCTTGGTGGTGGAGGTGAAAGACTTGTTCCCAATTCAACTTTTTCGGATGCTGCATCAGCTGATATGCCCATAGCATTGGCTGTTTTGGAGAGGGATAAATCTGATAAAGATGATGATTGTGGCGGCGTCTCTGGTGCTACGGATGATTCGATGGATGGAGATGGCGTTGAAGAAGGTGTGTTCTTTTCCACGACATTCGGCTCATGAGATGATGGCTGGGTGCTGTTTGGTATTGCTTCATTGTCATCATTCGGGAGTTTGGGTGGTAGAGATGGTACTGGAGGTGGTGCATTGATGCTGAGCATAAGACCGCCAGCACTGCCAAAATGACCGCCGCTCAATCGCTTTGATAAGCGTTTGGATATCCTCTTGCCATTCAACTTTTCTCGTTCCAGATCCTCTTGTGACATTCCAGTTGCATCCACAAATACATCTTCATCGCTGTCGGAAGAAGAAGCCTCATCATCAACTTCGTTGGTAATAATACGAGCTGGACTTTTGCCACGAACATTGTTACACACAATTTGTGCAAGATCAACTTGTTGCTCAGGTGGTTGTGCTGCTGATGATTGCTCCTTATTTTCCTCCTTATCGCTAGTTGTATCAAGGTCAAGTACACTTTCACTAGTTGGTCGTGAATCAGTTCCAAATGTGCTGTATAATGAATACGTTCCAGATGATTTGCCCGTGGATGCGTAAGACCATGTCGAATGTCGCTGCGTTTGATTGGAGGATTCATCATCATCTTTTTCTTCATCATTGATAGGTCGTAATGAAGCATTAGTGGATCCCTCTTCTTGTCGCTGTTGATGTTGTGATGGGATGTTGTTGTTGTTGTTGTTGATATGCTGTCCATAATAATTGTAAATATCATTGGCAATAGGATAAGCTGGCATGGCACTATCGGATGGATTGGATTGACGAGGCAAATGCTCTTGGCTGTTGATTAATATACTTCGTGGTGGTGGAATGGGTTGCTGGTAATGGGTTGTTGTGGATGAGTGATTGGATTGATGATGATTGTTATAGGGTGATGTAGAAGGAGGATGAGGTGCTTGTTGTTGCTGTTGTTGCTGTCGTGCCTTGTTAAAGTTAGGCCGTGTTCGAAGCTCAGCAGGCATCTTGGATAACAAATCGTCCGACTCTTGGAGACCAGCTCGTAATTCAGGTTGTAGATAGGTCTTTTTACCAATCTCAATTGACGGTATTTGTGGAGGAGGAGGTGCTGGAGGAGCAAGTGGTATATTGTGAGGATTGCGAAGTGGTGAATGATCATGTTGCTGCTCATTATGAGTGGTTGATGGTAATGATGGAGTGCTGAGTCCATTGTTGCTATGCTGCTGCTGCCTCATTCTATTATTGGATCTTCTTGTCAAATCATCGTCGGATGCCTGTATTATCATCGTTGTCTCGGTCAATGTTGAGAATCTTTGTCCTTTACCATGACGAGAACGCACCTTGCTTTGCAATCTCTTGAGCAGCTTACCGAATCCTGAAATGTTACCCCTTTGATTGCCCTGAAACAAAATGGTCTTAGTTGGGAAATTGATTATGCATTCATGACAATCAGATATACCTTTTTTATATGTAGCTCATCCCTAGGACTCATATGTGATTCGGGTGATGACATGGTTTGGCCTCGAATAGGTAACGTTTGATCTGAACGACCATAGGATGGAAAATATTTGAATTGATCTTGTCTCGAAGGTTGACGTAGCTGTTGCATAGCAGGCGTTGAAGACGAGGATGGCATACGCTGTGATGTTGTGGGAGGACTTGGTGCTTGTCGAGAAGGTACAAGTAGCACATTCTCATTCGGGTGAAGAGCATTGTGCGATTGTTGTTGCTGCTGTTGCTGGTGCCGTATTGTCGTAGGTGCCGGTGCAGCAGAGAGCGATCGATTGCGACGATGAGAACGAGTGTCGGGTGCACGTAAATGGTGCATGAGGAACAATGACAAGAAGAGCCGGCAATTGAAAGAAGGAAAAGAAAGAGGTGAGAGAAAAAGAGAAAGAAACAAAGAAGATTGGGTTCATTAACGCGCGACTTTGGAGATACAGAAGTGTCCTGTTGTGTAACTCTTCGCTATTTTGGTTTGCAGACACATGGATTACATGCTTACTTTGACTGGTATCCGCCGAGAAAGAATGCACTACACAGCCATGTTAGAATAGTCCAATACTGTTTTGGTTTGGCCATTACTGCTGTAACGACCTTCAATGCATTAATAAAATAGGTTGCTTGTTGTCCCGAGTTACTGTTTCTTGTAAGATATGGAACAACACCAGTTGCAAATGTCCCTGGAAATACGAATGGTGATCCGTAATCCATTTGTACTACCATTGGCGAAGCGCTGGTACATCCTGAGCATATGAGTGCATTTTGGCTAAACTAAAAGGATACGTTGCCATGAATACGTTCAACAGCTAGAGTAGCATTATTTAGCTCACTCCTCTCCTCGTCCTCCTTGTCCCAATTCAACCGATATATGGGATCATCGCTGCCTTCAATATTCCTTTCTCAAGTGGAATCGTGGCATCTGGTCACATACCTTATCCGTCGTCATAGGTAGATCATTTCTACCATTGCACTGGTAAACATTGCATGCTGACAACAAAAATTGTTACTCATTGTTTTACGCGCTCGCTACCTTGATTCCTTTTCGGAACACCTTCCTGAGCTATACTCTTTGAGGAAATCACTTCATTGGTTGACATCGCTGCAACATCTCTTTTTGAGCAACACTCCGGATCAACATATCCAAGTCTATTATACTCAGCAATGATCATACCACGCAGGAGATCGTTCCTCATAGTAGCGTTATTTATTTCTTCACCACTATTAAAGACATCACTTTGATGACAAACTAAAAGTCTACAATGCCGAAAATGGTTGACAAAACCACTAGATCACTCTCCCAATGGAAACAAGGGTCACTAGCAACCAGCATCTTATTCCAAAAGGTCCCACGATATAGAACCCAGCAGATAAGCTCTCAAGTGTCCCCACCCTTACAATGGCATCGTTTGTGTTCACATCCAATACATAATACATCATCAGAATAAAGCCATCAATAATACACTAATACAAGCTTGCCAGAGATAAATAAAGGTATACATTATGTTTAAATTGTTGCTCCTTATACTTTTCGACGCTCTCTATTCTGCTTAAAGCACAAGAATTGCACCACAGTGCTTTTTCGACTAAAGACCAAAAGATCCTTGACATGGTTCAATTCAGCTTGTAATTCACCAGCATTTTGTTGTTGAGCATCGTAAGACTGTTCGATGGATTGATAGATGAGTTGCAATGTTTCTGAAGCTGCTGGTGTAACATATTGCTGCAAAGTTTGGTGCATGAATTCGATCTCCAATGTTGCTTGCAGCATACCACCCATACCAAAGCGCTCCACTTGGCGAAAGCTCTCGAGACAATCATTGGCCATATTCTCAAGGAGAGCTGATACTGCACGATGGACAAGATGCTTGGTCACGCTGCTTACTTGTGAATGCACCATCACAAGCGTCATAAGAGCTTCATACACGTAAGGATGTACCTCTGTTTAAAGCATGTTAGCCATTGATCCACCCTTCCAATCCCTTCCCTTCATACCTGTAGGCTTGGGAATGCTGTACCAGTCAACACCGCTCAATAGAATTCCTTGTCGAATGATATCTCGTAGTAAACCAGACTTGCGCTTAATGTAATCATTAAAGAGAATCTTGTCGAGCTGGTCAACAACATCGATCAAGGTCTATAGAAGAATGTCAATAAGGAATCCTCCTATCAATCAAAGCTTGTCACTTGCCTTGAGATCTTCATCCATATTACACTTGTAAGCCATCTGGAATAATCCAACCAGCTTTGGAATGACCGTAGATCGCATATGAGCCAAATTCCCAACGGTAAGCAAGATACGCATATCCTACAAGGCATACTAGCGATTTAGCAATAGCCCAACGTGATCCATAATAAAGTATTACCATTGAATGAACATCGATCTTATCACGCTTTTTGGCCAGCTGCACTTCCTCTTTCTCATTCAAAGGCACATAATCCGAGAACGCAAGTCGCACCAATCCATCAAGGAAGGTATAAGTCGATTCCAAAAATGACGCACGGATCTTTTCCACATACTCTGGTTTCACTTCTTGTCGGCTCTGTGCCACCATGTCATCATTGGTAACTGCAAGTGTTGCTATTCGGAATGCTGATCTGGCACAAAATTTATGGTAATCATAATAGCGTTTGAGCAAGCCAGTACATTGAGGAAGCTCCGGATCCAGGATCCACTCTTCAAGCAAGTAAAAGCTCTTGGCATCTAATGATACGATCATCGTCAATGATCCAATTTCACTCTCTTCCCACTTTTGGCAGCAACATACCTCGTTCCCAGCATTTGCAAATGACTTCAACAAATTTCCATCTTGCCTTTTCCATAAGACCCGTCAAACCCGAGAATGCTTCACCAGCAAGATGAATGGCACTTATATCATTCACACAATGCGCCAAATCACTGATAATACGCGTGAGATACTCGGAGACATGGATCGAGCTTGCATTCACAGGAAGGAACCCGGGCATGATCACCGTTTCAGTGCCGTCAGCGTTTTGTTGAACAGGTAAAGAGGGCTCGTTCAATGAAAAGTAATCGGATATCAATGATGCATATAAATCAACAATGTTGCGTGACATGCTTTGGCATTGCTCCACTTTGCCCATATCCACTCCTTGTCGACGTTTACGGGAAGTTCCATTCGACTTGGCTGAAGCCTATTCATGCTTTATCAATATCATGCCACCCATTCACCACCATTTTTCATGTACCTTGTGTGCAAATTTGCCTTCAATAAATGCCTTTGATAATCGCCAAAAATCTGGCAAGCAACGCAACAACAATGTGGATAACGACTTGACAAGATCGGATATAAGTCTCCAGGCCCGCACACTTGGATCACGATCTACCATTGTCACGTGTGAGCACCCTGCATCCATGCATGTCATTGTTCAAAGTAAATTTACCTGCAGATGAATCGAAGCTCTTTGTTTGGATTTGGCCAATGGCTTTCTTGAGGGCCAAGCTACGTTGACAATCGGACTCGGCCGTGTCGTTGGTGGTACGCAAAACATCAATCTTCTTCACTGCATTCTCGCAAGTCTCCTTTAGCAAGCCCATGATCCATCGATATTGGCTGTCCAAATAGAACCATGCTGGATCTTCAGTGGTATCAAGATCAAATAGGAAGCTGAAAACAAACATCATGTGAGTAAAAATCCAGCAGCTTTTGCATTCATTGTTACTTACTTGATTGTCTTTTCTTGTTCTTCCATGCTGCGCCAAGGATCCTCCAACATTTTGAGAAGAACGCTTCTTAATTCCACCACAATCTTGTTGACTTCGGTCCAGACTTTGTCGAATACTTTGCGATGTAGTTCGGAAATGTTGCTCTCTTCCTCTGATCCATCCACCTTATCATCCTCCTTTTGCAAATCATGATAAAGATATTTCCCTTTGCGATAATCTCGAATAGCTGTCTCATACTTGTGTTGTTTGATTGATTCAAGAAGGCTGCTCGGCAAGTTGAAAAAGAACTTGTAGCGTTGAAGCACAGAGATCGTACTTCGCACCTTGTCGACCTTTTGACGTCGTTCAATGATAGGTCCATAAATAAGATCCGCACGTGTGTTTGCCTCTGCAACAACATTCCAATGAGTGTTCGACGCATTCCATGCAAGCATATGGATCTATTACATACCATCCAAAACCTTCTCCAAGTGTCTCGTTCCATACTCCTCCGCTGGATTCAATTGTTTGGATTTCATTTCATCATAAACGTGGTCCACTGTTTCCTTGGCACTCACAAATCGATCAAAGTTGGAATGCACCAAATGTTTCAATGCTTCTGCACGTTGATCGATGCTAAGTCGTAGGCGTTCTTCTCCAGCAATCAATTCATTGTAAGGCGTGTCTTTGTGTACTTGCTGCAAGAATAGGCGTGGTTGGAATGATTTGCTGGTAATAACAAGTGATGATTCTTTGTATAATAAAGTATCAGAATCCTGTTACTATCGCATCCAACGTTTTGACACTTACTCTCTCGTAGTTGCATCGCATTAACTGTGCTGTTTCGGAAATTGCTATATATGCGAATAAAGTCAATACTTGTTATCACTTTGTTATCACTCGTCAAGCTGCTTACTCGTCAAAGATAGTATTACGAATACCAAGTGGGTCAGCGTCGTCCGAGATTTGAAGGTCGTTATTACTGCTGTTGGCATCCTTGGCACCGTCTTGTAATTGAGCATCGTAGCGTTGGGACAGATGACGGAGGGTGATTTCAGCAACGACTGGTTCGTCTAAAGATCCTGCAGGATACTCTTCCCATATCTCTGGTTCGAGCGTGTCAAGTTGATAGAATCGCATGAGAGCTGCATCTTCGGCATATTCTGGCAACTCGGATCGACTAATCGTAGCCATCAAGGTGTTGAGTAGAAGGAGTGACGAAAAGGGAAAGCGTGCTTGCGTGCAACTCGCATAACCACCATCTTAATTCGCGGAGTGTAACTCATGCTTGTATGTAATCCTCGTACAATAAAAGTTGCTTTATTCTTCAGTGTCTAGTCTCTCCTATGGTATATTAAGAAAGCATCGTGCCATCATACATGATCATCGTTTGGGAACGGGGATTCTATTGATGTGTATCCTTTTCCAATATTGTTGACGGTAAAGGCGATTGAAAGATACAGATGCAATCTTCCCAGATGATAACGAGCAAACAACCTATCATTACCACGCATTCTTTCATCAGCTCCTTTTATCATCTTGTATACAAAATATGCATGATGGAGATGAAGCTATGTAATAATAAAGCGTGTATGGGTCTGACAAATCGTGCTTTGTGTGCAATGCAATGTAGCCTTTTTCTTCATGATGATCATTTTGTTTGGTGAAGTAATAGACAACGCAGTAGTATTGATAACAGCGGTGCTGATAGATGCAGGATGGTGCTATTACTGGATAGGCTCTTGTTCGGGCTGCCTGTACCTTTTGGATATCATCAGTACACAATACATGAGCTGGTGGCTACCCTTGGGGAATTGGGAAGGTGGGGATGCTCATTTGTTCTTTAGCTAGGGTGACTACATAGGAACAACAATGAACATAGCGTTATCAAATTGGTTTATGAAGCTCGACGTCTACATCTCAATGTGATGTGGGACCATATTTGGCATACACATAATACCTTCTTGATATCTCTTCTTTATCGGATGTTGTTTACGTACCTTTTTGAAAGCAATCATCGTTCCCTTTATGCAGCAACCTGTCAACGACACGTATGTAACCACCACGTGCTATTTTACGTCAAGAGTACCTTGTCTATAGTGCTCTCAGAATAATCAACTAGCAGCAACAGCTCCATCACGCTTATTATAGTATAGGTAAACATAAAAGTACCTGCTTAATAATAGAGCGTAGAGGCTTTATGAGAATAAAACTGATCAGCATGCCCAAGAGCATCTTGTGTGAAAGTATCAGATTCGAGAGGGGCAATCTCAATATCAAGAATTGATGTACAATGTTCATGCATTTATACAAGAGGTGTCCGACCTACTTAATTTCCACTTCTTTCGCTTCTTATTCCTCCCATTCTCAACTATTACCATTCAATTACAACTACCACCTGCGAACGATTGTCTTGCTCCAACCCATCATGTCAAGCCTACGAATGTCTTGATCCGATTGCACCTTTGACTGAATGGCGAGTCCATGGCATATGCACAGCGTTCTTGTCACTCTTCTACAACACACGCGACTCTTGACACAACACTGTTCTTACACGCTCCTCTGCCACAATCAAACGTAACAGCAGCATCTATTAGCAAGCTCTTTACGCCATTGCCGCAAACAGCGTTCTTTACTTGCAGCAACTCGCCTTACAGCCTTGTTCACGTGAACAGCAGATAGCCATCATATAGAAGCAGCTTTATTTGCGTTCAGCAACTTGCTTCAATACATACAACATCTTATGGATATGAATCTGAATACGACCTTGCTTTGGTACATGAGATGGAAGGGATGCATCTATTGACCGGCATGGTTCCCTTGGCCCATTTGGAAGGTGATGTTGGGTTTGGATGACACCACTTCAGAATCAACTATGCCGCAATACAAGCAACCTTCAGCTGGTTGAGCTGCGATCGAAGATGACCCACAAAGAGAGAGAGCAAGAGCCGGGTGGAAAATGAAGCGTATCAGCAGCAATCGCTTGGGCTTCTTTCAGTCAACAGCTTGGATTTGGAATGGTTATGGTGGTGCAGTGATGAGAATCATGGTGATTAGTTGTCGCGTTATCAGCAGGAAGGATGGATCATATCACGTGGCTACGGCTGATGAGGATGAGGATGAATTGGATGGCAATCATGGATGAAATGTTTATGGCAACAGTAACCAAGAATACAATGGCACAATGACACGCGTTGTCTCTATGCGATTCACACATATTTCCTTCATCTACAATGTTATCTAGTAACACACTCGCCTTTTACATTTACGGCTACGATCCAATAAACATACTTTCGTTCCTTGAACAACTTCTGCCATTTGCATATATTTCGCTCTAAAGTTTAAAATGACAATGAATGGCAAGTTTCCCTTGTGCTGTATGTCAAATTGCGATATGGGCCATCGTGACCTTTAGCCATCATGAGCGTATCAACAGCTGCCGTATTTCATACACGCGTTTTTTCGGGGTGTTTATTTATTACACGCTTGTTGGACTTTGCTAGCTTTGGATTACAAACTATTGCTTCGAAGATGGAATAATAAAGGTGCTCCTGTTATCGGTCATGCAAGAAGTATATAGGTTTTGTGATACAATAAGGAGGAGTGGTGTGACCTTGAGAAGAGAAAAAGTGAAGTGATCCCTCCATTGAGTTTCAGGATGAGTGACCGATCAATATGTATACGTATCTTTCTACATACACGAATTGGTTTATGCAGCTCGACCTTCTCCTACATGCAAATGTGATGCATACCTTGACACGCCTTCATTATTGGATGCTGTTTACTTACGTACCTTCACAAAAGACAATCATCATCACCATCCATTTGTGCAGCAATCTGTCAAGGACGTGTCTGTGTAACCACCGCGTGCCATTTCACTCAGCTCTTCATCTTTCCGTTAATGCAGCCGACACCATCCACTAGGAAAAAGCAACACCATCACACTTACAGCATAGATAAAACATAAACGTGCCTGTGTCTCCAAACTTTACAATGAAACGTGGGGTTTTTATTAGAGCAATGGGCTCGGCTTGGCCAACAGCACCTTGTGTGAAAGTTTCACGTTCAATGTCGCAACTAGCCCAAAAAATATTTTTTTGGTCGTCGTCGTCGAAGAGATCGACCCCCCCCCGGATCCAGTTTGGCTGGTGGCGACATTGCGAAATCTGGGATTGGCCACGATGAACGTGAAACTTTCACACAAGGTGCTATTGGCCAAGCCGAGCACATTGCTCTAATAAAACCCCCACGTTTGATTGTAAAGTTTAGTGATACAAGCACCTTTATTTTTACCTATGCTGTAAGCGTGATACTATGTGATAGGTGCTCTATGTACACTTGCTCCTAAAGCTAATAGAATAGTATTGTATGCAACCATCATCAACATTATGGCCCGTGCGCTTGACTATGGAAATGCCTGCTGACTTTGAAAAGCTATCAGTGACGCTGACAATGACTCCATTCCTTGTTGCTTGAAGTGTCCCTATGACTTTGCCTTCGATATTATGGAGTCATTTTGCATGAACTTCACGATTCACTGGAAAGCCAACCCTCGGGATTTGGGACCCGAATGTTCCTCCTGCTTACGATGAGGCTGCTTATGATAATTCATATCGACTACTTTTCTTGCTATACCAATGTCTTCAAATCCACGTCATCTACGCCCATCCAAGCCATTGCCAAATATACTTAAGGTTACCCAAGAGCGGCAATTGATAATGGTTCAACCCCCTTCCATCGCCAAAAGGCGTAGTAAACCATTATAAAGATACAACAGCATGTGTGGAATCTCATGCTCATATCATCAAACGATGACGTATATTGATGCCATGAAGGAATTCCAGCAAAAGCTTACCATCCTGCATTTTAGTGTATCAGCTGGGTATTTGCTACCAATAATGTCATTATCAGCATGGTACAACTGAGTCATTGATGATCGGTGTTTTTTGGGTAGGATAACAATTGACTCAGCACCGTAAAATGATCACCGCCAGGAACTCCTCCCAATGTCCCATGGTAATAATGTACCCGTGGTCAGACCACAATATGCCTCGTGGATATGAATAATAGCATTGGTGGAGTGACACCACGTGAGGAGAATCTAAAACTATTATTTGACGATGTAAGCTCACAAGATAATCCATTGTTGAAGTTGCACAAGGCTTGACGTTATCAGTTCCCAATACAACTGCAAGTCCGATCGTGTTTACGCATGAAAAAGCGTGCTCGGCGGCGGATTGGTTCTTTATCTCTCTCTCTCTCTCTTCCTTTTCCTACCCACAATGAAGTTTGGCAAGACATTGCTTCGCAATCAGTTACCAGAATGGTCCAAGAACTATATTTCTTATAAGGCGTTGAAGAAGTCTATCAATGAGGCTGCTGGTGAGCTGCCACCTTCTGAGGAAGTTATTACAGGTACATTGGGAAGTGGGATCGTGATGGGGATTTGACCATTGCTCATTGTCTTGTTCACAGCCATCTTGTTTCAACTGGATCGTGAGCTTGAGAAGGTGGATACATTCTACAGCTACAAGAAGAGCCAAGTGGATCGTCGTCTATGGATCTTGTCAGAGAAGTACAATCAACATTACAACCCACCTGAACCATTATCCCCATCACCCGAGCGAGAGCCCTATGTGGATATCAATGAGGAACTACTGAGCGCCTTGCAGGAGACTCGTGCACAAATGAACAAGGTCATGTGGTTTGCCGAATTGAACGCCAAAGGATTTCGAAAGATATTGAAAAAGTAACGTCATGGGTGGTGGTATGGAAGCAATGTATGCAATGTGTGCTAACCATATACTTCCTAGATTGGACAAGAAACTGGGCCTTGAGTCACAGAACGTTTACTGGAATACAAAGGTAGTCGTTTGTTGCTCTCTCGCTCAGTCCAACGTGTTGTATTATTCCCTGTCCTGTAACAAGATCGACACCTTGGTTGTATATGTACTTAGGTGTCAGTGCTCCCATTTGCATCCCAAGGCCAAATCCATCAAGAGATTGACAAGTTGACCCAATGGATCTCGACCTTGACTTTATCCACATCTGTGACGGATTCCACCCATGGCAAGGCAGCAAACAAGGGTCAACCAGCATCGGTGGCTGTCAAGCTTCCTTTACCATCAACAATGCGACGTCATAACAACATTCTCAACGAGGAGGAGAACGATTTGTTTTCGGAGGCTATTGAGGATGACGATTTGTTTAAGCTCAAAGAGCTCCTGAATTGTGGTTCACTTGCCGCTGTCAAATGCAAATCTCATGCTGATCAGGTAAATGCCCCCTCACTTTTCTTTCCCAATTAAGAAAGCCCCGTCCCATCTCCCCCTCTTTTCTCGTGCTAACTTTAATGGGTTGTGGGAATATTAGACACGTTATGCTCTTTTGGAATTGGCAACACAAAGAGGATCCATCCATTGTCTCGAATACTTGATTCAATCCGGTGTCAGCCCACTCGATCACCGCGATATCAATGAACGCAACATCCTTCACAAGTTGTCCATCTTGCTATCCGATGCTCGTCCTGAACATTCTCCTTCCAAGGTTCTTCAAACTTTGTTGCATCTTTCCCCTGAATTGCCAAAGCAAGTGGATTTTGCCGGTCGTCGTCCTTTGCATTATGCATGCGAATTTGGTCAATCTGAAATGGCAAAGGTGCTATTACGACATGCAATGGAGTATTCGTATTACGGTGACGATGGCTTTGCTGACCCAAGATGGCAAGATCGTGATGGTCATACTCCACTATTCCTTTCTATCCTGCATGGCAACTTTCAAACTTTAAGCGCCCTGGTTGAAACTGCAAACATTACAGACATTGATGGAGTTATTGCAGGTAATTACGATTATTGTTTTTTCTTACATGATAAGCATCTGACTTTATTGTTTTCGTATTAGCTGCATCAGTCAAACATACGAATGGAAACACGGGGTCAAACGATGATGTTCCAGTCCCTGAATTTGCACGTCAATCCCACCATCCTTCAGCAGTCGCAATGGCTTGCACGTTATCCAATTTGGAATTGTTGTATCTCCTCATTGATACAGGCGCGTCAGTGGATCTTGCCGATGAGGATGGAGAGACCCCTTTGTTGATTGCTATCAGGAACCAGTTTACTGAAGGTGCTCGTGTTCTCATCACACAAGGTCATGCAAATGTCAACCTTCCTGAAAAGGTGAATGGATGGACACCATTGATTGTAGCAGGTAAAAAAAAAGTGGCTCGGAGAAAAGTTTCATGCAAGGGGGGAAAAATACTCATGTGACATATACAATAGCAATGGAAGGGTCTTATGACATTGCCCAAATCCTTCTCGAACATGGTGCTGATATGTCTTATACGGACTATGCTGGTTGGGCTGCATATGAACACGCCGTATTTCGAGGTCACCTGGACATTGGCAAGTTGATCAAGCCAAAAGATATTCCTCGCAAGCTTGCAAGCCCAACTCATGTCAATGGAAATGGCACCGAAGCCAATGGTCATCATATTCTCAAGGCACGCTCAAGCGCAAGTCGATTGTATGGTCACAAGTATTTGACAGACCAAACCATGATCATTATCAAGTTGGGATCCAATGACATCCGCAATCCATTGTCCAAGAACTTTTTGAATCTTCATGATAACAGCCTTGAGGATCAACGCATGTCGATTGCCGTATCAGCCACTGGTGCCACTGGAGAACTTCCAATCCTTGATTTGCCCGAGAACAATCAACAATACCTATTACAGCCTGATCCCATGGTGCTATTCTGTTCCAGACCTGAAGATGTGGTCTTACGTTTCGATTTGGTGGAAACATTTGCCTCACCTCAAGCGTCGGATGCCATTATTGCTCGTGGCACTGCTATCATGGCAACTGATCAAATTTATACAAAGTCAGGCGGCTTCAAGGGTCAAACAGCTGGCAACTTTTCGCTTCGTGGACAACAAACCGTACCCTTGATTCGTACCAAGACCTTGGAATACGTGGGCACTATTGGATTTGAATACTTTGTTATCAAGCCATTCACTCACCCAAGAATGTCGGTTGGTGATCGTTACACTTATTACAAATCGGTGGATACAAAGGTAAAGGCTTCCATATCAGGTGGTTCAAGGATGCTGAGTACTTGTGATTTCATAGATCATTGGTCATCGTGGCTCTGGTATGAATCGAAAGAATTCACATCTTCAAGTTGGAGAGAATACAGTGCTTTCTTTTATTACTGCCGCATCTTTGGGAGCTGAGTATGTGGAATTTGGTAAGCATTATAGTCGATGATACATTTCTAGGGAGGCTAAGACCTATTTCCAATAGATGTGCAGCTTACAAAGGACATGGTGCCTGTCATCTATCACGATTGGACCGTTACAGAAACCGGATTTGATATCCCCTTGAACGCAATTACAGTGGAACAATTCTTGAACCTTAGACCATCAGGACACATCAAGGAGTATCACACGGGTGTCAGTAATGGGCCACATGGATTGCTTTTCCCCACAATCAACAACACACAACCTGAACCTGTATATCCCCTTGTCAATGGCAATTCAGCAGCTTTGTCACCCACTGGTGCTCGTATGGGTCGTTCGAACTCCTTAGGCGCTATTGGCGGTGTTCAGATGTATGGTCGTAACGTGGCATCCAAGCGATTAGAATTGACTCGCACCAACAAGCTGGGTAAGCTCAAGGGAAATGGCCCTGAAAGCATTCAAGCACCATTTACAACTTTGGTTGAGGCTTTGAAGGTATGTAAATGCGAGGATGCTTTTTTTCAACGGCAATGATCTAATGGGAAGATATTATGTAGAAAATCCCAAAGTCTGCTGGTTGCAACATTGAAGTGAAATACCCTATGGTGGACGAAGCTGAAGGGGATGAGCTCTACCAATTCCAGGAAATCAACATGTTCGTCGATACAATCCTCAGCTGCGTTTACGATAACACCGAGGAGGATCGTCGCATCATCTTTTCTTCTTTCCATCCTGAGATTTGCCTCGCACTTAACATCAAGCAACCCAACTACCCAGTCTTTTTCCTCAGTGACGCTGGTACCTTACCCATGGCTGATGTTCGCTGCAACTCCCTTCAAGGTGCCATGCGATTCGCAAAACAAGCCGATCTCTTGGGTGTTGTTCTAGCAAGTGAACCTATCCTGGAAGCTCCACGTATGGTCAATGTTGTCAAGGAATCTGGATTGCTCCTTTTCACGTATGGTGTCCTCAACAATGAAGTGGAAAATGCTGTGGCTCAACGCAATTATGGTGTGGATGCGGTTATTGTGGTACGTTATCCTTCCCTGGTAAATGAAAAACAACAAAGAAGCTGAATCATTTTCTCTTTAGGACTCTGTTGTGGCTGTCAGAAAAGGATTGAGAGGTGGCGATGCCCAAACAACTACTTAGAATGCTATATCCACATGATCACCCAACACATTTTCCTATTACGATTTGTACAAGCGATTTATGATATGATTAAAGATTAAAGCAATGCGCTAGTAACGACTACCAGTAGTGATGGAGAATGGATGAAGTGGCTGTTGGCTTGTGGTTTGTGAGGTGTAGCTAAATAGTCCATAAAGTATCATGCAATAACTTTTAAGAGAAAATGTTTCGTATCCAAGAGAGCCAGCCTTGATTGTTCTCCCTGGAAACGTGTTGCTGAGATACATTGTCTGAAATAGGTTGCTGGGATACATTGTCTGAAATAGGTTGCTGGGATACATTGTCTGAAATAGGTTGCTGAGGTGCATTGTCTGCAGTAGGTTGATGAGATGCATAATATGGTGTGGTGCTGCTGCTTGCGATTGGTCGTTGTTGTTGAGGTTCATTTTCATCACCCAAATCCCATCCACGATCAATAGCATCTTCATAAATGTCTGCAAGATCTTCAATTTGGCTTCTAGCTTGGCGGGCCAACTCGCGTTTAGCTTGACGGTCCAACTCGCGTTTAGCTTGACGGTCCAACTTGCGTTGAGCTCGGCGGTCCAACCTTTCTTCGGCTACGTTAAAAATGAGGTTAAGGCCAAAAAAGTCTTCACATCTCGATCTCTTTTACCTGAAAGTCGTAACCTCTTCCGTTTTCTTTTGCTAGGCATCCGTGTACCGCTGCTATCATTGTTGGATGCTGTAATTGATTCTCTCATAGGTAAAATTGAGCTGACTTGACTCCCACGATTGTGTAGCACTGTTTGATCCATTGCATGATGAAAAGGATCCGACGATGACGATGAAATGGTGGAAGAATTCGCTTCAGGCCTGCTGATCATGGCGATACGATCTGGGTGCATTCCATTGATCAAATGTGAACTTGATGATGTGCTTTGGTCATTGGTTGTAAAGGTGTTGCTATTGGAGCCCATGCTGGAGATTATTACTGGACCAAAGTCTCTGTTACGCTGGTTGTTTTGAATGTTGGGTTGGGCTGCATTGATATTCGTGTTGGATGAAGACGCTGTATTTGAGAGCATGGCCAAACGATCTGGATGCATACCATTGATCAATTGTGGTCGTTGTGCAGTGGATGTCTTGCGAATGTCGCTTGTAAACGTGCTGGTGCTAGTTACCCTTGTGCCCATAGTTGCCGGATTGGGATCCATGAAATAGCTGACGTTGTCACTGTTGGATTCAAGCTTGCTATCGTTCTTTGGCGGCGATTGACGGGCTGATGATTGGAGAATAGGATGGTCGATGGCAGTACCTTGACTATGATATATAACACGTGAGATGATGATCATAAGCATACATGTCACAAAAACACACTTACGCTCGTTTGCGTGAATTAGTTGCCAGAGCTGTAGCACGATAGCCGAGAGCCAAGTCTTCTTTATAGGTCATCACATGCTGTGGTTATCGTATTAGTATCATCCTTTTCATAATTCCAATCATAAACGTAACGATACTTACACCAATAACGCGCCCACTTCTTTCCTTTATCATCTTGATCACAGTAGCTGCATCCGGTGATTCTGGTAGACGACATCCACGTATGGTTCTTTCAGCCGCAATCATACCTATCCACACCTACTTTAGTAACCTTTCAACCTCGAAGACTCCAACATCATACTAACAATCTGAAATCCTTGGGAAGCGTGTGTATACAATCAATGTATTTCCTGGATTTGAAGTTCGGATCGCATGCATAACAGCCTAAACACCTTGATTAGATCGAGATATGTAATAATAAAAGTTGAAATCAAAACACTTACACGTAATGCCACATCTTCGTCTGATAATGCATCAGCGTTTCTCGATACAATCGCCTCATCATATTCAGGATGAACACTGTCCTTCCATACCAAAGCAAACGCAGCTACTTGCACGCCGTGTATCTCATGTCTGCTCACTCCAATATACACCGTGTCACCCGCCTTAATGCATGTTAGCCCTTTCCAAACGACTGTATCTGTACCTTGATATTTACCTCACGGAATCGTTCATGAACTCCCTATAATGGCGTCGATTAGTACTGTAGACGCTTATTCATAGGTAAGCTTACCGATTCGCCTGCATTCGCTGAACGCCCCAATTGAAAGTTAGCACTTGTCGATCGGCTCAAATAATACTTGTCGCGATAGGATCAGCTTTGGAATGACTACTTACGAACATCGTCTCGTGTGGTCTTGCTTCTCTTTTTCTTTTTGGCCATGGCGGGAGAAAAGGGGACGTTGCAAAGAAGGGTAAATCCTGCATTATTCATTTTGTGTCCGATTTTGCGTCACATGACCGTTACAAAACCCCGCATTGAATGGCATGTACTTGCATCATTGTTTCATGAGCACCATTCTGGTATGTTTTTTAGGCACCAATGAGCACTTCAAGTGGTAAAGCAATTATGTGAGCTATAGATGAATGCATGAGTGCTTGGGGATACACATAATAAAGGCCATCCTTGAGACTTATGAAAGGCCATTGATGATGGTATGAATACAAGTAAAAGGGAAAGGACGTATGATAGTGTTGGTGCAAAGGGCCTTGTTTATATATGAGTGGGCGTGGGGTTGTTGTCATGGTTGATCAAACTGATAAAGTGGTCAAGCATCTTGGAGTACCGGGTCGATGTGATAGATAATCACAGTTGATAAATCCACCTGCCACTCGAAAGGTGATTTTTTGTAGGTGACATAAGTATGTCCTTCTCTAACAAAGAGGAAAGGGCCAAGGTGTGGTCATTTTCCATACATGAATCAACAACTACATTATCAGCGAGGTGAAGTAACAATACTACCCATTATCAAACAATGACAACCATCTGCTGTTATGGTAATAACATTCCCATCTATGCATCACCACTCATTGTCCTCATACATGTATGCATACCACAAAGAAAATTATCATCACCAGGCTATCTTCAATACCTTTGTACGTGTACGTCTGCACATTCGAATACTACAAGTCAAAGCTACCGGCACTGGCAACGTGGTATGCCATTTAGGTTTGAATGACACATGATGTAAATGGTAAAAACCGAAACTCCAGTGTTGGCGTTGTAGTGTTGTTTGTATATGTGCTTGCTCTGATCCATGCTTTCCCCACTCACCATCTTATCGGTAATCCGTGCACGTGCTTTTATTTCTACACGTCATCCTGGCGTTGTTGTAAGATTGCTTGTCAATAATTTTCGTACATTATTCAATGGGAATCACAGCAATAAGGAAAGACAACGACACTAAAAGTATTACTTTTGATATCGTATACCATGTAATTCACCATTGTACACAGCATCAATCAACAAATCCCAACAGTATAAACGTCGTTGATACAATACTAATCCCACAAGTCGTATAATTGGAACGTCCAAAATGGCTCTTAGCGAAGAAAAAAAAAAGATCACGTGACAACTTCCGAAGAAAAAAGAAAAAGATGTATCCGAAGAAGGAATTCAGGATCATTGCTCACTACAGGGGTCGAACCTGTGGCCTTGGCGTTATTAGCACCACGCTCTAACCAACTGAGCTAAGCGAGCCTTTTTCCTTGTCCTCTTGTGATTTTTTCTACGCCCGGTACTATATATACCACAAAATTGCCAAATACGGGTGAAGTTAGTATAGTATGGAAGGACAATAAGCGAATGATATCATAGGATTCCCCTTGTTTTCTTTTCCCGCATTCGAATTCGAGCTCAGGTTTGTGGAGGGCGCCAAGTGCCCAAATCCAACCCATTTTCCCAATATCCACTTTACACGATCAGAGCGAATGCACCTGACAACGACAACGACATGTGGAATGAGCTTTTATAATATGAAGAGAAGGTGAAAAGGTCGTTTGTACAGCGTATATGGTCTTGCACTTTTTTTATCGTTTGATATCAGCATGCAGGATTCCACTTTATTATCTTCACATACGATCCAACAGCAGCCAATATTTATTCCAAGTATCACTACAACGTTATATGATGGAGTAAGAAGAAACATAGGTGGGTGATCACTGATAGATTACTAGAGAGGGAATGGAGGCGATATGTAAGAGTATTAAAGGATAGAAATGTATAATAAAGTACTTCCATTTCAGAAGAATTTGTTATGCTTGGATACAATGAACACATTTGAATGATGCATTTTAGAAGGCTGACACGCTTTACATTCATTGGTATTAGGACGTGTTGACCACTAAGCTTTTTATTCCATTATCATCAGGACAAATCTTTTGAGTCTCTTTTACATAATATGCATTGTATAGCGATGTTGTCAATGTAATGAGCAAGGGAGGTAGGTATATGGAAGAAGCACCCAAGTCATGGTAATTTAAGGTTCAGTTGAGAAGCGTCTTTAGCGACGACGGTGGAAGTGCTTGGGTTGATATCTCTTTTTCTTTGTTCAGACACAGCAACTTATGCCTGCCGATCAGAGTCATCCATTCGCAACATTTCCTGCAGCACCTGGAAAGGGCGTCAATGGCCTTCGACCTTACTATACGCCTGGTCTCTTGAACGACAATTACACGCCCATTGTTGGTCAGGGTCCCGGTTCTGTTGTTCCCTATTATGCAAATGACCACGATGATCTGATTGACTCACGCGCCGCTGCTCGAGAACTGGTCAATTTCACGGTGCTCAAGTTCCTGACCACTGCAATCAGTTGTCCCTTCGAGGTTTCAAAGACGTTACTCCAAGTCCAGTATATGCCACACGAGGATGTGGAAGTTACGGCTGCTGCTGCTTCTGCTGCGTCAAAAGAGGATGATGAACAACATCAACAACAACAACAGGTAATCTATTCATCAAGCACTATCGATAAAGAGACAACTAAAGTATATGCTTTATGAAGGACTTTTCATCGGATGAGGATGAGGATGAGGAGGATTTTTATGGATCAAGACATGAGGCTGAACCTGCACCCACTGCTACTATGAGCCATGAGGATCCAGAATTCAAGAAATCAATGGCTGTGGATGCGAGTGGCTACGTGATTCGCAAGAGTGTATACGACGATGCTACTCGACCTGCATATCAGCTCAAGCCACTGGATGGTGGAGTATGGCAAGGAATTGGTCGACTACTCAAGCAACCCCATGAAGGATGGTCATCTCTATTCAAGGGACAATACACCAACTGGCTATATGAAATCATGCATTTGTTTTTGCAACCAACCCTTGAAGGCTCCCTGAACGACATGTTTGATCTCTATGACGACACAATCCCGCTGGTTCATCTTGATCGTGTGGGTCCCAATCTGGCAACACTTGTTGGTAGCAACTTGATTGTGGGTTTCCTTCTTAGTCCACTTGAATTGATTCGAACAAGGTAATTCATGTTGATGGAAATGGAAGATGGATGATATTAATATACATTTGACAGGTTGGTGGTACAATCAGCATCTCCATTACATCGCAAGTATAAGGGTCCTATGGATGCACTACGCACTATCTTGGCAGAAGAAGGAGGATTGCGTGGTCTTTATCTCTCCCACAACCTTATCCCAACGGTGCTCTTTCACACGGTGGTGCCTTTACTTCAAAATACAACACCTTTGATCATCGATCGCGTCTTCCACATCTCAGCCAACGATTCCCCTTTCTTATACAGCCTTGCCGAACTCGGTCTTAATACTCTCGAGATCCTCATCACTTTGCCTCTCGACACCATCCGTAAGAGAATGCAGTGCCAAATCCGTACTCGTACTCCTGGAAAGAAGCGATTTTCCCCTGTCGTTGCTTTACGCCCTGTACCCTACACTGGTGTGGCCGATGCCTGCTATCGTATCGTCAAGGAAGAAGGTGGTCGAAGAAAAAGGAAGCATAAGCGTACCATGTTTACTGGTTGGGGTTTACGCGGTCTATACCAAGGCTTCAGCATGCAATTCTCGTCTAATGTCATGTTGTTTGTCATGCATGCTATTAATGGTGTCGATGGTGAGTAGGCTTATGGGAATGTGAGTGATCCACATCATGATGCTAACATGTACTTTTAGATGAATACGAAGATTTTTGAAGCTTGTAGCAAATATAATACTTAAAAAGAGCACAAAATACAGATATAACATGGATATAAACTTTACAAGATTATAGAGAAGGATGATGGAAGTGGAAGGAGGGGGTAAAACTATGTTGTGGATGGATGGGTTTGTTCAAGTGCACGAGATCGCTCGATGCGTTCTTGATCTTCTTGTCTCATTTTCTCTTCATAACGAAGCTGACGTCTACGAAGGAATCCGCGCTTGAAATATTTCCAGACTTCAGTGAGGATGATGTAAACCAAAATAGATGCTGCTACGATTCCCCATTCCCAATCAATGCCCTTGTGCTTGAAGACATCTGTATTGAGAACAGGCACGTAAAGAGCGATAATCATCAATACAACGCATCCAGTAAATGATCCAAGCAAATAGTAGTTTTGCTTGCGTTTTGTCCATGCACTCCATGTCCATACGGGGTTCACCAGGTCGCGACATGTGAAACCATGCAACAAAATCATGAGCGTCAATGTTGTGAAAACAGTACCACGGGCCCTGAAAACAATTTCGCATGATGGATTGTATTCTTTGTTGCACAATTCACCAAGCTGGCCACCACCATAGCCGTAGACAACCACAATAAAGTTGAGTAAGCAAATGATGCCCATCATCCAACCATAGTACATCAAGTCAATCACATTCGATGTTGAAAAGAGGCCTTCGCTGGTAGGTCGTGGTGGTACAAGCATTTGATCAGGATGAACAGGCTCCAAACCAAGACTCATGGCGGGTGGCGATGATGTGAGAACATTGTTGAACAAGATTTGAATAGGCGTCATCAAGAAAACGGACGTATTCGTATTATCAAAAAAGCCGGTACCGATCACGAGGGGCACAACTTGAGAAACGTTGCCGGAGACCATGTGGACCACAAAGCGTGAAATGTTGGCAAAGACACGTCGACCTTCTTCGATAGCTCTGACAATGGTTGCAAAGTTGTCATCCACTAGCACAATCTCAGCAGCCTGCTTTGCCACGTCCGATCCATTTTGACCCATAGCAATGCCAATATCGGATTCCTTCAAGCTTGGAGAATCATTGACACCATCACCTGTCATACCAGTAATCCGTTTACGTCGATGAAGAGCTTCAATCATTTTGACCTTGGTATCAGGGCTACAGCGTGCAATCACCAATGGAAGCTGTGGCATCGCATCAATTTGTTCCTCGCTAAGCTTGTCAAACTTGGTGGCAGGCATGACCAAATCTTTGGGATGCTTTTCAGGATCATCCGTAAGGCCATAGTCATCCGGCAAAATGCCAACTTCTCGTGCAATGGCAGTAGCAGTGGCAGCATGATCACCCGTTAACATGTGAACAGTAATACCAGCTTGATGGCACTCGGCAACAGCAGCACGTGATTCCGCACGAGGTGGATCATAAATGCCAACCAAGCCCAAGAATTCCATGTCTTGTTCAATGGCTTCTCGAGTAAATGTATCGGGTCCAATCTCGCCTTCAGCCTTGATCTTTCTCATTCCCAATGTCAAAACGCGCAAACCACCTTTGGCAAGATCTTCCACTCGTGGCATGATAAGCTCATCCAATTCGCTTTGGTTCATCGATCGAGTTTCATCACCCATTCTTGCAGCAACACAAGAACCAATAACTCTTTCAGTAGCACCCTTGATAAAAGCATAGTAAGATCCATCCGGCGATTGTGCGATAATACTCATGCGCTTGATGGCAGAGTCAAAAGGATATTCGGCAATCAACTTCCAATTTCCTTTATCTTCAGATTCAGTAAGAGATGGTTTTCCCATATGGGCTTTGTATGCAAAGACTTGTAATGCAACCTAATAAACATACGATGCATAAGCAACATGGCCTTTCATACATGTAATGCACATCATCATACCTCGGTAGGATCACCAATACCATGATAGCCTTCAGAGTCCTTGTTCTTACGGAGCTCACTCATATTGCAAAGAGCACCGGCTAACACCATATCCCTGATGCCATTTGATAATTGATCCGTGGCCACGATTGTACTATCACTTTCACGCGTGATATCGCCCTCGATAGAAAAACCAAGCCCGCCAACCTTGTGGAATCCTTCTTCAGGTCTCCAAAAACGGGTAAGCACCATCTTGCTTTGTGTCAAGGTACCAGTCTTATCCGAACACACATTGGTTACGGCACCCAAAAGTTCCAAGGCTGAAATTTTGCGAACCAATGCATTTGCCTTTGCCATGGCATGCACACCAAAAGCTTGCGTGAGCGTGACAACTGCAACCAATGCCTCTGGGATAACAGCAATAGCTGTCGAGATAGCATAGAGGATTTGTGAATCACCAATCTGGAACTTTGCCACCGAGAAAACAATGATAATAGCAAGAATGGCAACAAGAAGCAAGTAAAGAGCCATACGATCCAAAGAACGTTGCAATGGTGTCTTGCGGCTGCTATCGCTTGTCAACAACCTTAATGCAATCTTGCCAATTTCGGTTTGCATCCCTGTAGCTGTAACAAGTGCCTTGCCACGGCCTTTGGTGAGGACAGTGCTGGAATAAGTCATGTTGATACGATCACCAAGTGGGATATCGGATCCTTCAAGCGTCTCGGTGCTTTATATAAAACAATGAGCCATCATAATACTCCCAATGAATAGTGGTGATATACTTACACTTTGCTAACAGGTACCGATTCACCGGTCAAGAGAGCTTCATCCACGTCCATGTTGAATGACCTATCACATGATCCTATGTTAGAGACATGATGCGAATTGGATAACACCATCTTAAGCTTTACTTACTCGATCACACGGCAATCAGCACCAACAACGTCGCCTGTTTTAAGAAGAATGATATCACCAGGAACCAAGTCGCGTGTAGCAATAGTACTCGATTCACCATTGCGTATCACCTGAGCTGTAGGGGATGCCATTTGGCGGAGGGAATCCATTGTCTTTTCAGCCTTGTATTCTTGTGCAAAACCAACACCTGCATTCAAAAGCATAATGACACCAATGACACCAGCTTCGACCCAATCTTTGAATACAAAGGACACAACCTAAAAACAATGAAAATGAGCCATTGTGTCTTTCAAGGAGAAGAACAACATACAATGACATACCATAGCAACAAGCAAAATCAACACCATGATATTGAAAAATTGCTTCAAAAGTAGCTTGACAGGGTTGACACCGCCTTCACCTTCCATTTCATTGTAGCCGGATTCGAGTCGACGACTTTCGACCTCCTTTTCGGAAAGGCCATCCACGAGGTCTGACTTGAGTAATGTAGCCACTGTTTCCAGGTCCATTGTATGATAAGGTGGGGTTTCCACTTTTTCAAGCTGTTCAGCACGCTTCATTTGACGACGCTTAACAAGGTTCATTTTGTTCATCAAGGCACTGCGTACGGAGCGTACATCAAAAGATGAAGTACTTTGCCCTGTGGATGAGCGAGTCAATGGATTTTGCTTGATCTTTTCATCTTGTGGACGACGTGTTGTAGTTGTCACCGATTGCTCGGCAAAGGTGATGGTGGTAGTAGTATTATTGGTATTGTTGGGTGATTTGGTATCTGATTCACTCATCCAACCAAAAATCGATCAAGAAGAAAAAGAAATGAATCCTGTTGCATGTAAAAGATGTGGCGCCCATTTTGTATTTGAAGCTCTTGGTTGTTGACCCAAAGATTCCAGAAGGGCAACCCTTTCTAATTCTGGCAAGCATGTTCCCCCACTCTTTTTCACATTTCCCGGATTTCACTCCACCAGGCTTTGGCTCTTCCTTTTTCGGATAATCGGAGCAACATAACGCTTTCCATAGTTTCTCAAGATCTTTGAAAGGTACATCATATGGGGGATGAGTACAGATCGATTTATGTATTTGAACAGCAAATGTTATTTGATTGTGGGAAAAAAATGAATTCTGTGCATCTTTGTGTGCTTCATTGGTGCTGAGTAGTGGTCTTGTTGTTAAGGTAAACGTATGTAAATACGCCCATGAGAAGTTGACAATCCATGCGATCTACGATACCACCATGTCCTGGAATCCAATTGCCAAAGTCCTTCATGCTGCATGAACGTTTCAAAGCGCTGGCCAAAAAGCCGCTAAAAGGAGCAGCAAATGATGCATACAATGAAAGTATCAAGCCATCCTTTGGAGACACCTGCTGAGTAGCATTCTAATAAAACACATGAGCTTCCAATGGAAACGTATTTTCTTTGTATTCGACGACGTTACCGGTAACAACGTGGGCAATATCAAGCTTGTTGACTGATGGAAGAAGAACGAAGATCAGTATAATGCATGATTTGTGTAACACAAGCGGTCGGATCACTTGCAATTTCCCCGACAGCCACGGTGGTGATAGCCCCTAGCATAAATCCCTCAACTGTCTTATTCGGACTCAAGGTATACAGAGGTGTGCGACCTAGCATCTTGCCAAATGTGTATGCAGCCACGTCATTCCAGATGACCAGGATCGAGGGTAAAAGGAACCTGACGTGAGGAAATCACAATTGAGAGAGACGTGTAAGAAGCAAGAAAACATCACATGGTATGCAACTACCATATCAATCCTTTTCCTTTACTTTGCATCAAGAGAATAAAACTTACCACACCATGCCGTGACGAATATTGTTGGTCAAGAAAAACAATTGCAACGATGTAAAAAGAACAGCAATGTGGATCCAAAAGAAGCGTACAAGTTGACCAAATACAAGGCTATCTTCAAACAACGCAACGTTGCCCGCAAACCCTACATGTGTGTGCCATGGTATCAGATCTAGAATGCGAGATTCGGAGGTAACGATCGTCAACTCACAAAACGTGTAGCACAAGATGACTGTCATACGATGGTTATAATCGAAGCTTTCACTTAGCGCCCAAATCCCCAGTGCAACAAAAAGAAACCTATAACAGCCACAACAGCAAGCAGTGGATGGGCTCAGTAGGTGCTACCGATCATTGTATACTCTTCCTACCAATCCAATACATGAGAATAGCGAGTGGCCAAACCAAACCGTATACGTCGTAGCTCCTGAGTTTAAGTAAGTGTTGAGCTTTTTGTCCAACGTTTTACATAAATGGAAGATCCAAAGTGATGGGGAGGTTGTTGTACCTGAAATGCTTTACATTCGATGGCACACACCAGGATGATTAAACCATTGGGGCCTAAAAAAATACAAAGGCCAAGACAAAGTATCATGATGCTGCCTGTATACAATCGACGGTGGGTATTGCTCAACATGTTGTTATTATTATTGTGGCGAGGATTTTGGAAGTAAAGGTGATGTGGGGATAACAATGGGATGAATGGTCTTTTTGAAATGGCCATTTTCGGTCTCCTTTTTATTATTACATGGGGGTATAACAGCCATGAATCAAGTTTCTGTTGACTCACAAGCGTAGGGATAAAGTGCGTGTGTTGTGTACAAAGTTGCGTAAGAGTGACTTAGCATGGTTGGAGATAAGGACACATCCTCTGAGATCAAGCCGTCGTAGTTGTGGGGGGCTATTCATCATGAGTGCGAACACGACCTTGTCATTTACAGCATTTCGATCATTGAGAAAGGTGATGCTTTCTAGGCCGCGGCATGTCTTGATTAGTGCTATGATTGATTCCGCATCCACAAAAGAAGTACTATTGCTGATTGTCACGTGCCTCAGATGAGGTGGGTTCATGCTTGCCAAACACAAAACAACATTGGATTGCATAAGCCAACATTGATCAATGCGTAATGTTTCAAGAGTCTCCATGCAATGATCCAAGATAAAAGTGACCAACTTTGGATGAATGCGCGTGTTGGATAATGTGATCGATTTAATCTTGCTTGTTTCTTGTTGTGTCACGAGACGGGTATCGCAGTAAGGGATCGTGCTGTGCTGTTGCCATGGCCACATACAATGTTGATCAGCGGGGCTGTAACCAAGAAATGACAATGTTGGGCAATACAAAAGGCACGCACGGAAGAATGTTGATAAGACAATGCCACAATCATAGGCAATCAAATCGCAAAGCCGAGGACAGCGATATAAAATCCAAACAAGAGCATGAATCGATGAACGTCGCATTGCTGAGATATCGAGATAAGACAAACGTGATTGCGTCGTGGTGGTGGTGGTTGTACCATTCTTTTTGGTCAAAAGTACGAGGTCATGGGCTTGTTGCAAAGAAGGCGTGAGTGTATCAGGATTATAGAAATCGGAGGCAAAGCAGCAACCCTTAGCACTGATGATCCGAAGCGTGGGGACGTTGCATGCAATCATAATGATATCTTCCACAGAGATGTTGCTATGATCGATGTGAAGCGTGTGCACATGCATACTTGCTATTCCCAATTGCATCCTTGCTAGCAAAGTCTGAGGAATATAGGATTCAGATACATCTAAATTACATGATTAGTTCTTTAGTTCATTGTGTGTTCACCATTTTCCTTACCAAGGGCACCAACAACTTGTTTGCTCTCAAGTATAGCTGCAATCATAGCTGTGGATTGGAGTTTCAAACTATGTAATCGCCGACGTGCATTATTGAGATATCGATTCAAGTAGTAAATGTAAACGTTATCGTGAATGCTGCTGCTGCTGGTGATGGTTGAGCCATTCTTCTCTTTGATTGATGGAAAAGATATGTTTCTCCAGAGCTCTGGTGTAGATAAGATGATGGTGCGCCATGTATTATTGAGTAGCTGGCAACGTATCAGTGATCGGAATGACAACTTGGCAAGGATTTGTATGACAATTTCTGTTGGCAGTGGTCGATCAAACAATGGTGTGGTGATTGGTTGGGGTGGAAATGGAGAAGGTGGACGCATTTGTTGTTCTTCCAAAGATTCTTGTTTGATGCACGCTTGCTCTATTGCCATCATCGATTTCATATCCTTCTCCACTTGTTCGTCTGACATAGCGCCCCATGCCAACAATTCTGCCAGCACATGATTTCCGCGGATGTCCATGTGTAAGAAACAAGACATCATACAAACAAACACAAGGAGCTTTTTTATATATATAGCTCGACAAATCATCCGAAACCATCCATATCACCCAAACACTCTTTTTCCAAACCCATATCCAATATTGTTGTCATGGCATGAAAATAGGATCGATGGCTGTTATTTACTATCTAGCCTAATGACCCAACGTTCAGGGATATGGGGGAAATCATCATGTCTTCGTTTGCTCATAATATCAATGGGTGGCAGGGTAAATGGGATGCGGGCTTTATCTTGGTCATTGTCTTCTCCTCCGCGGGTATTGTGCAAGTCCTTGGACAGCTGTGGCATAGTGGATGGTAATTGTGGTTCTCCAATCTCATAACGATAGTTGAGTACAATGTGGCGTATTTCATATGGTGTCAAAAGATCAAATTGGCGTACGGTATCTTGAAAGACTTGAAGTTCATGGAGCTGTGAAACGCATTGAAGGAATTGAAGGAGTTGAGTAATACGCCGAAAAAGAGAAGCCAGCTGGTGTGTTCGAGCCCATTCTTCCAAAGTAGACACGTTCATGCGCACTTGAATAGCTTTGGATCGACTTAGATGCTTCTTGTTGTTAATCATACGATCAAAGACTTCATTGACAATATAATTGATGCAGTGGGCAATGAGCTGGTGTTGGATATCAGGATGGATGCGATAGGATGTCAAAGTCTCAAGGAGGGATGTGAGAGATGTGATGATTGTACTCGGTGGTGTGATGCTGCTACTTCTTCGTCGAAAGCTCATTCGTCGTTGCCAGCTACGATCATCCACGTATTCCACAGGTTCCAATCCACAAGCTTCTTCATAATCCAACATGGTAGACTCGATTGTCTTATCCAATAAGCGTTCGCAATAAGATCGTAAATGATTGTCGAAGATATCAATAACAAGTGCTTGGATTTGTTGTTGTTCCTCCCATGTGCTGACTGCAAGCTTGGTATCACGTCTCAAATACACGAGCAATTGGTAAAGGTTGGATATCCAAAAAGCAAGTGAATGCAGGTTACGGGTGTTGGCCTAGGAGAAAATGAGCCAAGGGATCCTCCCTTCAATGACAGAATATACACATACCTTGGCTACCTTGCCAAAACGAGTAATTGCCGATCGTAGGAATTGTTGGGTAAGCTCTTTCATGGAGTGATTGTGTGAGAAACGACAACAAAGATATACGACATTGGAAGGTATCCAGAGATCCTCGTGTGATTGTAATGGGAGCTTGATATCTGAAATGATGGTATCAATGATGTGTGTCGTATCATCCTCGCAAAAGACAAACATTTGATCAGGGCGGCATTTGTCCCAATCAAATCGATATGACGATTGAAGCGTGCTTTCCCATGCATCTATATCATCCACTTTGGGTGTTGCAATATGTCCATCACTACCACCGCCACCATCATCGTCGTCATCATCATCATTGTTGTTGTAGCTGTACATATCGGCGCTGTAATAGGATATCTTTTGTTGATCCTTGATGTTTGCTGGTTCAGTTTGTCGTCGTTGTGGTTGTCTAGGTCGTTTGGTATGTGCATCACGACGAGGTAAAAGTAGCGCCATATCCGAATTTGCAAGTTGATATATAGAATAACCAGCCAGGGATCGTATTGAGTATGAAGCTCCTCTCTCAAGTAAAAAGTGAACCATGTCTTGATTATGTCGACGCGACGTGGCCCATACAAGTGCAGTCCATCCTTCTACATGTTGAATTATTTTTAGCTACGAGTTTAGTAGTAGTGGAAAGGGATAATGATGACATACTTTTATCTTGTATATCAATGCTTGCACCGACATCATCCAATAGAGCCCGTGCAATTGGGATTTGTCCAAAGCATGCAGCGCACATCAAACAGGTCCATCCATGCTCATTCAATGAATCATCGACTTGAATCGTACGTTCCTTGTTGATGATAGTATTGACAGTAGTAAGATCACCCTGGCATGCGGCACGGACCAAGCGCTGCACAATCTTGCTTCCCCGCTTATTACAGCCGTCTGCATTTGAAAGTGGATGCACGCTTAATTCATTAGACTGGTGCTGGTAACTATGCTGCTCTTCTTGTTCCACAGGCTTGGTCTTGATATACGTAGTTGTAGGCGAAACAGGCAACGAGAACGCTGATGACGATGACGACAACGATGACACTGCTGTGCTTGTGGACGATACCGATGGGAGCGATGCCACCGACCAACGTGATTCTCGTGCATTGACAGTTCTTTTTTGTGGAGGAGGTGTCTTTGGTTGTGGAACCGAGTACTGCTGCAACATTGTCGAGAACTCTTGGAAGCTATCTGCAATGCGATTGTTGAGATCGGTGCGATTGGTCAAGGACAAGGATAAAGGTCGCTGTCTGCTTGAAGGAGGCTGTAACGAGTTCCTTCGTCGTTGTTGCAAGTCATATGAATAGCGTGGGGGTAGAGTAGAAGAGCATTTGTTGATGAATAAGGCATGATGATGATGATGAGTATCCATGATGTATGAATAAAAGTATATGTTTAAATACAAAAAAGAAGAAACAGGGAAGATGGGAAAGGGAGGGGGTGGAGGAGGATGAAGAAGAAAATGAAATTGGATCGCGTTGTTGGAGAAGAAAGGAAAGCTTTGTGTAATGGTATCACAATGCTACAGTGAGTGAAACCCACCTACAATAACAGCTATAAGCATATCATAATATTCCTTTTCCCTTTTATCTCAATCATGATCATCGTTACGCCCTATTGTCCCTGAGACATTTACCTGAACAATCACATCACCCATTAAGGGGCACGTGGAAGTAAAGGACCAAGACCCTTTTCATCCTTTTCCAGTCTCAGTCAATTAGAGTGGGAAATCCAAATGCTTTGTGGTCGTTGATGCCGACCCAAAATAGTCATTCATGGACATCCCACATTTTTGGCTAACAACGCATCCCACTGATAATAGTGATAATGATGGTGTTCTTTCTTTGTTAAGTGACAATGACAACGCATTTCTTGGTTTGTACCATTAAACTCCCTCGGAGAAGATCATTTACCCAAAAGAGGATTGCAATACAACACACCCGCCGTAGCCATGGTGATAGTCAAATTGTATTTTGACATCCTATATCGGAAGAAAGCGTATGTATATGGCGATTTGCACCATGATAATTTTATAGTTGTATCTCTTGGCACGCCTCATTCAGATGCATCTAGCTATACCCGGCAACCTGGCAGATGATGATTGATGAGGTAACAAAGCTCGCCATCCGTAGCTGGTAGTACAGATGATACAGTATCCTGATCCCAATTATCACTCTTTCGCACCAAGTCTATGCATCCAGGAGCATAATCCTCCTCTATCAGGCATGCATGTTTCGATGGAAGTGTACGATATTAAGAAGAGATCACACCATGTATGTCATTCATGAGACTGATGTAGGTATATCTTGTTGGCTGTACATGAATGATGCAAACTCGTTCCAAATCATTGTTGGTATGTAAATGGCAATGTTATTCATAATGGGACAATAGAGCTTCATCACGTGACTGGTTTGTTTATAACAAAGAGTAGAAGAATGTATCACTAAAGGGCCGATGATTAATGCATGGAGCTCTTTGACGTGTCATGAGTGTGTTACACGGTTGGCTGTAACAAACAATTAAGCAGGGTACGTGTGCGTGTGGGGTGGGCGGAGTGATGTAAACCTGCACACACACACTCTATAAATGTAAACATGAATAGGAGACAAGGCAAGTGTTATCGGGTAAAGGATGCGTTGGTGTGTATCAAATACAAAGTGTTTAGCTTAAACGGATATGTAAAGCTGGGCAAGAAAATGGGACTTGGACAAATCACAAGCGTCCACATCAATGGCAACAGGTGTCTATCTCGGCTAATTTTGCTAAATAAAACGATCTTGTAATTCCATGTATACCAATACAAGATAAGAGTTGCATTATTCATGTCCCATCTAGAAAACGTGTGTCTACAATAGGGATGTTTCAAGCAGTGGAACAAAACATAAAAACTACGAGCAGGGCCATTTACATGCGTAATGGGGGCATTTAGACGTGTGCTGGCGTTGAATCCATTTTGGCAAGTGCCAATCTCATTACCCGACAGTATCAGTGTATCTCTCTCTCTCCCTTCCAACAACTTGTTTGCTTCGCCCTCTTCCCTCCCTCTCTTTTTTGTTGCTCATGGACAATTCCTTTGTCAAATCACCAAAGGAGGTCTGCGATCACTTTCAGGTTGACCCTGCAGTGGGCTTGGATAACGACAAGGTCACAACACAACGCCAAAAGTATGGCAAAAATGGTACGTGTTCTTTCCCTTAACAATAGACGACATGCTCACTGTATGCAATGCTCCCCCCATGTAGAACTACCTGAAGAAGAAGCGACACCTCTATGGAAGCTCGTCTTGGAGCAGTTTCAAGACCAACTCGTTCTGATCTTACTGGCAGCTGCCATCATCTCATTCGTGCTTGCTTTATTTGAAGAACATGAAGGACCGGAGGCATCTACAGCATTCGTTGAACCTATTGTCATCTTGCTTATTCTTATTGCCAATGCCACTGTTGGTGTGCTTCAAGAGTCCAGCGCCGAGAAGGCTATTGACGCCCTACGTGAATACTCGCCTGACGAGGCCAAAGTGATTCGACTTGGACAGCTGAGCAGGATTCGTGCTGAGGAATTGGTACCGGGTGATATTATCAATGTGTCTGTTGGTGATAAGATCCCTGCCGATGCACGTTTATTGGAGATTTATTCGAGTGTCTTTCGTGTGGATCAAGCTGTGCTCACTGGTGAATCCGTCAGCGTCACTAAGCAAATTGAATCGATTTCGGATGAAGGTGCTGTCAAGCAGGATCAACACAACATGCTCTTTTCTGGAACAACCTGTGTATTGGGCAAGGCACGTGCTATCGTCGTGAATACTGGATCATCGACAGCTATTGGTGACATTCATACTTCAATCACGTCTCAAATCTCGGAGAAAACCCCTCTCAAGCGCAAGTTGGATGAATTTGGTGACATGCTCGCAAAGGTCATCACCGTCATTTGTGTCCTCGTTTGGCTCGTCAATATTCGTCACTTCAATGATCCTTCGCATAATGGATGGATTCAAGGTGCTGTGTATTATTTCAAGATCGCCGTTGCACTTGCTGTCGCTGCTATCCCCGAAGGTCTTGCCGCTGTCATCACTGCTTGCCTCGCCCTTGGTACCAAAAAGATGGCGAAATGTGGCGCAATCGTACGTAGCTTGCCAAGTGTCGAAACCCTTGGTTGCACTAGCGTCATTTGCTCTGATAAAACCGGCACCTTGACAACCAACCAAATGAGTGTTTCCAGAGTAAGTGATATATATTTCCTTTTGCATTGATTAGTCAGCCAAGGTATATCTGACACAATCATATAGTTTGTATCTGTGGGATCAGAGGCTGGTCGTTTGGATGAATTACATATTGAGGGTACAAGCTATGAGCCCGTGGGTGATGTTAAGACCGTTGAAGGCACCGTTACAACTCATTTGCCTACTGGCAATGCATTGATCCGTGAAGCTGCTTTGGTGTGTTCCTTGTGTAACGATTCTCGCATTACATACGACGAGGTAATTGGATGTGCATAATGATGCGGGGAAACAAACATGACGTGGTGCTGATGTATACCCAAATTTTCAGTCTGCCGATACTTACCAATGCATTGGCGAACCTACTGAAGCTGCTCTTCAAGTCCTTGTTGAGAAACTCGGCACAGATGATATCAACGTGAATGGTCGCTTGCAATCACTCACCAAAAAGGAACGTGCAACGGCTTGCAATGATCACTTTGCATCTCTCTTCAACCGTGTGGCTACTCTTGAGTTCACTCGTGATCGCAAATCCATGTCCGTTCTTGTTGCTTCTGGATCTCAACATAGTCTCTTGGTGAAGGGTGCTCCCGAATCGATTCTCGATCGCTCCTCTTATGTACGCATCAATGACTCCGACGCCCCTGTTAGCTTGACACCTGCTATCCGTGACGAATTGAACAAAAAGATCCTCGAATATGGCAAGGGACTTTCGCTTCGTTGCATTGGTTTGGCAAAGATCGATAACGTGAACCCCGCATCTTTTGATTTACGTGAACAATCGGCATTCAGCAAGTATGAGACCGGTATGACATTCCTTGGTTTGGTTGGCATGTTGGATCCTCCACGCCCTGAAGTGCGTGCATCCATTGAAAAGTGCAAGACTGCTGGTATTCGTGTGATCATTATCACTGGTGACAACAAGGACACTGCTGAAGCTATTGGCCGTAACATTGGCGTATTTGATGCTGATGAGGATTTGACTGGCAAGAGCTATACGGGTCGTGAATTCGATAACTTGTCTCATGCTCAAAAGATTGAAGCTGTCAAGCATGCCAATCTTTTCTCTCGTACCGAACCTGCCCACAAGCAAGAACTTGTCGACCTTTTGCAATCGATTGGCGAGATCGTAGCAATGACTGGTGATGGCGTTAATGATGCTCCTGCCCTTAAGCGTGCTGATATTGGTGTTGCCATGGGTAGTGGTACTGATGTTGCCAAATTGGCTGCTGACATGGTTCTTGCCGACAACAACTTTGCTACCATTGAAAAGGCTGTTGAAGAAGGTCGTTCCATTTACAACAACACCAAGCAATTTATTCGTTATTTGATCTCATCCAACATTGGTGAAGTCGTTTCCATCTTTTTGACTGTTCTTCTTGGTCTTCCAGAAGCATTGATTCCTGTACAGCTCCTTTGGGTCAACCTTGTCACCGATGGCTTGCCCGCAACTGCTCTTGGTTTCAATCCACCCGATCATGATATTATGCGTCGTCCTCCTCGTAGTGGCAATGAGTCCTTGGTTGATGGCTGGCTCTTCTTCCGTTACATGGCTATTGGTGTCTACGTTGGTGTTGCAACTGTATTTGGCTATGCTTGGTGGTTCATGTTTTATGCTGATGGCCCACAAATCAGCTACTATCAATTGGTAAATATAAGGACAATAAGGATGGCATGCAATGTAATTGATGCTGACATATGGCATAGTCTCATTTCCATCAATGCTCGGAGCTCTTCCCTGAAATCGGCTGTGAGATGTTCACCAACTCTTTCTCGATGAAGGCTACAACCATGAGTTTATCGATCCTTGTGGTGATTGAGATGCTCAACGCTATGAACAGGTAAGGATGGTACTCGAAGAAAGGCATGAATGGGATAATAACAAGGGGATGTTTTTTCTTTAAAGCTTGAGCGAGAACGAATCCTTGTTGACATTGCCTCTTTGGAGCAACCCCTATTTGGTGCTTTCCATCGTGCTTTCCATGGCATTGCACTTTATGATCCTTTACGTTCCATTCTTTACTCAACTTTTTGCTATCGTGCCTTTGAACCTTGATGAGTGGAAGGCTGTCATGTGGATTTCACTTCCTGTCATCTTTTTGGATGAAAGCCTCAAGTTTATCACCCGTACTTGGATCGCTCCTCCTACCAAGGTCGCCACCACCACCTCCAAAGCACACAAACACAAGAAGACTGCTTAAAGCAAAACAACGGCCACCCCCATTTAGAAACTCTTAATGATAAACCATTTGTATAGAGGCAATTGGAGGTTTCCTTACCCCCATCCAAAAACCCCCTCCCTTTTGTTCTGTAGGGAAGAATAAAACATAGTAGTGTAGAATCAATTCTTGGTTTTATTGACACTGGATGAGATAAGGGTAGCCACCGATGATGGTATAATTGATACTCAATGCTATGTTAAGGTTAATGACCTCCTGTGTGTGTGCATGTGTAATGACTTTTCCTTATCATAATAGCCGCGTGCAACCCATACATCGATACCCGTGCGTTGGGTCCTTTATCCATTACCCCTAATATTCATGCGAAATATACCACGACTTGAGAGCAAGGAACGGCGAAAAAAATGGGAGGCGGGAGGCGAGTTCTTCACCCTATTCGATTTTTTGCACCAGAGATTCCGCCGCATGCTTACCTAAAAGCCATCGTGAAGATAAGGAGAACATCATCGCTCTTGTGCAAAACCATAAAGTGCGTATGTCAACGTGTAACGTCACATGATGTTGATCCCACAATACGGTTATACTGATACATGTATGAGTGTTTTCAAAGATGGTGACATCAATGACGTCTGATACCTTTTTTTATCAGTCAGGGGTAAATAGCAGCAGGAGGAGAGGTGGATAAAAAAACATGATAAGCGGGTAAAAGCGCGCATATCGGCGATCACCATGTCCCTTATTCCGCGCGCCCTGACAATTGAATGAATATCAGCAGATGTTGTATGGTGCTGCATATCTCGACAGGAGAAGTAGACGATCTGGACAAGGCCATTTTGGGTGTCTGGTGATCGTCATTTTGAAGAAGATTTAATATTATGCATGTGAGCTGAAGTATAAAGAAGAGAGAGAGAGAGAGAGAGAGCATGTGTAGTATGGTGATGGTATCACAAGTATACGCATCCGCTTGCATGACAGTTTATTTGTGTAATGATATTGTCTCTATCAGAAATCGGAAGCATTGCCGATTATGGGTGTGTAATGGGCCTGTTGTTATTCTGAGATGCTCCTCGTGCTGTATTCAAAAAAGTGGCATTTATGTCATGTTGCAGTGAAAAGGAGTATGTGTTAGGGATACAAGGATCCTTGCCTTTTATGTCACCCACGAATTGATACAAGACTCGTTTGAACTCGTTCCACCCCATAAACAATCTTTTCCTTCCATTCTCCTACAAATATGCATAGCCGTGCTCAGGATGAAGCATACGAGAAAAGAATCGCAGCCATTCAAAGCAATATTACAAAGCTGCAATCGAGACTGGTAATGAGCATTGCGTTGGAATGTCAAGTTCTCCCTCTCGCTGACACATAATAAACGCGTAGAAAGAAGCCGAGTCCAAGTCAAAGACAACTGTAAGTGCTAAACCCCTAACATCCATGTTCATTGTACTCATCATTTCTTTATCTAGAATCCAGATACACAGTAATGTCTTGATTTCTTTTAATGCCATGTCATATGAACACGACGACTAATCTCACGCCGTATATACAACACATACATCATCACCTATACACGCACACGTACACAACACACAACGTTACAGGTCTTTAATGCGTCAATTGAATTCCGAATATCAGCAATTACGACAAGCACGTCTTGATCGGAAGGGCGAATACAAGAACCAGTATGATCAATTATCAGCTATTCGCAAAGAACGACAAAAGGACATTCAAACACGTCAACAAGAATTCGAAAAAGAAATGATGCAAAAGGAGGAAGCAAAACAAAAAAAGCAGCATGATAGCGATCTCATTGCATGTGATACGTTGGAGAGGTTGCTACAGCAAGTACTTGATCAACAAGAGCAAGACGTGGAAGAATTGGGTATCGATGGCAACCCCGCTCAGGAACGCATTCAACTCGTCAACTCACCCATTGAGCAAGAGGAAGATGATGGCGTTGATACTTCGGTGTTGATGATTCCCCTCGGCATTATGGAGCTATTTTGGGAGATCCATGTCCAGGTGCCTGTTCGCTTTACAGAGATTGAACCAACATTGAATAGAATTCGAGAGCGTCGAGCTGAATTATCGAGATAAACCCATATTGTGTATTCCCATAACATACTATCACTCACATTAATCGTATGTCCTCCCCTCCTTCCTTCGTCGTCATCTTTTCCCCTCGCTCTCTCTCTCGCTCTCTTTTCTTCTCTGACTTGGATTTTCATTATTGTTCTCCTCAACTTTAAATCTTTCTTTACCCACTCCCTTTTGTAGTAGTCATCATCATCAATATATACCACAATTCTATTTCGGCTTATGGAAGCTGTGTTGAGCGCGTGCATTTGAGGTTTATAAAGAAAGAATCGTCATGTTAACCATGGGTTGCCGGATATAGTATTGGATCGAGATCGATTCTACCAGGGATCATAAGCACTCTCAGGGTTCGATGATGTAAGAGAATAAGGGGGTGATGAATTGAAGCTAAAGTTTCGCCATGTACCATTTTTTTTATTTGCAGCCATTACATTCATTACAACACTTTTTGGGCTCCTCACCCTTTTTACGTCTAATGTTTTTACCATGGTTAGGTGTCCAAGGGCCCAAACTCTCGTTGGCGTAGAAATCCATCGGATACACTTCTTGCCAGTTGACCTTGCCTAGTGCTATAGATGCTTCGTAGGGTGTAAGTAACGGCTTGGGAAAGGCATAGCCCCAATCTGTTGACAAACGAGGACATGCAATTTGAATCCAACTATCAGGGAGAAAGAGGATAATGAGTAACAAGGAGGATAAAATGCACCATCATGCACATGTGCACGGGATAATAATGACTTACGCATCCACATCCTCAAATTGGGCAAGTTTCCCGGGAAAGATCTCGGATAACAATACTGTAATGCACTCTTTGCCGGCTGCACGGATACTGTTTTCCAGGTATTGCATGATTTCAGGCTTTCCTTGACGACCAAGAGTACCCAAGATCAAACCATACTTTTTCGCTTGACCACCCATCTTGACAGCATGCTTACGCAATGATTGCATTTCTTCATGATCGTATCGCTCTCGCGTAATGCGCTTGTCATATGGATTATATCTATCCAAATCAAATCAATAAAAACAATTGGCTCTTGATGGTCGATCCACTTACTGGAAAGCAGGCACTTGAGGATTATGAACCATGATGGATTCAAGATGGAAGCGACCATCGCCCAAATAGCTATCACAAGGGAGGTTAATATGTACATCATTGAAACACGTTCCCTTTCCTACATACATGATGGCATCCGCTTCTCCAAGTTTTGGTGCTGTGCATCCTAGTACTTCACCCGGAGATAATGGCTTGATCTGGGGTATAGTAACAGTATAATCTTGTTGTAATGTTTCTCTCACAGCCTATAATAACGATTAGCATTCCCTTGCCTTTTGATGTTGTATCTCTCAAACACACATACCTGGATAGATGCTACAAATTGAATAGTGCCGACAAGGACCAGCCTCTTTCCAGCTTCAAAGTTCTTCTTGATGGTGTCCACAAAGTGTTGCGTATCGATACCAATGTCCACAAATACATACAGCGTGTTGATTGGAGTCACATCCACAGGTACTAAAATTGATGCAATGATCATTACCATCATTATTCATACCACCAAGGAGGACGTCCATTTACCTAAACAGCTGTGACCATAATGGAGTAGGAAATCACATCCGAGAGCCCGCGCAGTGTAATCATCGATACAGCAAGCACCGTATGTCACATCTCCCATGATAAGCGTTTCAACCTGGCAAAACCTATGTTGCCATCATATGTAAATAAACGTTGTCATGCCAATGAGTATAATCCTTACACTTCGAGAAGATCTGAGATCAAGCATGCAAACATAAGCAAGCCTTCAGGCATTTGGATGGCCACTACAACCCATGTTAGAGGATCGTATGATTTGGATTCATCATACGTTTACCTTTCTTTGCTTGTGCTTTTCTTATCCGCCACACCGATTTGTGTATCTCAAAGTTATAATTGGATGGTAGCTAAACAGTAAAGTAAGTATCAACTTTTACGTCTCTCTCTTCCTCAGCTTACTTGCTCGATCGCCTTATTCAGCAATGGATCGTTCAGAATCTCGTCAGGCACTTGATTAGCGAGACGACCAGCACGAGGACGTCGTGTTTCTATGACGCTCATGTAAGCACCATGTTGCTATGATCGACCGATCTAGATTCACTTACTTGCGAAACCAACAGCACCGTCTTCAATGGCAGCATCGTCATTAGTCTCAATGGCAGTTTTTCGAGCACGGCCAACGAATCGCTTTCGAGTTTTGGGTTGTTCTTCCATGGTTCAAGCCACCACTTTAACAAAGAGATAAAAAGGAAGTAAAGGTGAGACAAAGATATGCAGCTGTCGGTGGATGATTGTGTGTGTGTGGATGTGTCGGGGTGGCTATGCGGATTTCTTATTCAAGGAGCTGATCTCTCACTCTGATTGTTATCAATAGCTCTCTCTCTTTGTACACGCGCGCACACACGCACACACGGGCCAACGGGATCACTTTTGGTGCATCTTTCCCATTCTTTTCCACTTTGGGAACATGGAGCTACACGTCTTGCTTTATATTTTGTTGGGTTCCCCAAACTCCACTTGTTCGCTCTTCTTTCAACCATGATCACTACTGAGGGCACTTTTCAACGTCAAGTCGAACCCGGTCGTATATTGACTATGCCTACGGATGGTACTGGCTTAGTGGTTCTGGATCCTTGGCTTGAACCTTTCAAAGAAGCTTTACGTACAAGGTAATCATTGCCATCCATATTCATACCCAGTGCTATAGAGTATTCAACCCAATGATAGATATGCTCACTTCCAATGGTTCAAATCAAAGGTGGATGAACAAGGTGGATTCGACAAGTTTACACAAGGACACAAGTATTTTGGCTTTCAAACGGCTTTGGATGGAACCATTACCTATCGTGAATGGGCACCTAATGCTGAAACTGCAAGTCTTGTCGGCGACTTTAGTAAGTGAAGGGATGATGGCCGAACCAACATGGCATTTTTGCTAATCATGTGTGTATGTGTGACAAAAGATAGCTGGGATGTTGATGCCAACCCTATGACAAGAATCAAGGATAATGTGTTTGAAGTGGTCGTCAAGCCAACTGCTACAGGGAAACCTGCTATTCCACACAATAGCAAAGTCAAGGTGAGTAAATTGTTGGGGGATGGGGGTTAAAAGGGGGATTGTTGGGATGAGACTGAATTGTATCGAATAGATTACAATGACCGTGCGTGGCACAGGAGAACGCATTTATCGACTACCTGCATGGATACGGCGGGTGACACAAGATCTTAGTGTGAGCCCAACATACGACGCTATATTCTGGAATCCAGAGCACCCTTACACTTTTAAACATCCACGCCCAAAACGTCCCTCCACCTTGCGTGTTTATGAAGCTCATGGTAAAGCAAACTACAATCATCATTCTTTCTTGAAAACAATGGTCCTAACCAGTGCTTTCATATAGTGGGCATTTCATCCAACGAGCCAAGGATAGCCACTTACAAGGAATTCGCTCAAAATGTCATTCCACGCATTGCTTATCTCGGCTACAACGCGATTCAATTGATGGCTATCATGGAGCACGCCTATTATGCTTCCTTTGGATACCAAGTCACCTCGTTTTTTGCGCCATCCTCACGTTACGGCTCACCAGAAGATCTCAAGGAACTGGTAGACACAGCACATAGTTATGGACTTACCGTGCTTTTGGATGTTGTTCATTCGCATGCCAGCAGCAATGTCCTTGATGGGCTTAACATGTTTGATGGTTCACACGAATGCTATTTCCATGGTGATGGACGTGGACGACATGAGTTGTGGGATTCACGCCTTTTCAATTACGGCTATCTTCCAGTGATGCAGTTTTTGCTTTCCAACTTGAGATATTGGATGGATGAGTATCAGTTTGACGGCTTTCGATTTGACGGCGTCACAAGCATGTTGTACAAGCATCATGGCATTGGTTATGGTTTCTCGGGCGACTACCACGAGTATTTTGGTGACTTGGTGGATGAGGATGGTGTCATGTATCTACAAATGGCCAACGCTTTCTTGCATGATTTGTATCCACAAGTCATCACCGTTGCAGAAGGTAAACATCATACTTTACATTATTGTATTACACATGACTCACACACCTTCACCTTTAATAGACGTATCCGGTATGCCAGGCACATGTCGACCTGTGGATGAAGGTGGTGTTGGCTTTGACTACCGATTGGCAATGGCTATTCCTGACATGTGGATCAAGCTTCTCAAGGAGAAAAAGGATGATGATTGGAACATGGGCAAGATCGTGCATACACTCACCAATAGACGCCATCTCGAGAAAGCGATTACATATTGTGAATCCCATGATCAGGCATTGGTGGGCGACAAGACGCTTGCTTTTTGGTTGATGGATAAGGAGATGTATACGCACATGAGTGATTTGACCGACCGCACACCGATCATTGATCGTGGTATGGCTCTTCATAAGCTCATCAGGTACATACATATAACGGCTTTGTGGTTTATGCAAAGTGGACTAATCAACATGTTTAGATTGCTCACTTATGGATTGGGTGGCGAAGGCTATTTGAATTTCGAGGGAAACGAATTTGGACATCCGGAATGGCTCGATTTTCCTCGACAGGGCAACGGCTCTAGCTTCCATTATGCACGACGACAATGGCATGTGCTTGACGATCCGTTGCTGCGGTACAAGTACTTGAATGAATGGGATAAGGCGATGCAACATTTAGAGCAAAAGTACAAGTGGTTGGATGCGCCGCAGGTACGACGTGAGGAGAGAGAGATATTTATGCATATGGTTGTGCTGACGGGTTATTTGTTGGGGGTTTTACCATGATAGGCTTATGTGTCACGCAAACATGAAGGAGACAAAGTGATTGTCTTTGAACGAGCCAACCTATTATTCATCTTCAACTTGCATCCTACGCAGTCGTTTGCCGACTATCGCATTGGCAGTAATATCACTGGTAAACTCAAGGTGGTGTTGAGCTCGGATGAATCCCGCTTCTTTGGTCATGAACGCATTGACATGGACGGCGAATATTTTACCACCGCCGGTGATTGGGATGGCAGAGCAAACTGGTTACAGGTAACACATTCTTATGCATACCCTTTTCCCGCATTATTCAATTAACTCATCTTCTTTTGTGTGTGTGTGTGTGTGTGTTTATGATTAGGTGTATATTCCCAGTCGCACTGCCTTGGTGTTGGGCAAATCAGATGATGTTTCCCACACTTAAAAAAAAGCTGCATGGAATCTTCACGCAATAAAGCCCATTCTCCTTTTTTTCCTTGCTCTTTTATCCAACTTTTTCCCTACAAGATGGCGTCGTCAATGATTGTAGTCCCCCTTTACAAGAAAGTCTTATTACCAGGCGTGGTAATCAAGCTCATATTGCGTGGAAAGGAAGCAACACAGCTTGTTCGACGGCACTTTAGGACACAAAGCCATGATCGTAACAAGGTGCTACATATAGCATGTATCCCATCAACAAAGGCACCAGCAGCCGATGAAGCCAACAATGGTATTCTTGTTCCAAAGTCAATACATGGCCACTTGTATCAACATGGATGTTCTGGACGTATCCTACGTGTGCAACGATTGGCGAATGAAACGTATGGCGTGTTTGTGGAAGGTGTATCCCGGTTTAGAGTCAAATTGTACCACCATGACGCGAAGGAGCTGGATGTGGATATGTATACATGCAACGTAGTGCACTATGATGATGATGAGCAACAACAAAAAAGCAGCAACAAAGGGGATAATGAGTTTCGAAAGCTCATGTGTGCGTTTGTGGACAAGATGAGAGCATTGGATATCCCCGGTGATCTCTTGCAGCAAATGGTGGGATGGATGGACAACAAATCAGAAGCAGTGATAGCCGACATGCTGGTGTGCATGATTGACACATCCTTCGAAGAAAAGCTTCAAATGTTGGCCACCGAATCTATCCCAGAGCGCATGAAACTAGCACACACATGGATGACACGCCAATTACACATCCTGCAAATTTCAGAGCAAATACATTCTACGGTGGAGGCGAAGATGAGTCGGCAGCAGCGTGAATTTTACTTGCGGCAGCAGCTTGAAGCGATCCAAAGGGAGTTGAAGCCAAAGAGGAATATACCAACCCATCAAGGGGATGAGGATGAGGATGATGAAGAAGATATGGCTCAACTACGACGTCGTCTTGTGGAAGCACAGCTACCTACAGAAGCCTTGCAAGTAGCACAACGTGAACTTATTCGCCTACAACGACTACAACCTGCATCAGCTGAATGGGCAGTGGCGCGAAATTATCTCGAGCTGATGGCAGATTTACCATGGTGTAAAAAGACAAGCGAGGTGTTGGATATTGCAAGTGCACGAAAGCAGCTGGATGGTGACCATTTTGGGTAAGGTTTGATTTCATGCAGGATATAAATCGTATGCTAATTTTGTGCGGGGGACAAGGCTTGATCAGGTCAAAAGGCGCATTATTGAATATCTATCAGTGGCCAAGGTCAAAGGGAATCTCAAATCACCTATTCTTTGTTTTGTGGGACCCGTAAGTAGTAGTAGTAGTGCTAAACAAGTGTGTGTGTATGTACGCATGTTTTTCTCACACACGTTCTTTTGTGTACAAAGCCAGGTGTGGGGAAGACATCCCTCGGTCGATCTATTGCCGCTGCCCTGAACCGAAAGTTTTACCGAGCATCTTTAGGTGGTGTGAGAGATGAAGCTGATATGAGGTAAGCCATTAGCTATTATCATCCATGCATCTTATTAATGATGATGATGGTATTTTTATATGATCAAGAGGACATCGCAGGACATACGTAGCTGCCATGCCTGGGTTGATCATTCAAGGCATTCGACGATGCGGGGTCAACAATCCTGTTTACTTGTTAGGTGAGTGTGTGTGACTATAGGCCATGTATAAGGATAGTCCCCATTCTCAACTATGTTGAAAGATGAAATTGACAAGCTTGTGCACTCGAAAATCCATGGTGACCCAGGTATGGAGATGAGGCGGCGTCGATCGGTTGTACTACAACAAGTTTTATTCATGCAGCTTTTCTCTTTTAGCTGGTGCACTTTTGGAAATCCTTGACCCTGAGCAAAACCACAACTTCAACGATCATTATCTCAACGTCCCATTTGATTTATCAACCGTACTTTTCATTGCCACTGCCAACAGCCTTGATACGATTCCTGAAGCACTTCTTGATCGCATGGAAGTCATCCGCTTACATGGCTACTCCTTTGATGAAAAGCTGCATATTGCAAAGTCGCACTTGTTACCCAAGCAAATCAAAAGTCATGGTTTACACAACACGCAAATCCAAATTTCAGACCAGCTATTAATGTGGATCGCTGAACATTATACGCGAGAAAGTGGTGTACGATCATTGGAGCGTGCCGTGGCTGGTGTTATCCGTGGCAAGTGTGTGGAGCTTGCTGATCTTCGTGACAGTGATATGGAATGTGCGTACGACCCATATATCACAAAAGCTACTATTGAACGGGCGCTTGGTGTAAGTGGGATTGAGAGTATACATACCAAAGAGGCCTTCACTTATTCATTCGCTTGTATGTAGCTGCCTTTGTATGAGACCTCTAGTGAAGCAAAGCGTGACATGATGCCTGGTGTCGTTACTGGAATCAGTGCCGATGGTCCTATTGTTGTGGAAGCGATTCTCATGCCTGGAAAAGGAAGGTTGTGCTTAACAGGATCACTTGGCTCTATCATTAAAGAATCGGCACACCTCGCATTGACATGGATACGGTCCAATTCAGACATTCTCAAGATAAAGGAATTACAACAACGTCTCGATCATGATATTCACATTCACGTGCCACAAGGTGCAGTGCCCAAGGATGGTCCTAGTGCAGGCTTGGCTATCTTGTGCGCACTTGTCTCATTGTATACCAACTATAACATCCAACCAACCACAGCATTCATTGGAGAGATCTCATTACGTGGGCAAGTGCTACCAGTACGACACACAAAGGATCGAATCTTAGCGGCACATCGAGCTGGCTTACGTAAAGTCATTCTTCCTTTTGCCAACCGAAAGAATGTTATGCATCAAGTACCTGAGAATATCAGAGATGACCTTGGATTGGTTTACGTTAAGACTGTATGGGATGCATTACATGCTGCTGTACCCAAGCAAGAATATCGACCCCCTTTGGAGAGTCATTTGTAGTTGTAAAAAGTAATAAACAAAAGCTTTATTATTTTGTAAGGATCAACCTGAGTGGGCCTGGAGAGTATTTGAAATTGTCGGCATATTCTTTTTTGACAAACTTTTTGGCAACAGGTTCATGTACGTAATAGTCCCATCCTATTCCCTTGTTTTTAGTCATCCTTGTTCTCTTCACGCACAATAAAGGATATTACCTTGTCTCTCAGCAAAGTCGATCGCTGCCTCTTTAGAATCAAATGTCATTTGGAGACCTTGTTGATAATCAGCACTAGGCAATTGTTGTTTACAGCGTCAGTGTGTAACCCCATTTCATGCATGATCCCCCTCCCTTTTTGCATTACCTGGATGCCCAGCCAATCAATGGATTTTCATATCGATCTGCATCAGGTATAATATCAAAATCAATGCTCCAGTGCCGTGTACCATGGACGCCTTGTTGTGTAGCAGCTTTGCATGGTGAAAATATACGCACAGAGCGCTCCGTGGTGAGCTCCTCTATATACAAGGGTATGCCTTATTAGGATATTCAATAGCATGACGTTTTGTGTTATTACCAGGAGCACCAGACGCTGATTCTACAGACGTGGGACGATGCTCAACTTGAGGTCGAGTCACTTGTGTAGTTGTCCATCGATACGCTATTAAATTTGCCTGAATGGCTGGTCTAAAAATGCTGTTGACGGTGGTACGTGCTGGTATGAACATGATGGAAGTGACAAGAGGGTTGAATTCGGGGGTTTTTATATTATGTTGGGTAAGCCAGGTATATCTTTTTATCCTTCCAGCCAATGTAATGATTCGAAATTTGGAAACTCAACCCATCGACATTAGAGTCTTTCTTTGGATGACGTTTTTACACTGTAAACAATGCATAATCGAAAACCAAAATCAACGATGATTTAAGCATGACTTTGACGGGGGTATTGTACTTGACGTATAACACTCTCCATTGCCCACACCACATGCCATATCCATTTCCTCCCCCCATCTCTTATCACCCAGCATGAACATGATGATGATGATGATGATATCAAAGTCGCTTTGTCTCACATTTCAATAGATCCCAACTCCGCTATCGTACGGTTTTTGTTGTTTGATTGTAGGATGAAAACAAAGAACATGCATGTCTCATTATGAACGGATGGCATAGGAGGATGAAATATCTTGTTTAATCGAGTTGAATAAATACATGGTGTATGTGTCCGTGCGGCATTTACAGGTTCAATTCCTCCTTGGTCTGGATACCGAGTTCTTCACGAACAGGTGCCAATTCATCAAGGTACTGCTTGTATTGACCCTCGTTCTCAACCTTTTCCTTGACACCTTCGAAGATGCGGACGGCGGTGGCGTAATCGTTGACACGACGAGAAGCACGCAAAGCTGACTCGATCACAGAGGGAGCAGGGACCAAATCATAGGCGAAGCAGTTGTTGAGACCACGTTGCAACTCAAAGAGATCATCGACACCATCAAAAAACTTGACGTAGCGTTCAGTGAAGGATTCAAAGCTCTCGTCTTCGTGACCAGCCGAATAGAAACGACGAGCGGCTAAATGAGGATAGGATCGTTAATCACGCGTGTGTTGGTTGTCATTGGCAACGCATTAGATAGTTTACCCAAAGGAGCAGCAGCAGCACGGAAAGCAGGAGTAGCACGAATAGCGGTCGAACGAGCGACGACACCAGTGAGAGCAGCACGGAGCATATTGTTGTGTAGTATTGTGTATGGAGAAAGAGGGCTGCCAACAAAACACCAACCCAACTGATTTATTTCGTGACCGGGCCCAATCACCAATTGGCTTGTGTTCCCATCCATCCACCCAGGCAGCTTGATGATGGCTAATACCACCACCACCACATGGCAACCTTACCCTTCTTCATATATAATCAATCAAACCTATCACTATTAAAGCTTGCTGGACATATATACATCTCATTTAATGGCATGGATGCTACATGTTTATTATAATGGGAAATGTCCATATTCAAACAAGAGTCATTTTATTATAGCATGTGATCCCATGCCATGTTGACATAGGCTATTGAATCGATTACAATACTTAAGAGATATCATTTTATATGTAGAATCATCACACATGCTTTATTCAACATTATCATACAAATGATCTACAAGGTGTGGATGGTGTTGTTGCTGGGTGTTGCTTGTTGGCTGGTGACTGTCGGAGACGACAAAGAAAAGAAAAATGGTTCAAAGAGTCTCAGCTACTACTGCAACTTGTTTTGTGCCGTGTGTGCGTGTGTGTAGACTCTCCCGATGCAGCAATCCAGCAACAAGAACATTCTTCTCTCGGATCTCTTCCGTATCAAGGATATCGATCCCAATGGCAAGCGTTTCGATCGCGGTATGTTGGCTATTTAGAGTGTGGGTGGTGGTGGCGTGTTGCGATTGGATCGATGGGCTGACAAGTAGGTATCCATATGCTTTTTTTGCTAGTATCACGCTTGGTGGGCAAATCGGAAACGTACGAGATGACTGTGTTGTTGGACTACAATTCTGAAATCTACCCGCTTGAAATCAACGAAAAGGTGTCGATTGTCCTTGCGTCGTCCTTATCACTCGAAGCCAAAAGTGAAGCTGGTAACGCTGACGGCAACGAAGCACGTGAGAGCTGGCGTGAACGTGCACCTGGAGAGCATGATTTGAGTGATGAATACGAATATGTCATGTTTGGCAAGGTATATCGGTACGAGGATTCCAATCCTGGTGTTGATGAGGTCGGCAAGAGCGTGTAAGTATTGATTACGTGATTGGGAATGGATATATGATTGACATACATGATGGGTACCATTTACATAGAGCTGTATACATTTCTTTTGGTGGTTTGTTGATGTGCCTGGATGGTGATTGCCGACATTTGGAACCTCTCACTGTGGGTGAACATGTGTATCTCTTGATGCGAAAATAGACATTTCTCTTCCTTACTGTTTCTCTTCATCCCTTTTATATTCATATCGCTCTCTTATTTACCATGTCAATCACGCATAAAAGCCTTCAAATCATCTTGTACATAACCTTTGTTGATCACACAAGTAAATGTATTGCACGTGTATGTGTGTATGTGTGTATAGAGAATACATAGGGTTCCTACCTTTGTATCATTGGAGATGGGGTTGTTGTCAAGGTGTGAACAAAAACACGAGCATTGGAAAAAAGCATGACTAAGTCAGAATGACATCCTTGATATAGTTTTGCATGACCGAATTTCCCACTTTGTACTTCTCTTTCCCATATGACTTCCAACACTGCAAACGATCGTGTCGCCCAAATCGCTGCCCATCTCGAAGCCGTAGGTTCTTCAATGAAAGACCAGGTCTGCATTGTCACTGGTGCTGGTTCACTTTATGGCATTGGGTAAGAACACACAATGAGTGCTATTTATTCTTGACATCCCCCCTTTAACTCGAAGCTTAATATCTTATGTAGTCGTGCAACCGTTTATGCTTTGGCTAAGCGTGGACCCAAGGTTATCTATGCTACCGATTTGACTTTGGAGAGCTTGGAAGGATTGACCAAGGATGTCGAGAGCAAATACCCTGGAGTACAATGTATCTGCCGTGCTGTCAATGCAGCCAAGACCGAAAGCGTCACTGCCATCATTGATGAAGCTGTCAACACCTTTGGCCGATTGGATGTCTTTTTCGCTAATGCTGGTGTCGCAACCGGTGATCCCCTTCTTTCCGAAGATGAAGAATCGTTTATGCGTATGATGAGCATCAATGCCTTGAGGTAAGATCTATGGGCCGAAACAACAACAGCAGGATCCAAAAAACCAACATCTATGATGACATAGCGCATTCTTGGCTTGTCGTTACGCTGGACCTGCCATGAAGATCACTGGAAAGGGTGGCAAGGAGAGATCTGGTGGCTCTATCATTTGTACTGCTTCAGGTAAAAAAAGGATTCGTATACATACCTTGGGTGCAATATATTGAATACCATACGTTATAGTGGCTGGTATTCGTTCGGGTGCTGGTTCACCTGAATACTCGGCTTCCAAGGCTGCGTAAGTGCATTTACTTTCACTCATGGATCTTAAGCTTGGATTAACATCTCTTATGAAAACAGCGTTATCAACCTTTGTCAAACATCCGCATTCCAATATGCTGGTACTGATATCCGTGTAAATGCCATTTGCCCTGTAAGTATATGTACGGATCTTGAAAAGCGATCGTCAAGCTAATCCTGGTATCGTTTAGGGCTTGATTGAAACTGGTATGACCAAGGGCACTTTTGATTATGCAAGAGCTCGCGGTTCTGCTCACAAGATTGGCCAATTGAACCCTACTCGCCGTTATGGTCTTCCTTTCGAGGTAATACGGAGCCAAGTGGATGAGAAATAGAATAGTTTTACTTATCAAAGTTTCCTATTTGTAGATTGCCAATGTGGTGGCATTCCTTGCAAGTGAAGAAGCCTCCTATGTTAATGGCCAAGCTATTGCTGTCGATGGTGGTTTGTCTGCTAGTCATCCTATTGTCCCTGGAAAGTTCCACTAGATGTCGCCATGTGTATAGATATACCTTTTGATTGACTTAATATACGTATTGATTGGAACCATTGATCTATATTGTTCGCCTTGTTGATGAAAACGAGAACTTGTTTTGGACATCTCCAATGATCTCTGTTGCTTTGTGTTCCAAGAATTATTGCATGAAACATAATCTACTCCCTTCCATCCAACTTTTCACCTCATTGCTAACACCATTTGTGCTATGACAATCCATTCCAATAACTTATTATGAAGCAATACAGAATATATTTACAATTTGCCAAGTATCAGCTATCAAGTCTTTTGAGTCGTTTATTCTTTAGCGGTACTCCTGTTGGCCTAAAGAAAGGACATGTCAGCAAAAAGCCTATGCACACTAAATGAAGAACTTACCAGGCATGATGGGGAAACGATGGCCAGCACTCAATGAGATTGTTCCTTGCTGAGGTGCCATTGCCATGACGGGAGGGCTGTGGTGGTTACTTGCTGCTTCGGCTGCAATATTCATCCTTGCCCTAAGAGCGCTCTTTCTTTGGGAATGCATACTGGAATCTGGTGTGCTGCCTCTTGCATTTGTATCGTTATCCATATCATGGTCAATTGAAAAAGCAACACCAGTGCGACATGTCTTTTGGGGTTCTCGATCAGGCAATACAATGCCCCTCCTTCCTCGTGCTTGTCTTCTCTTACGCCGTGCTTCACGCATTCGATCACGTTCAATCTTGTCAATTTCAGCATCTGTCAGCTCCATGATTGCAGGCGTAAATCGATCCACGGCTTCGAGATCACGTGTGATGGTCTTTAATGATGGTAAGAAGCTGTGTCGTAAATCGTCGTCTAGGATAGCAGAGCCGTTGAATTCATAGCCAACTAGGATAAGCGACTTGATATAGTTGTGTGCTTGTTCACGGATTGAATGTGCAATAGCCGTTCTAATAATCCCATTTTGCTCTTAGGTATTGACCATTCCATGATAGGCAATGCAAGCTTACCTAAACTCGCCGCCTAATCCCAATTCTCGAGTCATCTTGTCCGCAAAAGCTTCAGCATCATTTCGTTCGCATGCAATATCCCATTCGAATTGATCCAAAAGAGAGCGATTGCCAACTGTAATATCCAACTTGTGTATAATGTCAATAGCTGATCATAGTCAATCGTATCATCATTGTTGGTCGACTTACTCTCATCAGCATTCGTAGCTCTGTGTTTTTCCGTTTCTTGGCCGATTGAGAGTCTTTGTCATCATCTTCTTCTTCCACATCAGCACCATCACCTCCCATATCTGTGCTCCCTGCATGCAAGTAGTAATCTTGTAACTGATCCTGAATAGCCCTTGTGATGAGTGGAGCGAATGTACTGGGTGGCAGTCGCAAATCTTCACACATGACTTCAGCAAATTGCTCTGGCGTAATCAAGGTTTCTATAAAGGAGGATAACGATGAGTGGGGGAGCATTCGATATACATTCTCATAGGATCGATGCAATACCATTAAGATTCCATGTAAAGGTGTCTCGTAGTTTGTAGCCATCGAGCTCTATCTCCAAACGAATGGGCACAAGCATATCATCCTTTTCGCCTTGTTCTTCAAGTTGATCCAATCGACTATCATTCGCTATGTAAGTTTTTTCTGTGTCATTGACAAGCATTGAATGGATGTGCTTACAAACGAAACTCATGTGATCTTCGTGGGCGTTTTCTGTGCCTGGGATATAGCACACGTGATTGCAATCCTGTGGGTGCGTTGCCGAGCTGGTATCCAGGTCCAAAGACTGACATGGGACCCTGATGAGCACGTACTTGGCGATCCTTGTGCATCATCTCGATTTCACGTTTCTTCTCTTGAGCAAGTAGCAAATGTCGTTTATGTTGTGCATTAAAGGAATCTTGATAAGCCTGGTCACGATGCTGGTATCGTTCCAAATTCATCTTGTGCAGTGGGTTGTCAGCTACAATGGGCTCGATGCGTGGCATACTGGCAGTGGCGGATGGCGGTGCAGGTTGTGGTTGTGGAGGAGCAGAAGGAGGAAATGGTTGACGTCCTCGAGCAGCAGCAGCAGCAGCAGCAGCTTGGATCTTGTTGCGTTCATCCAACATGGCTTGGGAGCCATCGTAGGGTTGATTCATCGCTTGCATACTATAAAGTCGCTAACGACGCGTCGTTGTATATATAAAAAAAAGGAGTGAGAAAAAAAGAGGTGTGGTATTGCAGCTGCTGCAAGTGAATTCACTACTGGAATTTTCATCATCCACATCATAAGCGTGTTGATAGTGGCAACAATTGATTGTGTCAAATGAAATACGTTGGGGTTGCCATGGATGAATTCCAGGGATTGTACGTTTATTGCAAATACATCATCCACCACTAGCTATGGCAATGACAGAAAAAAAAGTGAGCTTACACAACCTATTTATAGCTATACCAGATATGCTAATAGGGTACAGAATCTTGCCTTTGATAGCTTCTACGTAGGATAGCTAGCCACTTTATTGATTGACATGTGGATGCATGCATTGGAATAAAACTCGTTTGTTGTTGCAAAGGAAAACAAAGAACCCATGACCAGGAGATACCATATGGTTGTCATGACGCACCTATGCGTTTCAATACAAGTCGAGTAACACGATAACAAAGGATACCATGGCTTGTGATGGTTAACGACTAGCCCCATGATTTAGAATCGCACGTTTTAAAGAGAAATTGAGCGAGAACGAAGATAACAAAGTTATTGGCCCACCATTTGGATGTTTGTCAACGCGATGGACAAAAGTGATATGTATGTGATCGTATTCATAACAATAGCTTTGCTCCTATGTGCATGATGAGCTGCAACATGGACAAAACGATAAATCCACCTAAGCATGTTGGCTCATTGATAGTGTACTCAGCGGCGATAAAGCTAGTATCGGACATGAAGTGGCCGAAAACAATTACCGAAATAGACACAATACAATCCCTTTTCAGTGATATAGATGTACGTGAGACATTAGAGAAAGAGAACAAGAAGCAAAAAGATACGCTTTACAAGTGGTTATTATAGAGAGTGTGTTGGAAAATTGACAGATGGATTGAAGTTGGGGGAAAAAAGTACGGGAAAGGATTTTTGGGACATCAAGTCATCATCGAATGCAGATAAACATGTGTATGTGTACGATATGTGTGTGAGTGGGTGTTGTTGCGTGGGCGTAATTATATCACGTCAACTCTCTAGAAGTACTTGGTCTCACCAGGTTCACGACCACGGATGCTCTTGGGCTCGGAACCTTCAATGTAGACTAAAAAAAGGAGGAATGATGACGTTGGTCAATTACATCCTTCATAACCCTTCCCATATAAAAGTATACATACCTTGGGTGTAGAATTCCTTCATGTCAGGCTCAGGGGAAGCTTCAGCTTCCTTGACAGCTTGGTCAACGATCTTGCGAGCTTCCTTGTCGATAGCCTTGAGTTGCTCTTCAGTGGCAACACCAAGATCAAGCAAGCGGGCCTTAAGACCTAAATGGATGGTAAAACAAAGAGATTAATTCAACATGTAAATGATAAGTTGATTGACAAACATACCTTGGATAGGATCAGCTGTGCTACGCATGTGCTGGATTTCTTCACGGGTTCTGTAGGTGGTGCCAGGGTCGGACATGGAGTGACCACCATATCGGTAAGTGGTAAGTTCCATCACAAGAGGACCCTTGCCAGAGGTAGTCCATTCCTTGGCCCATTGGCAAGCACGATAGACAGCAAGAACATCCATACCGTTGACACGGATACTAAAAAAAGTGCATAGCACAATGAGCCAACTATACCCCACATTGATTGTTTTCTCCCAATTCAATCACAAAGAACACTTACCCAGGGATGTAGTCACCACGGGTGTGGTAAAGAGTGGAGGCAGAAGAACGGTTGGCAGAAGTACCCATACCATACTTGTTGTTCTCACAAACGAAGACTAGGTGAAACAAATAAATGTCAGCCACATAATATGCCTAATTATTATTCACACACGCTCAAACAACTTACCACAGGGGAGATCCCAAAGCTTGGCCATGTTGAAAGCTTCAAAGACTTGGCCTTGGTTAGAAGCACCATCACCATAGAGGGCAAAGGTGACAGATTCGTTGCCAAGGTACTTTTGGGCAAAGGCCATACCGGCACCAAGGGGAACTTGAGCACCGACGATACCGTTACCACCAAAGAAAGAGGGAGCAAACATGTGCATAGAGCCACCCTTGCCCTTGGAGATACCATCTTTACGACCCATCAATTCGGCAAGAATGCTCTTGATAGAGCCACCACGAACGTAGGTGAAACCATGGCAACGGTAAGCAGTGATGACTTGATCAGCGAGGGTGATGGCGGATTCCATACCAACGGAAACAGCTTCCTATACGATATTGGAATGAGTATTCATTGTCATTGTCATCGTTTGGTGGGTGGGGGAATCGGAAAGGAAAATTTTATCATGGATTCGCCCGCGTTTACCCGCAGTACGCCGGAAAGATAGCAAGGGGGAATAACCACACAAACACACCAAAAGAAAAAGAAAGGGAGAGTTGTCAATAGCTTACCTGACCATTGCACAAGTGGCAGAAACCACGGATCTTCTTGGCCTTGTAGAGACCATCAGCAGCCATCTCCATACGACGCATGGTGGTCATCTTTGTGTACATGTCCATAAGTTGTTCCTTGGAGATCTCGACATCAAGGTTGGGGGCATCAGCCTTGAACATGTCAAAGGAAGACTCGGGAAGGGTGATAGTGAGCTTTTCAGAGGCATCAGTGGGTGCTGCCATCCACGAAGAAGCGGACGAGGAGAAGGCACGCTATGGAATAGATTTGTCAGGTACATGATTGGGGATATGGTTGTTGTTTATTGTCGTACCACAGGCAAGAAAGGCTTGGGAGCAGTGGTGGCGTTAGCCAAGAAGCGAGCAGCAGCTGTGCGAAGCATGATGTTGGCAAAAGAAGATGAAAGGGGAAATGATGGGAAGACGAAGGGAAAAAAAATACATTCGGGTCTAGGGCGACTGCTGTGAAAATTCGCTGCCCGCATCTCCCCAACAGTGTTTTTCTCGGAAGCTTTCGGATACTGGGTCAACGGGTATAGCATCGTTCTACGGCGAGTATTTTCATTAAGATTATACTGGGGGGAAAAAAAGACACAAAGAAGACTATACAAAAAGACAAATGCTACTAACACATGGATACTATAAAAACATGGATGATGGATAGGAAAAGTGCGTGTAAGGTATACGAAGATGCGTGAAGGGAAAGTGCGTGTGTATATATATATGTGCGTGCGTGTGTGTGCGTGTGTGTGTGTGCGTGTGTGTGTCAGAGTAATAAAGAGATACTAGTGCTCAATGTCTTGATACAACTTGTTCAAGGTCTCAATATCCTGCTCGAGATCCAATAACTCGTCGTCTTCATTGCGTTGGTCAAGCTCAGGCGAACTCATTTGAGAGACATCGATAGGAGTTGGTAAATAGACTTCATCATTGTTGTCGTCGCCTTCTTGTTGCTCTTTTAATTTTTGTTCTTCTTCTTCGGTTACTACTTGCGTCACAAAGACCAATGGCTCCACAGCTTCGTCGGCTGGCTTTTGCTTTTTGCCACCAATTTTCTTCCCATGTCGATGCTTGGATACAGGGCATAGTAAATCTTGAGCATCAAACTTGCCAACTTGACGTGCACATGATGATACATTCTTGTGCCATTCAGCACCAATAGCATCCAATTCCTCCAACGGCTTACGCTGACCCCATAAATCCAAAACCGGTAAATCACCAAATACAGGAAGGCGATTGTCAGGTAGTTGACTTAGGATGGTATCACGTTGCATCAGTGGTACTAGGAATTCATCCAAAGCGTTCACCCGTCCTTGGCCCTTTTTGACGTGTGTGCCAAATTCGAGATGGTTGGTAGAAAATGATTCGAAAAGTTGAAAGTTGGGATACAACATCACGTAAGATCTCAAGTACACCAGCTCGATAAAGTACTTTTTCCATGACTTTTTCCATCGTTCGGATCGACTACCAGGCACAGTAATGTTGAGAAGGCGGTCTTGTTGAAGATCCTCCAATCGATTGGTCAAATAGCTGTGGAACTCTCGCCAATGTTCAGGGAAGTATACAGCACCCCAACTACAAGGCACTTGACTGAGATATGGGATATGTTGACCATAATCATCGCCGATAGCAGTATTGGGATCAAAGGGTCGCCGGCCTTCAGGTAGCAATTCCAAATGACGGGGTGAATAAAGGCTGATACCATACATTGAACGCGTGTTGTCTTGAGAGGTGGATCCACTGTATCGGTACTGCAAGATGCTATATTTGGCCCATGCATAAAACAATGGTGATACTTCAATGTCGTCTTCGAGTAGCACAGCGTAGTTGTCATCATTTACAGGATACCAAGATTCAATGATGGCTGGCATAAGACCTCCTTTACGAATACGATGTCGCACCGTTTTCGGACCATGATTCCAAGAAAATCCATTGACAAGCATTCTTGTAACACGATCAGCTGATTGTTCAAGATGAACTTTGAGATTGACAGTGTCACCAAGGTAATGTGATCGGCTGGCTGATTGTAGCAATCGCGATAACGAATGAGGACGTCGATCAGTAATCACAATCAAATCCATTTGAATATCATTCCAATCTAATAATCATCCTTTTGTTATTTCCCATTGCTTCGTACTCTTATTATTTCCAATACTTACGTTGTAAAGCATCCGCTGAAAGATCGGCAATCCATAATGCATGACGTATTTCACCTGCAGGTAACGCAATGGTGGTGATGTTCTCAGCAGCGATCGTTGCATCCACAACATGATATACAGGCTGATTTTGACGAATATGGATCACCACTCGAGGTCGCAATGCTTGTGCTAATCTCCTAACACCCGTAGCGGTTGCCGATGCCACTGATGCCTCATCACCTTGAGCCACTGCCAAATCATGTACGAGTATCCTCTCGGCATTCTTGCATGCTGAAGCTGCCAATGCTTGCTTGAATGCATCTCCTGACATGCCACGATTGGCACCCGTAACCACCAAATGAACAGGGACATTGTATCGGCATACGAGTGGATGCAATGCAATAGCTTGTTCAGGCCCATCAGCCACCAACAATACCGATGCTTGATCTTGTTCAGCCATGAACGTACGTTGACGCCAATCCAGGCTACTTGGGTCGCTCTTCAAATCCCATAACTTCTTCCAGGCACCATCCTTATCCTCAAAACCTTCAATGATTGATTTGCACGTGACATTTTGCAATTGGTATTCTGGATTAGCATGAGATGGTAAAATGATGGATGGCAACGATGCATGGTGCTGAAGGTTTCTGCTAATGTAGTACGGCAACGGTGTCTCCAATAGATTCATAGCATTGTCGGTAGTCAAGAATGGGAGCCATTCACGTCGTAATAGCCATGCGCCTTGGATCATGTCAACAGGTTGAGTAACATTGGGTAACAATGAAAAGGCATCAGGAAGGCATAGCACATCATCGACTTGATATTGCTGATCATTCAAGTTTGCTGGAAGAAGAACGCCATGAACACCCAATAATGCATCTTTGTATTCGTTGGTATGCATAAGGTTGTGGATGTGCTCGAGATATCGCTTCCCTGGTAAGACCCCTTGATCAAGAACCCAAATCCATTCAGCTTGAAGGGTATGAATAACTTGCAACCAACTCGATTCACCAGCAGTCCCAGATTGATAAGGTGGTGGATCAACAACAAGAACTCGTATCGTTGGATTGGTATGTTTTTGAGCATGGTATTCTGCACTCTGCTTGATGGATGATGGACATACAAGCACGATCTCATCGATATGGCGAGTTTGCTCCAACAATGCATTCAATTGTGCAACGATGTGTGTCTCATCCGTTAATTGGATCACGGCTGTAACGCTGATATTGTTGCCTTGTTGATGCTGTTCCAGCTTAGGGAGGTCATCCAAAGCATGCCCCTGTGTTGTATATGCTTGCAACCCATGCAGAAAATCCTTCGTCTCCATATCCTTAACCCAGCCATCTATTGCGTAACAACCAACCCATATTAAACCCAATATCCAAATCGCATTTAAAATGACCCCAATACTTACCAGTATTCCAAGACTGAAACTTGGGCCATACAGGTTCTTGATAAGGTGTTGTGATGGTATCAACCTTGGTGGTATCAGCTGGTGGTTGTGTTGTTTGGTTGTCAACGGCCGTGGATGTATCATCAGGTTGTGGGTTGCTATTGCTGGCATCCGTGCTATGATAATAGAACATGGCTGTCCATAACAGTATCATTGTCGAGACAAGTAAAAGTATCAGTTGACGCAAATGACGACGACGTGGCAAGCATGCTGCTAATGAAGACCATGTTGAGCGGGGAAGAGATTCAAGTGATGCGGAGGTCGGAGAGTGTGCACGTAAGGAAGCTGTTGACTCTGCACCCATGGCAAATGACAAAAAGGAAGGGAGAAAATGGGCCAACGCAATGTGGAGAAGAGAGGGAGAGAGAGAGGTAAGCGAAAAAAAACGAGTGGACTAAACTGCACCATTGTCATAGTGTCCCTTAGCCTCCTCTCGCTTTGTGCTTAATACCCGGTGACACAAAATTGATTTGATTCGAGTACCGATTTGTTTTAGCCTTTTTCATCATGGCTACAAGTGGATGCAAATCATTTCAGCGCTGTACCTGGTATTTTGTTTCCTGCGCGCACATCACCACCACCAGAACATTCTATTCATATCTTTTATATCATTTTCACCCCCATCATTGTAAATGGCTTGCTCAAAAACTGATTTCGATTATGACTTGATGATCATTACTACCGTGCAGTAATATGCAGATCACCCAACAAAAGCTATGACGCATATTAATTGATCGAGCTACTATCGTCCGGTTTCACTTTGGAATCCTCAAAAGATTTACTATCATTTTGGTAGGAGATACAAAGAATGTTCTTGTGGCACCAATAAGAAGAGTAACATTAACATGACATGGCTTAGCTCGTTGTTTTTGATAATTGAAGGCAAAGTAGCTAAAGTATCAATGGCATTATCTTCACTACGGCTATACGGCATTTTTACAGAAAATCCATGATCGTAAAATGAAGCTGAGCAGGGTCATGTAGCACTTTATCCATCCGCAATGATCTGCGGTCTGAGATCAAACTTTATTCATAAGACGAACACAGCCTATGTGGTGAAATTAGCAATCCAGGTACGCGTAACCGATAATGATCACCCAACCAATGGGCCGATACGCTGCATGATACTCGTCAAATCTTGTCCATGTATCTTGTTCCATGCTCTTTTTCAGGCACAAGGAACGCAAATGGTAATCACGGCCAAAATAGACTTTAATGTCGGAGGAAGTGTTCCATAAAGTTCATCTTTTCTTTATTTTCTTTGACACGAGAACCCAATCCAAGAACAGCAGTGAAGGTGAATCAAGGCCTTGTAAAGCGTACAATAAGGTCCAAGTGTAAGGGTCGAATCCACGATTAGTCAGCTAACCTTGAGCAATCATTGAGCAACTGCTTCACCATTGACTGGAACGTGTCTAGTATCGAGCTTCGAGTGAGCAGTATTATGTGTTACAATCAGCTCATAAAGCGAAGCACAGCGCACCATGACGAAAGATTTGCATTCTGTTCCTTCCATCTATCTCCACACCGTATATAATAGAAGGAACATGTGTTACGGTGTTATTGACAAGATCGAATCACGAGAGAAAAGGGAGGCAAGTTGTACTATCGAATGCAGCCTTTGTTCAAGACACAATGAATCAAACAACCCCTTTCTCTTTCTCTCATTTTCCTTTATCACAGCAATCTCGCATTTGTTAAAGTAATCCTTTAATCCACGATCATCCACAAGATACATAGAATGGGCACGAGCTAATACTCTAATGAGAGGTGCATCGATATGGGAAGTTTCTATCGTTTGGGCGTGTATTGTATAAAGGTGAATGGATGGACATGACGTGCCGAATCATAGGCATGGCGTGTCAAAACATGGAGTTAGATGACAATGGTTGTAAATGGTTGACACGTTGCACAAATGATGATGATGGTAGTTGTCATGGAATAGCGTGTATGCACCAACCCAATCGTTCAGGGTGATAGGATCATGCATAATGGTCAAGTTGATAATGAATGCATACGAACAATGCCTCTTTTCCACGTGTTGTATATACCCAGATCCTTCCATCCCATGCACCAAACCAATATCCATATCCATATCCGTATCCATAAGAAGTCGTATGTGTTGAAGCAAGTTGCTACGCGTAAATAAAGGTGCCTTTGTACAATGACTATCTGCTGTCAACGTGAAAAAGGCTGTATGGCAAGTTGCTGCAAGTAAAGAACGCTGTTGGAGACAATGGAGTAGAGACCTCGCTAATAGCAACTGATGGAATGAATGCTGTTACGCTTGATCGTGGTAGAGAGATGTGCAAGAGCGTGTGTTGTGTCAAGAGATTCGTGTGTTGTAGAAGAGTGACAAGGCTCTGTGCACGCCATGGACATGCCATTCAGCCAAAGACAATCGGATCAAGACATTCGTAGGGTTGACATGATGGGTTGAAGCAGGACAATCGTTCGCAGGTGATAGTTGTATACTTGAATGGGGCAATAGTTGAGAATGGGAGGAAGAGGGAATAGCTGAGAGTGGAAGAAGTGGAAATTAAGTAGGTCGGACACCTCTTGTATAAATGCATGAACACTGTACATCCAATTCTTGATTATGAGATTGCCCCTCTCGAACCTAAAACTTTCACACAAGATGCTCTTGGACATGCTGATCAAGATGGTCTTAAAAAAGACCTCATGTTCATTAACAAATATTGAATGGGAGGGTGCAATGTGGGTTTACTATGTAAGTCGGAAATGGAGGTCAGCCCCGGATTCATGATTTATGGGAATAGTGTGTATTACCTTGGGATTCCCCATCTCGAACCTGAAACTTTGTCAGAAGATTCGCTGCAACATGCTGATCAACTTCATTCATTTAAAAACCATACACTTCATTAAGAATGTCTTGAATGCGGGAGGGTCCAAACGGTGGATGATGGGAACAAAAGAGGGACGGCCCATCGCCCCGAAGTTGTTCGCTTCCAACTTGAAAATTAGTCAGGATGGTGCTCCGAGCATGCTGATCCACTTTTTTCAAATAAAAACCTCACGCTTCATTTGAAAATTTGGAATGGGAGCGTCCAAAAGTTTGAATGACGGAGACATTCGCAGGGTCTGTCTTTCAAGAATTGACACATTTTCTGTTTGGGCGTAGCTCACCCAAATCGGCTCGGATCAAGAAACTTTAGTGATGGAAATGCTCGGCTGGAGCAGGAGCATCATTCCACTGTCATACAATAAACAAAAGTTGGGATTAGGAGGAAGTGGCTGTTAGCTGCCAATCATAGATAGTGTATATGGTATCCTACATTGGCCATTTCAGTCATGCAAAATGGCTCCGTTACACAACACGTCCCTCTGCATCTTTGGCTCTATTGTAGTCATACTACTTGACAATGAACAACAATGTCTTTTCATATAGCATCACGCTTACAAACATAAAAGTGCCTGTATCTCCGAACTATACAATCAAACGTGGGCTCTATAATAGATCAACGTGCTCGTCGGGGTCAAAGGAATCTTGTGTCAAAGTATGAAGTTCATCGTGGGCAATCCCAGATTTCGCAATGTCGCCACCAGCCAAACTGGATCCGGGGGTCGACCTCTTCGACGACGACGTCCAAAAAAATATTTTTTGGGCTGTTTGCGACATTGAACGCGAAACTTTCACACAAGGTGCTGTTGGTCAAGCCGAGCACATTGCTCTATTCAAAACCCCACATTTCATTGTAAAGTTTGGAGATACAGGCACCTTTATGTTTGTAAGCGTGGTGCTATAAGAAGAGTGGTCTTTGTTCATTGTCAAGTAGGTGGACCCTGGCAGAGCAAAAGATGCAGAGGGACCTCTTTGTGAAACTCAGCTACTTTGCATGACTGGAAAGATGGAAGGATGATACTATATACTGTTGACAAAAGCCCGTACATTGCGTGCTAACAGCCATTTCCTCACGATCGGCAATGTTGCCAATTCTATGACAGTGGAACGATGCTCCTGCTTCAGACATTCATTTCCATGATTAAAGTAGGTTGATCCGAGCTGATTTGACTGAGCTGCGGTCAAAGAGAGATTACATCACTCTGCACATAAAGCACGCTCGATGTAGCTCAACCGATGTAATCATGTGTGAGCGTAACTCAACCAAATCAACTCGGATCAACCTACTTTAATCATGGAAATGAATGTCTAGAGCAGGGGCATCGTTCCCATGCAGTGGATCTCGCAACAATGATGATTGAATAAAAGTGGCCGTTAGCTAGCAATACATGCCTGTTCCTAGATGATCCATAAAGTAATTATACATTGACCCTTTCATTGATGCAAACGTAGCTGTGCTACACAACACGACCCTCTGCATCTTGTGCTCTGCCAGGGTCCACCTACTTGACAATGAACAAAGACCACTCTTCATATAGCATCACGCTTACAAACATAAAGGTGCCTGTATCTCCAAACTTTACAATGAAACGTGGGGTTTTGAATAGAGCAATGGGCTCGGCTTGGCCAACAGCACCTTGTGTGAAAGTTTCACGTTCAATGTCGCAACTAGCCAAAAAAATATTTTTTTGGTCGTCGTCGTCGAAGAGGTCGACCCCTGATCCAGTTTGGCTGGTAGCGACATTGCGAAATCTGGGGTTGGCCACGATGAACGTGAAACTTGTACACAAGGTGCTGTTGACCAAGCCGAGTACATTGCTCTATCAAAGACCCCACGTTTCATTGTAAAGTTTGGAGATACAGGCACCTTTATGTTTTTAAGCGTGATGCTATATGAAGAGTGGTCTTTGTTTAATGTAAAGTATCTAGACCCTGGAGAGCCAAAGATGCAGAAGGACCTCTTTGTGTAACTGAGCTAAAAAGTCCGGGCTTCAGGGACGATGCATGGCAGGTACGCAATCTTCATTTGCAGTACACACATTGGCAGCTAACAGCCACTTTTATGCATTCCCGACTTTTGTGCATTCTATTGTAGGTGGACGATTCTCCTGCTCCAGACATTCATTTCCATGGTTCAAGTAGCTTGATCCGAGCTGATTTGGTTGCGTTACGGTCGAACAAGGTGAGATATTACGTATAAAAAGAAGATGATAGAGAAAGTGAAAGTACGTTGAGAATCAATGTATGTATTCAGGCAAAGATGCTGTTACCAGCTACAACTACAACATGTCTTATATAGGTTTCTAGGATAATTGTGTGACGATGCTAAAGGGAGATGGCGTTTACATAAGAGGATGTTGGGGATACACGAGATGACGGGGCTCGTTGAGTGATGAACCTTGAGTGTGGATATGGAAACATTACATTCAGTGTCCTCTTGCGGGATAAGTGTGGCCGTTGGGATACCATGGCTTGTCATCTTGTAATTGGTGATGGTATTGGTACTTGAAATACGACACAACTAAGGAAGATTTATTGCGTACACGTTTAGACGTTGGTAACTGTGGGCGAAAGGAGAGGTTGCAATGGAAGAGTGAAATAAGCTAGCAGCATAAAAGCATCGGAGTGATCTAAAGAAGCGTTCTATGTAATGTGACCATCGTGTGCATGCATAAAGATCAATAAAAAACATTCACCTGTCAAATGCGGACCTACCAAGAAGCACGCATAAAGGACAAGACATAAAGCGCCTGATGTGATTCATTCCAAGAAGTTGTGCATATACCAACATCTGATATGGCTATGTTCTTCACAATCCGGTATAGAAGGTGTAGGTATTCGACAGATTGCTGTGGCTGGTATAGACCTTGCAGTCCAGTGTCCCCACGACCATATAATCCATAATCAGCAAAGCAAACCTTCACAATCGGCCTACAAGGAGTAGGTATTCAACAGACTGCTGTGGTTGGTATAGATGCCAACAACCAGTGTCCCCACAGATGCCACGTTGGTAATGCAAGCTTCAGTATTCGTTTCAAAGGCCATTTCCTTCACAATCCGGCCTACAAGGCGTAGGTATTCAACAGACTGCTGTGGCTGGTATAGATGCTACCACCCAGTGTCCCCACGAAAATTGTAACCCTTCAAGCGGCAAATCCTTCACAATCCGGCCTACAAGGAGTAGGTATTCAACAGACTGCTGTGGCTGGTATAGATCTACGATCCAGTGTCCCCACGAATCCGCAACTGAGCCATCAACTTCTTGAAATAAACGACATTGCTTTCTCCAATAGACCTTTAATACTGTATTAATACAAAATAATAATTGGGTGTGTTTGATGATGAAGGAATACCTTGTGCCTTCCAAAATGAAAAGGGTGGTGGCGATGGAAACTGGTTGCCTTGGTATGTTTGGGTAATTTTGATATAGTGGTCGCTGAGTTTCCTTGCGTCATCAACGGCGGACTCTTCTATAAGGTGATGCTTGTGGGACTTTGCGAAATCCTGTTGTGAAGTGTCCGCTGGCTGTTCGTATTTCTCACACACTCATGCATAGTGCCGTTAGAGAGATGCATGTTCCTTTATAAGCCTGTCTGATACAAACAATAAACTACAGCTCTTTCTTCCTTCTAAAGCTCCTTTGCAATCGGTCATTTGCATCGTATCGGTGGTCGCTTGTGTGAGTGAATGCTCAGCTCTTAGGGCGGTTGGGCATCACTGCAGTCCAAGATCGCCTCGCAACAATAGTTCAGGGGGCCTTCTCCTCTCATTCCCTCCATGCCAAAGTGAGAAAGACAAAGTCATTGTTCGATTTTCTCCCCACGTGACCCATCTGCCTAGTGTCATATCAACGACCAGAGGGCATAGATGATTGTTTCTCATTAGATCCACTGAGGAAAGTTGATATCATAGATACATGTATATATTCGACTTTTGTGAAATTAATATATGGCTGAAGCTTTAGTCTACTTTGATGCTTGAGAAGATCTTGCGTAAAAAGAACAAACATGCAAGATAACCAACCGAGCCTATACAATCATTGTTGTAAGCACAAATCCTTGACACAATAGCCCATACACATACATACCTGTCAAAACGGAAACCATGACACTAATGATACCCGAGTAGCCAGCATACAGCACGGTGCTGATGAAATCGTCGATCTCGAGCTTAGTAAAGTAGTACAGGATGGAATACAAAAAGACGTAAAGACCACAAGCGCCAGCTGTAAGGAAGGAGCGCCAAGACCAGTGATAGTCCTCGTTGCAGAGGTGGAAGTAGCACATCAAGATGGTGACTTGGGAGCAAGTCAAGAGCAACACCGAAAAGACGAGGAATAAAAAGCCGATACCATAATAGATGCGGTGGAACCAAATGCTGTTCATGACGAAATAAAGCTCGATAAAGATTGCACCAAATGGAAGAATGCCACCCATCAAAATCGAAGGAATAGGTTGCAAATAGAATGGCTGATCAGGGATTTGACGTGGGATTTGATTTGTGCGCACGGGTTGCTCAATGCGAGGTTTGCGGAAACCAAAGTAGGAACCGGCCACGCTCAATGGGAAAGAAATGATCATGTAAAGTGCCAAGACAGCCACCATAGTGCCAAATGGTACAGCGCCTGAGGAGTGAGATGCAATCAAGAAAAAGTTGAGTGCAAACAATGAGCCGAGGATCGCTCTAAGATAAACATAATATTAGCTACCATTTGATGATATTCCTTCCTCATCTTACCCTGGGAATAACACAGCTGTCATAAAGACGTTAAGCTTCCAGGCCTCACCACCATTCATCTTATAGATACGAGCCGACACATAACCAGAAATGCATGCAAACACCATAAAGAAAATGATCATCACGGTTGCAAGCGAGCCACGGTTGGAGGGAGAAAGGAAACCAAGCACAGCAAATACTATATACCGATCATCTTAGCATCCATGCTCTCCCTTTTCATGCCTTTTCCATCGACTCAAATCCCATCATCACTTACCAAGGGTCAAGGCTGTCATGGCAATAAGTTGGGTACCACTGCCAACAAGGACTGACAAGAGCATAGGTCGAGGAGGAGCTCGGAAGACATCACCATGAATCAATTTCCATCCGTAATCTTCTTGGACATCCTCCTACAATTCAAAAGTTGAACATCAAGCTCCTATTCACCCAAAGAAAAACTTACTTGTGCCTCAATCGAGTTGTAGCGTGAAATATCCTTATGCAATGCGCGCAACAAGATCATTGCCACCATACCAGTCAAGAATAGTACAATCACAATCGAGTTGACAAGGGAGAACCAATGAATCGAAGGATCAAGGATATGAAGATACATGTCCCAGCGGGTGGCCCATGCAGTTTCCGAAGGCTAAAAGAATGCATGAGTAACGTTGATACAAACCTAGCGTATGATAGGAAATCCCCTTTTATACTTACCAACCATTCAACATCATAAGTGTAAACAACCTTTGACTTGCCATCTTCCTTGAGATAGAATGCCAAGTTTTCGGGACTGCAGTCGGGCTTGCCTTGAGCATCAAGTTTTGTGTCTTTGCTGATAGGGTGAACGACGACACCAACGACACGACGTTTGCCATCAGGTCGATCATGATAATAGATGCTGATCTTGTAATGATTGTTGAGTGCTGGTTGACCATTGTTGGTGTAGCCAAGGCTGAATCCAATGTTGTAATACAATTCTTGAGTATGCTCGTCGCGATCTTCGTGTGCAGCTGGCAAACCATCGATGACCCAGTTCATAGCATAGCCATCGGTGATGCATTGGTTGATAAACTTGGCATCTTCAGTGGGAATGGGCTCGGTCTCACATAATAACTCGCAAGTTTGGTCTCTGCCCATGCGAAGCTAATGAAGAATCGTATTAGAATAACCTTTTCGACCATTAACAACAAACCATACCTCAAAAGGAGAAGAAAAGATGCGATCACCAAACAAGATACTACCCAAACTTTCGGATTGTTTCTCTGGGCCTCCTTCTGGTTTGCAAAAGTGGAAGCGCTCATCATAGTAATCGTACGAGATGACGGATTTGACTTGTTGGTTGGACATTTGGGTGAGCGAGTTGACTGTGAGTGGAACAGGATCCTCTATGGTGTAATCGTGTGGTGCAACACCGGGGAGATAGAAGGCTGCACATGAGTGAATCCACAAGGCACCGATGGCAAGGGTAGCCCGAACTCTCGGTACAGAGAGCATCATGATGTGTGTGGAGTGAATGGGGAAAAGAGAAAGAAAGGAGAATAAGGCGCGGGTAACTGGAGGAGAAAAGGAGACGTGTGGTGGTGGTGGTGCTGGAATGCCAAGTGCCTATCAGTAATTGATTCAAGTCAAGCTTTATCCAGATGAGCTCCGCCACTTGTCCTTGTATGTCTAAACGCTCTGACACCCTTCCACGTGTTTTGTTCGCTCTTAAATAGTAACACAAAGTACATCACTACTCATAAACACTGCCCCCCTTGACAACATTTGTAATCACCCAAAGACAATAAAGAGAGGAAAAGCATTATAGTATTAGTAGTTGTGAGTTATTGACAATATTAAGGAGGTAGTACTAATATAAACGAAAGCAAAGACAATGTAAATTGTAATCATAGTGGAAGTTCTTGAATTTGTTCTCGAAACACCTTTTCCGAAACAATGTAATGCTGCTCTCTTTTCGAGAGGCGTTTGACACTTGCAAGTGTTGATGGTAGCGTCATGTAAAGCCATGCTGCGATGGGTAATGCAACGTAATCGAAAAGATTGATCCATCGACGGGACTCACCCTTGTGCTTGTGGAAGAGGTCACGATCCACTGAACGATGCATCAATTCGTAAATAACAAGCGTACCAAAGAGTGGCAAAGGAAGTAAGACCGTGATGAGGCGTAAGAGATTCCAAAGGGTTGCATAAAATTCGGAGACAAGGACTGGGTTATCAGTTGGATGAACAAGGTCGGCAAGAATAGCGGTAGGTGGAAAGAGGACAAGCTGCATCAAGGGTACAGCTGCAAACATAAGCCAACCCGAAGTAACAGGGATCATGTGAGCTTCCAAGACCTTGAGGCACACAATCAATTTGTCCATCAATGACGCCTTTGACGTGATACTATTCTTGAGCGTGTAGGCAACATCTGCTACTCCATTGTAATGTCGCTTGGCTTGCACAAAACGTGCATTCATGTTGGCTACGTATCCACTGTCGGTTTGTACATTGGTCAAGTTGATGGGTACATGGATTGGAATCGTACGTGCTTGCCCATCCGTTTTGAAGAAGCACTTTAAGAACATGTGCATGTCCTCGCCTACAGCATCAGCATCCGTATCCCAAAAGCCTACTCTTTCGGCAAGTGCAAGTGATACGCTGTATGTCGAGCATGGGAATGCTAATCCACGCGCGTTGCCCAAATTCGACATCACCATAGCTGACCAAGTAATATCAGCAACACGTACGGCAGCTGGTACTTCAAAGCAATTTCGCGAAAAAAAGATGGGTGGTGCAAGTAGTACGTTGTAAGGATCATCCACGCGATTGAGTTCTTTTTCAACTTCGCATACGTATAATTCGGGGATGGCTGAATCTGCATCAGTCACGGTAAAGATCACACGACGTCGATCGATTCGTTCTGATAATTCAAGGCTACCATGTCGTGCAGCATATGCGACGTTTGATCCCTTGCCACGGGATTCACCAGGGATATCAGCAGGATGTCCTGTCACGATAAACTGAAGAAAACGCCCTTCAAATCGCTCCTGCAATCTTTGGCCTTTGATCTCATATCCAGCTTCCGAAGCTTCCATAGCAAGTATAATCACATAGTGTGTCTGAGCATGTCTGGATCACAAATCTTGGTCAATTTTTTGTATCTAAAACATATAAATGACGCTGTTGCATCTTACCTATGAGAAGCCAATCGATTGATCGTGTCACATAATAATCCTTCAGGCTCGCAGTAGTTGGGAATAATGAACGCATGGATATAGCTGCTCGTGTCATTGTCATCGTGGTATAACTTTTCTTCGACGTCAATGGCTGTGCTACGTTCACGAGTGCAACTGCTAGGCGAGTCAATTCGGCTGGTGCTATTGGCATCAGGCAAGAGGGATGGGGTCTCTTGGATCGTCTTGTTGATGGTGCGGCATAAACGACGAGCCATGAGAAAAAACTTGCACATGTGGTTGACTTGGGTGTATAAAAAGACTGAAAAGTAGACGAAAAGGAGGACCATGTATGCCCGAGGAAAGAGGATGGGACCAGCAGGAAGGATGGCCAAAGATGCCAGTGACACTACTGGAGCAACCCACTCTGCAGGTGATAGCAAATGCGACATGTAAAGGGAACGAGAGAGAGAGCAATGAAAAAGAAGAGATCAAGAAAAAAGAAAGAATCGAAGGGTCTAGGAGCCTTGCTTTGATGGATCTAGAGAAAGAAAAAAAAACAGAGAAAAAAAGGGGGATAGCGGACATTACATGTGAAACGTCTCCAGTGAAACCATGCATGACATTTGATTAATCCTTCTAATAAAATGGACTATAGCATGTCATATGCATATGACAAAATAGCATGTTATGGATGATACATGAAATTGCCCTGACATGTTATAACAAGGTGGTATCCATTGTTTGTTTATTTTGATGTTAAGAAAAAGTGTACATTGTATCATGAAAAAGCGCCAAGAATGTTTCACACGTCCATGCAAATCAAACGCTTGTGTGAAACCATCCGTCGCATTGGAACGCACCAGGCGATGTGATTCGTTGGTGATGAAGTGGCTACTTTGCTAGTCTGCTTTCTGTGGCTCCACTCGTTTCTCCCAATACATGAATACTTGGATGACCAGCACACCATTGAGTATACTTGCCAGCAGGTTACCCATAAGCATCAATGGATCATCCAATTCAGTCATTGTTGTAAAGACCCGTGCTGTAGTGCCTGCAAAATAGTTGAGGACGGCGAATACAGAAAGTTGCCCAGTGGACTTGTTGACAAAGTTGGTATAGATTTGGGGGATCTTGCTTGCGAGACTGAGCGGGATAGTGATAGCATACAAGCTAGCCATGACCCATGGTGATAACATGGTGGGTGACGTGAGACAATGAAGGATCAAAAGATATGCAATCAAACCCCCAAACGTAGCCCCCAGTCGCCGGTTGTAGAAGAGGATCAACAATGAAATGAGGATGTTTTGTAGCGTAAGGAAAAACGATTCGCCATAAGTACTGAATGGGTTGCTTTGACGCCAATTGTATGCAAACGTGATACAGCATGCTAGGGCTTCAAGCACAAACGATGCAAGTGATAATCCTCGTACAGAGCTGTTCGCCACTATCGTAATGATTTGTGGAATCTTGACAATGGAACCACCCACGACAATACCCAATCCAAGACCCTTGGAAATGCTGTACTTGATGCACGCCAAATTGGTAATCTCAAAGTCTTCCACCAGGGTTTTATAGCACTTGTCCCCAATCAGCGCCACAATCGGTTTCCGTAGAGGTGCCGGTAAACGCATCTTTTGTTGAATGAGCTCATTGTCAGGTACAGGCGCGGCGACGATTGACCGTATTGTACTCCATGCAAGTAAAAGGACGAGAAGAACACGAGACATGGTCGTTGCCAAGGTAACGTGCGTGCAGGGTTACATTTCAATTTGATTATTGGTAACACACAATGATCCCGACCACACCAGATAACGAGGAAGGCATCACTTTTTGTATACAATCATAGTTCGCTACATCCTTTCAAGGCTTGTGTTGTATCCATTACACCATGAAATAAATTTCGCGTTATGCATTCTATGAGCTATCGTCTTTGGATCGAATGCGTTATGATATCATATGCAACATTGGCATCTTTATTAAGCCAAAAACGATCATTGATCCATTCTTGGTCTTGTCATGTTACTCTTTCCTTATCAACTCTTTTCTTTTGATGATGAATAAATATGATCCAGCACTCTACTCATTACAACCACGTACTACCTGTTCTTCAGCTTCCTACGGCAATGTACTTGTTGTCGCAAACGCTATGTACTATCACCCATCTTGCTATTATGTTGTTGTTATAATTGCATACATCATTAAGAGTGCCGTCATTCTTCATTGCCTGATTGTGCTCATCTATCCAAGCACTTGATGACAATGAATACCTAGTTCATAGGATAAGGATGCCTGATCACCTAGGTTAGCCATAATCGCCAAGTGCTCAAATCTTAGCGGGGATAAGCAAATGTGATCTTTTATGCTTGCAAGATAATGGGCCCGACGACAACACAAAGAAGTGCTCATTCATGTTCGCTGATCAAGATTTTGATGATATCGCAAAAGCCGCTGCAATCCCTACTCTACGACTTCTTTTCAGTGATCCCACCCAATAGACGCTGTCGTATAGCCACGATGACTATCTTGTATCGGTCACACTACTACAATTGTTGATTGCTGCTTCTTTGATTGGTTGTTGTAGCTTACTCCTATTACCAAGTCGATTATCGGATCCTCGACTAGATGCCTTTTTCCCTAAGCCGCTTTTTGAAAGAGCAAAAGTTCTATCTTTTATTAACTACAGGTATCAATTTAATATTAGGACGTCATGCATAAATGCCGGCATAGCGTTAAGTTGAGAATGTCATCAAGGCATCATGGTGGTAACACCTCCAAACCCAAGCTGAGTAGCATCACCCGCCCATGATCCTTGATAAAACTCGTGTCACGCCAAGGTAAAAATGACCAAGTGCCAACGATTAGGATAATGTGTGTGTATTTCAAGGTTGGACAAAATTTGACATGCTATCGTACCTTTGTGCAAGATGACACGGAAGCACCAAACTGCAGCACCTTCTATAAAAGGGGAAGTTCAGTGCTCATCACTGATACACATTTGGATTTCCGCACCCCATGTGCACAAGCACGGAAGAAGCACTTTTTTCAAATCGCGCATAAAGGGATGATTGTGACACATGGCAACATACAATGATCGAGTAAATTTGTACACGTTGTATTGAAAACAGACACAAATATATATAAAAGAAACAAGAACTGGATGTGTGTGTGTGGTGCGTGTGTGTGAAACAAGATGATACAATTGAGATAAAAAGGTGTGTTGTTGTTGTTGTTATGTGTTGATTCGTCGTTGCTCTCTTCTGATGATGATGTTGTTATGTTGTAGTGAGTCTAGTTGAGTTGCTGAGAGAAATTGCTGGATAAGGATGGGGCCGAGTATCCCTCATCACGCCCCAGGCTAGTGTCGCGATGATAGTCGTCGGGTTGAATATCGCTGTCAGAATAATAGTAGTAACAGCGATTGTCGTCATTATCGGAACGACTTCCGATGAGTGAAATGCCGGCATTACTTGAGGAACCATAGCTGCTTGTGTCATTGATGTATGAGTAACCTTGAAACGCTTCTTGAATCGACGAGGTGAGGAGATCGGTATTGGAAACAGGGGTAAGCCTTGGTGTCATGTTGAGAAAATCTCTGTCAAAATTGCTCAAGTCTGTTTCCGAGCGAAGGTGGGGAACATATTCGGGAGGGATCCGTTTGTGATACACGTCGGACCAATCAAGGGAAGCAAAGTAAGGGTGGGATCTGATGATGATGGGTCCATTGGGCCCTGTACCCAATCGTTTATGCTCATCCCGCCATAACAAACCGGTAATGAAATCTTGAGATACATCATCAAACGCATCCGTGAATTCGAGATCATCTTCCAATATCCGCCGATACATTTCCCCATGTTCTTCGTGATAAAATGGTGTGATTCCTTCCAACATCTCATAGAGGATCATCCCAAGGCTCCAAAAATCAATGGCATACGTGTAAGGTTCTTGCTTTAGGATCTCTGGCGCAAGATACTCAGCAGTACCACAAAAGGTCCCGGTGCGTTGATTATCCAATCCAATGGCTGGTTCGAATTGCTTTGATAAACCAAAGTCAGTGAGAACAACATGCCCATCAGCATCCAATAGTATGTTTTCAGGTTTCAAATCCCTGCAAGTTACAGAGATTGGTTAGTGCGTTCTCAATGATCACGTTGACCTTTTCTCACCTGTAAACGATGCCTAAGCTATGCAGCTCTTGTAATCCCAACAAAATCTCAGCAGCATACAATCGGCTACGTGTTGGGGAAAACACTCGATGTCTCGCAAGCTGGGTTGCAACGTCACCTCCACGATGATAATCAAGAACCAGAAATAGTTGGTCTGCATCTTGAAACGCACAATGTAGTCGGACGAGAAAAGGATGTCGTATTTCAGCGATTGACGTAAGAATATCCCGTTCCATCTTTGTATGCACAATCTCACGCTGTAGCACCACATTTTCCTTGCTAATAGCCTTGAGAGCCAGTAAGCGTCGAGGTGACCGATAGGATTGCACCAATAATACCTTTACAACAATAACTAAATTAGCTCATCGAAAACACAACCACCTTTACCACGTGCTTTGCTGCGGGATTTCTCTCTACACTCCTACATACCTTGCCCATACATCCGCGACCAAGCACTTGCAGAAATCGGTAATCTTGTATCGTGGGAACATGGTGCCGCTCTTTTGAAATGGTATCCTCGTTGTAATCACTCTCCCCCCTTTGAGATGGTTGCACTACTCTCATGTGGGATGATGTTGTTGATGATGATGATGATGGATATGTGTCGAATGATGAATAGGATGACGTGCGTTGTTGTTGTTGTTGATGGTCAATTGGAATCCTGGATGATGACGGGACACTGTATTCGGGGCCGACATCTTCCATTACAATATCGGAGACGCTATCCATCATAGGCGCCGCCGAAGGAACCTTTTCTTGTAGTGGTCGTGATGATGATGATGGTGCTGGTGGGGCTGAAATAATGGCATCATTATTTTGTGTGAGGGAAATATCATCTGCTGTAGTAACAGGGCTGCGTACAAATTCGGTATCTTCAGGTCGTTGCTTTGTCAAAAAGTCGCGAAACAATGTTGATTTGCCAATAACTGGATCCAACGCACATCGCTTCAAATACGTCTCAATCTTTTCGGAATTTGGCTTGGTGGATCGTCGTCGAGAAAGCCGATGTAGGAATGCACGTATACTTGCTTTTTTGCCGGTGCCATAGAGACGTAAATCGGGCTCGACAAGTTGTGGCAATGAGATCTTTGATTTGCGATAATACTTCTTGACCTAGTAGTAGCCATCAATGATGATAAGCTACATGGATCATCCAATCATAGCTGGTACCAATTACCTTTCTATCGAAATCGATGAAATCGGGTAGATAGCGTACAAGCGACTTGTGCAGTAACTGATCCTCGATGATGACATTAAAGACCTAATGGTGTTTTTTCATGCATTAATAACAAAGATAATGGGCTATGTTTCAGATATTTCGTCATCCGACTTACTGTAAGCACGCGACGCACCCGTTTCTTCTTTTTGCTATCGTAATCTTGTAGCATCATGGTCGATTCGATAACAGCGATCTCGAGTTGAGTACCCCCGTTGTGGTTGAGGACACTGGTGTTGGACTGAGTATACATGATGGAGGAAGACATTGTGCTTGATCCGGTCGGTGGAGCATTCCGATGGTTTGCCGACGGGCTCTCCGAAGACCTTGTGGATGGCAGGAACGCGATTGGCATAGGATAGTTGTAAATGTGTAACTTGTGTGGAAAAAGAATGAAATAAAGAGAGAGCGGAGGAAGGAATAGGCCCTATGTGGATGTTGTTGTAGGCTGTATAGGACAAAAAAGAAATGAAGCAACGCTACACAGGATGGTTTGCTGTTGCTCTGACGGCCCCCGTATTACCTAAAACGTGCTTTCCGACAAAGAAAAGCTTACTCCTCGGTATATAACGACATCTGATGTGATACCACCTTCTATGTACCTTTTACCTTTCATTGTTGCCTGTTGCTATGGAAACCCATTTATCGTTATTGTAGTAGTATAAAACATAAACAAATCTCCTCCTCCTCCTCCATGCATCATTATCAGCCACATCCCCTTCCTCTTCCTCCTTCTTCTACCTACTTGTTGGCATATCAAATAAAAATCTCCTTGGTAACTTCATGACATCACGAGTTTATTACATGTGACAACCAGGTACACTCATCTTAGGGGTACAATGAATGTCAGGGTATACGTTTTATTTTGCTTGTGTCATGTGGATTATCTATTCTGATTCTATGGATGATGATGATGAAGAGGGTGACCCTGGTTCCTGTTGTGAATATGGGGTGTCAGCCGCATCAGCCACTGGTTGAGGCTGAGATCGCCTTCTCTTCTTATGCCCGGGTCCAGGTCGTTGTCGATTAGGAGCATTGAATATCAAAGGTTTCTTCTCTAGTCGCTTTAATCTCGATTTCCATAAAAGACGTGCTGCATTGCTTAGTGTTTGTTGAAAGTCGTTTTCGTCAGCACCAAGACTGCTATTACGCAAGATACGTTGTAACGTGGGGCGGCTACGTTCAGTCACTGTAGTCTTTCGCCTTAGCATGTGTTGTGCGGCTATGGGGGCTTGTGTGGTGGCGATGGCTAACTGCTTTGCTCGTTGATATGCATCGGACACATCTTTGAACTGTGATGCTTGATTTGGTTGTATAGCTGCAGATGCCTTAATGAAAAGCAATGTTAGAGTGAGTCAATAGCACCTTTCCCTTATACTCTTTGCCACTCACAGCATCATTGCTAGTCCTCCATCTTCTCCACTTTTCGATCGTTTGAATCAATCTAATAGCAAAAAAGGATATGAGCAGAGTATTATAGATAAATGCATGAATAGATCACTTACTCCCTCTCTGATTGCATCTCCTTTATCTCAAATGGATTCACAGGCTTCAATGAAGTTTCGACAACGAAAATGAAGGCATCATCATTCATCATTTGCTTGAAAGCAAGAGCCGCTCGTCCATGGTTATGGGTACTAGTGTCAGCGAGACCCGCAACATAAAAGTCATGCAATTGACACCACGTTGCTACCATAAATGAGTTTGCATAATGAACCTAATCGATCTTTAACAATGAACTTACTTGGATCAACGCGTATCCCAAAACGTTTCCAACATGTAGGCTGCGAGTAATAGATGAAATACAACGTGTAGATAGCTGCAATCTTCATCGCCGGCTGATCACTCATGATGTAGGCTGAATAGTAGTGGTACGAACAATGAATATGGCATAGGTGGAATACATGTACATTTACCACTTACAGCTCCCGGCATCATAGAACGCTTGCAAGTAACGTGGTCGATCCTCTTCTTCGATAGCACCAAAGTGAATGAGATAAAACTGCAAGGTCTCCCACGCACGTTGGAAATCGGTATAGTCGTGGTGTTCGTGCTATGATAGATCGTTAACATTGTCTCGTAGATCACATGTAGCAACACGCTTACTGCAACAAAGTTGGTCACTAAAAGTTCTACATCGTGGCTAATCGTGGGTCGCAAAAGGCCTCTTTGGCTTCGATCGATGCGTACAACATCAGCTGCATCAAGGACGCCAGAAGGGTGTCTGTTGATCATTTCGCTGCAAGTTGTGGTAGAGAAAACAACTAAATTTGTAGAATAGCCCGGGACAATGTCGGCACACTGGTTATGCTATCAACACTAACAGCGATTCCCCCCATCAACAAGCTACTCTTTGGTAAAATTCGATACGCTTATTACATGAATAAATGTGCCATTGTTATTGTCTATCCAATCAACTTTTCTTGTGTCGGCCTTTACCCAAAAAACGCCATCACTATGAAAGACGCTTTCAATGTATGCAGCCATAGCTAGATGTTCAACCAGAATATGGGTATCAGGATGTTGTTTTATATAAATTGCTTTTTACATGAACGAATAAGAAGTTATAAACATCAATCTACTATATCGAGTAATTTTCTATAGAGTGCATTTGAACAATGAGCCTTTATCTTGGTATCATGATGGGGGCGGGTGAGAGGGATAGTAATCGTAATTCAGGATGATGCTTTTGCCTTCCCCTTTGTACGTGATCGTTTGGACTTTGCTTTCTCTGCAGCTTTTGCCTTCCTGGTTTCTGCCATTTTCCAGAACCGTAAAAGATGGTTATCGGTGCGACCAGGAAAGAACTTTGTCAACATCGACCACTTTCGTCCGTGCTCCTCAATCAGTGCATAGAGCCTTTCTTCTTCTTCAGCGGTAAACGGGGCAAAAGTAAGGGAAGGGTCGAGAATATTGGTCCACCGTTCACGAGCCTGCATATCCGTACGACCTGGCAAATGCCGTTGTATCTTATTCCAATTGCCAACACCATAAAAATTCACAGCACGTCGCAGCGTTTCATCCTCTTGTTCAGTCCACTTTCCACGGCGAATGGCAGGGTTGAGAGATTTCATCCAACGTTGAAGACATTGATTGCCCGTTCGATTGCCCAACATGCTTGCTGTTTGTTGCCAATTTCCCTCGCCCAAAAGAGCCACTGCTTCTCGTAACGATAAATCGTCTTCTTCGGTCCATTTCTTCTTTGAATGGCTGGTATTCCTCTCTGATTGATATCTCGAAAAGCATTGTGAAGCGGTGCGATTGGATCCATGCTCCTTGGCTATCAATTCCCATTTTCCATATATGCCATGCTTCTCCACCAGCTCATGTAGCTTTTGTGATTCTGCTTTGGACCATGGCTTCTTGTTGATTCTTGGATGTTCTTGTGTTGTCCACTGGATGATGCATTGCACTGGAGTTCTTGAATGTACCTATGAAAAAATAACCCTTGTAAACAATGTGACATCTTTGCTTAAAGGGATTCCATACTTACATAGAGTGCGCTAATACGCTTCCAATTCAACTTGTCCACTGGTACGTTTTCCAATTCCTTATCCGACATCTTGTCAACCTCCCATATCTTGTGCTCCTCTTTGCTAGTATGATTAAAATTGAATTTAGTAATTGCATATACATGTTGAGAAGGATACACAAATACCTGGCAACGATCGAAACAACCAGTGCACGCCGTGCTTCCGCATGTACACCATCAAATAATCTTTGTCGCTCTGAATTTGACCCTGTATTACATTGTGAGCAGCAAATAAGAAACCTAAATCTTGTTTTTTTTCAACTTACAAGTACGTCGCACAACGCCCATACTTTGATCGATAGTATCCTGTTGGGAAGGATCGGTTGCGATAGGTGGTTTGTTGCCATCTTCGTCAATGAAAAAGTCATACGTCGTCGGGTACTTTTTGTGGATCTTGACAGGCTTTTGGTCCATTTTCACTTCCATACTTGAGAGGTCTCGAACGTTTTGCTAACAAAATCCATGTTGGTTATAGGTCTAATGAAACCACATCTCTCATAGTTACCATCAACTCCTGCGTTGCACGTATTCGTTCATTAATCCATCCAAGTTGATTTTCAGCATGCTGTTGCATTTCCATGTTTAGGCGTAGTGCCTCTGCAATCGCAAGCGATCCACGGGTATAGTCATCAAGATCAGGAAATTCGATCAACGAGCTTAGCACATCAACAGGTTGCTCTAATGCGGGTGATAGCTGTGATGATAAAGGTGAACTTATTGCTGCTCCTTCTTCTTGTGTAGTTGTCGGCTGTGAGTCCAATACTGGTGCTGCTGCTTCTTCTTGTGTGGATGTTGGTTGTGAGTCCAATACTGGTACTGCTTCCTCTTCTTCTTCTCTTGTAGGTGATGGCTGTGTGTCTAATACTGGTGCTGCTGCTGCTTCTTCTCTTGTAGGTGATGGCTGTGTGTCTAATACTGGTGCTGCTGCTGCTTCTTCTCGTGTAGGTGATGATTGTGTGTCTGATACTGGTGGTTCTGCTTCTTCTTCTCGTGTAGATGATGGTTGTATTTCACTTGATGCCGTTGCTGTGGCGTCCTCCTCATCAACATGATTCGGTGGCGTTGATCTTTCCATTCCTTGTTCGCTTGTAGTATTCAATGATTCGTGTATGTTGTCGTGTGTATGCTTCTTTGTCTTCCTAGTCGCTTTAGCTCTTGAAGGTCGCAAGGATGATGACTCTTTGGCGTTGGTCGTCTGTTGCTCGGCAGGTGGTTTATGTGCAAGACGTGTACTGGATCTTAAAACACGCGAGCTTGGCTCTGGCACTTCTATCTTGGCACGAAACGAATATGACACTCGTCGTTTTCTTCTGCGCGGCTTTCTGGTGGTGTTCTCAATGTCGTGATCAGCTGTGTCTAGCATGTCCTCCTCGATTCGATCAGTGTCAGAATGTGACGATGGCAACTTGTCCGGTGAATGCTGTTGATCGTTTTCAGATACGTTGAAGTGTATGTCATCGTCGGCAGGTTCATGTTGGGGAGGTGTCTTTCGTTTTGACATGCTTCAAGGTGGGAAGAAGAGTGCTGACTTTTGGTTTCCTGCAAGCCGCCAATTCATCCTCCAGCAACAGCCTGTGGTGGACATGCATGCATACATGCTACTATTGAACTTCCTTTATACCATCCAAGCACACCACATTCATTATCCTTATTGATAGAAATTATAACAGCTTTAGCTATGTAGGCATTGTGAAACCAAATTCAATATACATATTTATGGTCGCCCAACAGGGAGACCACCATTTCACTAGCACATAGCACTATATTATGCATGGGGGGAAATAGCGGTTGTTGATGGCCATATTCATGATGAGTAGTAAGCTGGTATATATCGGATGGTGTCGGTTGTCCTTGTGTATGTATACCCATTGGAATGGCAAATAGAAAAAGAAAATGTTGGACAATGCACACAAGGTTCCGTGTGGGCAACACAAACGAATGAGATATGCTTGTTGACCACGTACAACTTTTTTACCCTTTCGTGGAATAGCATTGAAGATTAGAAACGTCTCGTCCTACTCGAATTTCACAAAAGAGATGCTCGTCTCATATACATGCAGCTATGGCATCAACATTACAAAGATGAAAATATGACATGCTTTAGTGAATACGCTTGCAAACAGGCCCATTTTCCTTGACGACTCTGCCCTACAGTATTGGATTGCGTGTGCCACAAAGTTTCAGTACAGAAAAAGTAACACTAGCGAGTAGATTGAGAATACAAGATTCGTGAACCAGTAGTGATTGTATCATTAGTGTTTTTGGGGGGAGAGAAGAAAACTACACCAACCACGCTGTTATACACAATTATGGGACAAAGTGCACGGATGAATTACGAGCATCTAGTAGAGCTACTTCATGTGAATAAACAAGCGGAAAACGACACGGGAATAGGCCGCTAGTTGTACAAGGCATGTCGGGTACACGAAGCATCAGCGGTTGGTCCATGTTATACAAGTAAACTGGTACATCTTGACACATCTCCTCAAAACCTTTGTTGTGCATTTGGCCAAGCGACACAACAAACTTTAACGTTATTGATGGTGTCATTTGAATGCATATGATGATCCACGTTCGATATACGACACACAACACACAAAGGGAACATGATGGGGGATACGATCAAAGTGATACGGATTCCCACCGACCAAATCCTTTTACGTGACGAGATGTTTATTATATGCCGCACATCACGTAGAACAGCCGTGCGCACATCTACATGTAAACTTTATTGCATTTTGGGCATATGTGCACGGACTAATGTCCCATTTCAGTCGCTTGTCCTCAACACAAACAAAGGGTCCCTTCGCACCACATAACCGACACTGCATTTCAGCTTCACTATGGCCTGACTCAAAAGATCTATGTTCTTGTCTTACCATTGCTTGCTTGTTACACACACTGGGACATCCGTGGAAACAAAGAAAAGGGAAAGAACGAAAATTTTGTCGATTGTATATACATAGCATTGTCGGCATAATGCGAAACGTTCCGATTTTTTTGGGGGCATGGATATAGTAGGCTCCAAGGAGTGGTGTTTCATCGGCGATGAGCCGAACAAGATCCAAGAGATGAAAAGCGATGGTGTATGCAGCTCCAAGTGACAAAAGTAGAATAATCGACCTCTCATTATGCATGTGAATAATCTAGATCGGTTTCTCCGCGCTTGAATAGATGATGCACCAGAACACGATATCAGCTTACTTATTCCCAGCTGTGCATCGATGGATAAGGACAGGTGCACCGGAGACGAGGCAAAAGATGCAACCTATTCACCAGCTTGTGTCGCACTCGGAATCTAAAACTAGGATGGTTGTGCGAGCAAGAAAGCTTCTTTTCCCTTTGCCTTTAACCCCTTTCATTCAGGGCAGCTTACGTTCTGATGTATGCTAACAACGACATACATTCAATGAAGAGGCACCAATTTTTGATTTTTTGGGGGAGGTCTTATTATGAGGTATAGCATGATCCCATATCAATTGCTTGCCGTTGAGACTCATTTGATGATCCAAACCTTTGCTGTTGCCATGGCGATCACCGGCATAATGTCCTGGTTTTCGCAAGATATCATCCGAAGTACTTTGAGTGTCCGACTTGATAGTGGGCCCAGCGGTGTCTATATATCGATGGTGGAGACTTGCATATGTACATTCTAACAATCCAAAAAGATTGACGGATTGTGGTGATTGTTACAGTTGCACCAAAAGAAATGTGGTGCAATCCCGATTGTCTACTTTCTTTCCTTTGGCCCAAAGCAAGCTTTTCTCTTTCTAGACGTACCTGGATATAAAAAAGGTGTCTTTTCCACACGCTTCCTTTTTTCTTCGCCTTTCTTTTCCTTTTAGGCTACTATTCCCTCTATCATATACCTCTATCTTTTTGCTACCTACTACCTTAATCCAACATAAATGATAGTCGCAGCACCATCTTGGAATTCTCTTACTACATGGCATCCCGCAAAAGCAGGAGCTCTTACTGCAGCTGCAAGCTTTGTTGCTCTTGCCGCCATTCTCTATCGTCAGCTGAGTAGCTCCAACAAGGATCAAGAAGATAGCATCCCATCCCCTGAGGGATCACTTCCATTTATTGGTAGCGTACAACCCTCCATCTTATCAACCCATTACCTACACCAAGTCATATTCACACACTTTTTTTCCTATAGGCCATCTTTGGAAACTACGTAAGGGTGCCGTCAAGAAATGTCTTCAATGGCAAGATGAGCTTGGTATGTAATTTGGATATCGATCTCACCATTACTTATCACTCAACTAAAATTATCCTAGGTCCTATCTATCGCCTGAACCTTGGCATGGGCAAGAAATGGGTGATTATCGGTAGCCCCACCGTTGCCCATGAGATCTTGGTTGCCAATGGAAGCATGACAGCTGTTCGACCTTATCAACGACCCATTCATGACATCTTAACTCTTGGTGGAAAGTAAGTTTCGCATTATCTATACCATCATCTCAGCTCGATGTCTAACATGGCAGTTATCATTTAGAGGTGTTGCTTTTGCTGATCCATCGAAAGGATGGCGTATGATGCGATCAGCTTGTAAGTTTCATGAATCAATCGCATGCTAGAATCATACAACGTAGGCTCATGCAATTTTTCTCTTATGATAGTACATGCATTGGTTAATCCCAAGAACCTTGAAAAGTATAGCACGCTCTTGGATAAGGATGCTGACGACTTGATTGGCTACTTTTTATCACACAATGGGGGCAACGTGAATCCTGAACTTGCATTGATGCGTACAGCACTCAACTTTGTGCTCATCACTTGTTTCGCTATTAATCTTGGCACTTTGGATGATCCATTATTTCGACGAATTTCCATTTCGGTGGAAGAGGCAGCTTCATTTGTTGGCGTGAGCAAAGAGGCGCGTACTTTCCTTCCCATTCTTGGCAACAAATTTCAAGAGCGATTCAAGGACTACATCAATAACCGACATCACCCATTACTTCGTGAAATGATGGCCCAAAGCATGGATACCGGCAAGGAGTGCCTTGTGCGAACATACCATGAGCTCCGAGATGACGGCATTATCGATGATGACGATATTGTGGTTGCCATGAGTAAGCTTTAGAGTTTAGGCTATGTGTTTGTGTGTGTATGCTGTTGTCTAACCTGATGTGCGCGTTCTTTTTGTGTAGCGGAGATCATGACTGCAGGCTCGGACACCACAGTTGCCACGATGCTGTGGCAATTACTTATTCTGGCCAAGTATCCCGAAGTACAAGCCAAGATGCAAGCTGAAGTTGATGAGTTCGTTAAAAAGCATGATCGATTACCAACCTTTGCCGAACGTGAAGCTATGCCATATACTATTGCCGCTCAAAAAGAATGTATCCGTTTCAGACCCACATCTTACTTTGGTCTTCCCCATGCTGCTGATCGAGATAGTAAGTACAATGATATACAAATTCAGGCCATGTGATTTCATTTTGCTCACATGACCTTATAGTCGTTTGGCGCGGCAACATCATCGAAAAGGGTACTACTATCGTAGGCAACATGCGAGCATTGCATACCAGCACGGAGCTATTTGAAGATCCAGAAGAATTCAAACCCGAAAGATTCTTGGGTCGACCCGCTACCACCATGTTCAGTGAAGCCAATGGCAACGTCCAAGACCGAACCAATTTTATTTTTGGATTTGGAAGGTAAGAATTACGCACACCAATCCATAATTGCGGATGCACATCATACTTACACCTACGCCACAATGGCTTTCTTTCTACTATACAGACGTACATGCCCTGGTATTCATTTGGTGAGTGATACTAGTATACAATGGTCGTGTTGTGGTATAGTGATACTAACAGCTGTATTCATTTAGGCCGAATTACAAATGTTCAACATCTTTGTTCGCCTATTCCAAAAATGCACCATTATGCCTGGCCTTGATGATAATGGCCAACCTATACCCATTGATCTTGAGAGTCTTTCATCCAGAAGCTTTGTATCACCTCCTGCACCTTATCAGGTGCGCTTCGTTCCACGCGTTTAAACTTGTACACTGTAGAAAAATGACACTAATAAACCCAGCGTGTATATACCAACCAACTTATGGTTAAGGAATTGGGGATAAACATTCACGAAAAAGGATGACAAGTGAAAGTGCAACACCAGATGACCAAGTCTTCTGGCGGCCGTTATCAAATCGCTGGCACAGCAGCAAGTCGACGTAGCATGTCGTTACACAATGACCACCACTGCATCGTACTCAGGGGGAAGCTTTCTACAAGGCATTACCAAGCAACATCCCAACTAAGCCTAACAAAGGATTTATAGTATGCAAGCTTTCAATTGGTGCATATCCTTGTTTCCTGTCATACAGCAATCTCGCTTTAGTAGATGCAAGATAATGCATGACAAGGCAGTGGCTTTATTGTATCAAGGATTCAACATCATCATTGCGCATAACGAAAAGGTTCTAAAGCCGTATTCACCCTTTGAAGCTACAAGGGCATGCTATGTGAAGGTACTATGAAGTACGCAAGTCAGCTTGACAGGATCATGGCAGCTGTAAGGGCGACTTGCATACCATTATCAACCCCATCATCGCCGCATGCAATGATCTTGTGACCTGGAAGATAGTTCTTTTTACTGAGCTGCTTTTTCTCACAGCTTACAAAACCATGTTTTCCACGTGATTGCCTTTGAAAATCTGATTGCCGTTTATTGATCGATAATTCTCAAGCATTGGGTTCTAAAAAGGTAGACACGAATAACGTGTACCTTGTTGATAATATGCCACTTGGATTCTAATTCCCCTTAATGGAAGGTCCATCTGCAGCATGAATTGGAAGGGGATGGAGTAAGTAAACTAAAAGCTGCTTGAAAACAGTTTGCATATGATGACGAATCTTTTCGTGTCCTCATCTCGATAATGATGCAGTACACGACCGGACAAGCAATCTTTTGGTACTGCATTATGGATAAAGTGTGGAAAAGGCAGCTTGTGTCTTACAGACACGCTCACACATATTCCCATTTTTAGATACTGGTGAGCGGGGGTAGAACTATGCATGTATGAAAGCTGATCTTTATACTTGAAAGGAGCGACAAGCTGCATCAATGTTGCCACACGTCATCCTGTCCCTTTCTTAAAGGATCACCGATTAGTGTTGGATTAAGTAGTACATCCCATGTAAAACTCTAATCTCGTCAATGAAGAATGCAACCAGCTTATTATGGTAGGGTCTTTTTCTTGGTTTTCTTAACGCCATGCACAACATCATCAGCATCTAATCTATTTCCTCCGGGGAAAAGGATGCTGCGGATTTAAAGCCTCCTGCGGGCGCTTTGTCCTTCGTTACCCATGTTTAGGTTATGTGTGTGCATTCATGTGTACGGATTAGGCCATTCAAAGAGCATGTATTGGATGATGGACTTTATGTTTTATTGGGAGGAATTCATCAATCTAATCTCTCTTTCTACAGCTATGAAGGATTTGGTGGGACATACTCGTTTTTCATGCATGATGATATCTAAATGGGTCATTGTTGAATACCACTGTCACGTGAGCCAGCATAAACGACGCGCTGAATTTGGGTTGAGCTGGTGATTTCTTTTACCACTTTTGAACGCTCCATGCCCTTTTTACGGAACTTTTTGAATCGCATCAAGCATGACTCTGCTCTACAAGTAGGTTGAAAGTAAGAAGCACATGCCCGGTAACATTGCTATTGACGACAATGACTTGGTAAAGTAGATGCTCGATGTTCGTCAAACCGTGTCATTGCCGCTTGAAGGGTTCTCGGAATGGATCAAGCAGAGCATGGATAGGGAAGGCATTCAAAGTGACAATGCGGTGAACTTCTTTGGACCGTCAGGTGGTGGCAAGACGTGGACTTTGACAATACTTGTGGAGGACACGTTGCAGCATACGGATGGTAGCATTCTTTGTCTCGATTTGGATGGACGTTGGAATACATCACCTGCTTCAGGACATGGGCGATTTCATCTCTATCAACCATCAACAGCAATGCAGGTGGCTTCTTTATTTGAATCCCTTGATGATTGGTTTGATCAACACGCGGATGAGATGGTGTTATGGGTACTCGTGGATGGCGTTTCGATATTGGATGGATCCATGCTTAGCAACCTCAGGCAATGTCAACGCAAGTGGAAGTTCGCCTTAGCAACAACATGTGTCAACCATGCCCATCATAGCAGCAATCTCCCTTATGATTATTATTTCTACATCTCCAAGGAATCCGGTCACCATCACCCTCAAGTTAAAATGACATGGCCCATTGTTTCAAAACCTTTCTCTTTGTTAAATAATGATGACAATCAGCACAATACAAGTGCAATACAACCTTCTTATGTACATTTGCCATTTATGAATATGGGTGTTGGGGGGGATCGAGGTTTCTATTACCATTGAAAAGAGAAGATCTAAAATTCATTTACTTGCGTCTCCATACGCTCATCTTTTCTCTACCAATGCGACTCTCGTGACCTTTGGCATCAACAAGATAAATGTTGTCAAAATTGGGACCCAGAAGCTCATTGTAGCTATCAAATAGGATGCGTATGTAAGCACGTAGATCAAAAGCTTATAGTGCAACGGAGTTACTTACACGTCTACCGATAAACCAAATGGAGGACCACCTTCCTTCTCTTCAAGAGGGAACATGAGTGCAACAAGAACACCTCCAGGCTTGATAATCTCGGCCATGCGGGAAGCCCACTGAGGACGCATCGATGGTGGCATTGCGCACAAGAAGCTATTCCCATCATACATTAAGCATGCATACCCCAGGCAGATCATTCTACTAGTAGACTTACGTATAATCATAGATCAAGTCATAGCCACCTTCTGGGTACTTGAAGTTGTAAAAATCATCGCAAATAAAGTCATAATTGCTGCCCTTTGGTATCTCCTACATCAATAGCAAATTAGCATCCATACACACACATGTCTTGCATGACAAAACCCCTACCTTGTTCAACTTGTCGACGCACGTGGCACTCATGTCCAAACCAGTCATATGTCTTTCAGGAGTTGCAAGGAGTAGCACATCATAACCTAGTGACAAGCTGCGTGAGAAGGATGAAGAATACACCATCATCAAAGAAGTATATTCTTACCACTACCACAACCTGGGACAAGACCACGACCCTTAGCAGGAAGCAAGTCGCTGTGTTCCTTGATAAGAGTGACCAAAGCAGGGCTCGATTCACCATGATCCCATTGAGTGTTGCCATCTTGCCATTTCTTTTCCCAATCGATAGGTTCGGTCATGTTGTTCAGTAAAGTTCGAAACTGGTGGGGGAAAAGCTGAAGCATGAGCGGGGGCTATATATATATACATGTTGTTCCACTGAGATGGCGCACATAGTTAGCTGATCATATCAACCCTTCCATTTACCTTCGTTTCACGTTAACAATGGGTTTTCTGCTTGATACAAAACATTCATACTATCATCATAAATCGAATTCATCCTTGCCAACACTATTTTATAGCTGCAATTGATGCGTTGTTGTAGAAAAGACATTCACTCTCGTTAACAATGGATGCGCCACGTCATTGCTCGTCAGCTCTTGTTTCATTCGGAGCCGGATAATCCTGCATCGGCAACCCGTTGTCTCCGTAAGCAGTTACCAATGATCCCCGTGACTTTAGATCTTTGTCTCAATTACCTGCCAACACACTTACCATAATGCTTTGTAAGCTACCATCTTATAAAGTATGCCTTTTCATTGAGCACCATTACTTTGGAATCCATCTGAGAATGTTGTTGTTGTTGTTGCATCATAAGAAGCGTAGTAGTAGTAGTAGTAGTAAGAATGCGGGAATTATGCATCATGAGCAGCCACCCCCAACTTCTATATCAAAAGAAGATCAGTGCAAGGAGAAGGGTTGTCGTTGGTTCATATTCGTCATCTGACAGCATAATGGGAACAGCATGAGTAGGATACCCGTGACCCCGCATTGATCCGTTAGTAGATGATTCCGCATCTGGCTTGGGATGAGTGATTTCAGCTTCTTTTTATGCAGCCATTAATTAATCGTCTCATCAACCGCCTATGGGTACGCTGCATAAAATGATGGCCCATTACCTAAATACGCATTACCATTCTTGATGAATGAGATGATTCCTTTCTCCCATAGTAGAATAAGAGTCGTGTGAGATGTGTGATCGTTTCCCAGTTTATATAGTGCTAACAGATGACCTTGGGCTGTCCAGACTATTGCAACCACGAGGTTTTACACAAGCTCCCCTCCAGATAGTGTAACGTCAAATCATGTAACCGTTCTCGGCACGTCAACACGTTTGGACCATGTGCACGTTGTGCACAAGGCGTCGTTGTGGCTCACAAGCCGATCCGATTGTTTAAATCTCCCGCCATTGTTTTATGTTGTCGTTTTCTTTTCTTCTCTTTCTTACATCGTTACTCTTGGCGTCTTCACTTTACCATCATTAACGATGACTGCGAATCATTCTGCCACGACCAACAATAATCATGCAGTAGTGCCAACCGATAAGCATAGAAGAAAACGCCTCAAGGTCGTAAGCGCATGTCTCGAATGTCGTCGCAAAAAGACAAAGTGTAATGGTGAAACACCATGTGCTGGTTGTATTAAAGCTAAAGTGGATTGCAAGTATGTGACCACCTTGCAACAACAACAGCAGCATGTAACCCGATCTCGGTCGGCAGCGGCACCTGTGGCTCGCCACCAACAACAACAACATCCATCGCATCGGCAACGACATCATACGACGGCAACAACAACATCATCCATGGCAGCAGCCAATACATCTTCTGGTTCTAATAATAATACCACAACGACGCATGCCAATCGAGCCACCGTCAATGCTATTGAGCAAAGGCTTACTGTGATTGAAGACATCTTGCGTGCTCTCTTAAAAGATCGTGCTGCTACTACTGCTACTACTCCTGCTGCTGTTGCTGCTTCATCTACCACTGCTCAAGGCTATTTTGCCCATTCTCATCCATCACTTCAGTCGTCTTACACGGCATCGATGCATCATGCTTCTCATGTCCATAATTGGTATCCAACACGGGATTGGGTTTATACCTCCTCCCCATCTTCCAGCTCCTCAACATTCTCCTCGGCATCGTCAGCTCCACCACAACCACCAACTTCGGCATTTCACTTGCCGCCTTTACGTCAACATCAACCTTCACCTCCTTCATCTTCTTCATCGGCACCACAGTCGTCCACTTCGATCCGCAGCCTCTTGAACGACAATGATGATTTGCCTACTCCACCTCCTACAGCCACCTTTTTCGAAAAGGAAGCACCTGTATCAATTGGAACACGCCAATACGCCGAGTATTATATGACGCCTTGATTGTATCCTTTCCATCCATCATCAACCATTGCAAAAAGAGTCATACAACAACCCCCAACACCACCATCACCACACACACATACCCCCTTTTTTGTACACCTCTCTTACACAACAACATGCAACATGCCAAACTTTTTCTTTTGCTGGTCAACCGGTTTGCCTTGCATCTTTTGTGATATGATACCCTCTTCTTCTTCCTCTTCTCAAGAACATGCTGTCTATGTATGCCACACCCTACTTAGTATTATCCTTTTTAGAGTCCCTTTCATGAGCACATATCAATCACCCAATAAAAAGTTTATATCATCATGAAGAAGAAATGTACAACTTGTTGTCGTTGTTTGATGATGGCAGCACCTGTCAACAAGCTTTGTGTATCAAACGAGGTGATTCATGTTTCAGGTGTATATATAAACTGCGTGCCTGGGTGTTGATCTCGTTTCCTTGTTGCCCCGGTGTAGAGATCGTCGGCTGATTAAGACCTTAATAATGACGCTATGTGTGTTTTATGCATGGAAGGGCGCACACCTATTTCATGCACGATGCATCCTACTATATCGAGAAGCATGTGCCATGCTGCTTTCTCCGGTAGTGTTCCCACAGAACAAGAATAGTTGATTGCATTATAGAACGTACCTTTTTTGGGTGACCATGATGGCGATACAACATCACGCTCAGCCACGGTATGCATCCATTACAAATGATCTTTTACGAAAAGAGTGCTGACAGATGGGGAGCCCGGTGATGAGATTAGGGAGGATAAAAATATGGATGCAGCATGATGACAAGAAGAGTAAAGGGCGGGGGAGAGAAATTAAAGTTCCTTTCAACACATGGAAGGTAATCTAATTCGTTTCTTTTTTGAAAGGAGACAAGATGAAAGAAGCAAAGAGGGCTGTGCGTGTCGCGTGGATGTGGCGGTTAATGTACATTTGAAGAAGCCGAACCTTAAATTGTCCCAAGTAGAGTAGCAGTAGTAACACACATCACATACACACACACGCACGCACGCTCACACACACGTCGGTCATGGATGGTCAAGATTGAAATGGATTTAAAAGTAAGGTTGCTTTTGATAACAAAGGTAAAAGTGAATGAATGAATGAATGAATGAGATATTTATTGTGTGTGGGTTTCAACATGGACAAAGAGCTGCAATCATATTGGTTGTGTTGCTGTAAGTCTTGTGTCTCTTTGTTTCGCCGCCATCCAACTCACCTATCGCTTCGAGATAATCCTTTGTTCCTTTAGCCCCTGGCAACACAAGAGCCGAGGGTCGCAGCTTTACACCTCCAATCAACCTGCCAAGTGTGGGCTTCCATGGACATTTACGCTCTCACTCGCAAGAAGCGTCCTACGCATCTGACGCTTGGCCAATCGACCACCATCTCTCGACCGCCTCTTTCTACAATCGACACTATCGAATCACCTACATTAACCGAGCAGTCGTCAGTCGATTCGAAACAGCAATCTTCCTTGAATAGTGCGTCCTCCTTCTCTGAACCCGTAACGGGACCACCAAGTCGGCACCACTGGAAGGTAAGTTTCAAGGGATATGCACCCCTGCTACTGTACACACAAGCGTCATCATCATCATCATCAACTGATGATCCATCCTGCATTCTATTAGCCTGATGCCGATAGTACACACTGTGCCCAATTTGGTTGCAGGACATCCTTTGGTCTCTTTGAAAGGAGGCATCATTGTCGCAAGTGTGGAGACATCTTTTGCTCGGAGCACTGTGCTCAATCGATACGGCTGGATCAATCATCTCGCTTCCATCCCAAGGGTATATTATCAAGGTGCTGTAATGGATGTGCAAATGACTATCGTCGCTGGTTGACGGGTCTAAAGGATACCCAGGAGCAACAACATCATCAACATCAACAAGATGAACATGGAAGAGAAAAGCATTCTCGTCGACGTACGGGTATCATGACACATCAACCACACGCTATGGAGGGTGTGACAGAGCTTGGGAGAGATGGTATGTATATACAACTATTGGAGATTTGATTTCTATATTGACAACCTATATCCAGATATTGTAGAAGCTAATCGACATCCTATTGCCATCAAGAGCAAACATGAAGGTAAGACTTTGGGTTTTATTACCGGGATATGGAAAGCTATGGTGGTACCTTGATCGGCATCAAACTCACTTTTCCATTTTCAGTGGCCTTCAATCCAATTCCATCCGTACCTGCAGATTGGCAATGGTCAACCTTTTAGATCATTCCTCCCTTCCTCCCTCCACAAAATCCCCATAACAACGCACATCATCATCCCACACACGCATTATCCGCCATGTCATTATATATATTCCATCCATGTCTTTCTTGTTCTAACAACATTCATACACTCTATTTATAAAACTTTTTGGGCATCTATTCTTATGGGTACTAGCCATGGTGACATTTGCATTACATATGGGGTTGCTATGTAATAGTATTTCCATGACGTCGGTTGTCTGATGTGGTTTATTCCCTTTCCTTTTCCCTCCGCTGCTCTTCAATGAACACCAACGACAGTGACGACGAGTTCTTTCGAGAGACACATTATGCACGTTACGGCTATGATAGAACGTAATAGCAACCAACAACGCCTTCATTACAAGACTCACCCTCATGTTGTCCTTTAGAAATATCTATGGATTGGCAGTTCTCGATTCACGGAAACCAACATGCTTGGATCGCGCAGAGGAATTTCCTTCCCATCGATTTGAAAGCTTCCCGTCAACAACAACCCACAACAAACCCGATCCACTAAAGAAACCTGTTCGTCACCTTATCGCGGCTTCGTCTTCTGAAATGGTTGGCATGGCATCGCGCGATGGATATTGGAATAGTCTTCATATGGGTCTTGGGCTTACCATGGGCCGACACGAAATGATTGCCATGGATGCTGTGGAGGAAGGGGATCGTATCCTGGTGGCCGTAGCTATTGCAGAGGTAAGTTGACATGTGTGATTGCATTGTATGTTGAAGCTGATATGCAATATGATCATCACGTGACTAGAAAGAGCCCAATGATACATTTCAATACTCCCTTCGGATCTTTAGCAGCACAGCACCCTATCTAGAGCAAGCGTTGATCGACATTGCAGGCAAGTATTTGATATGTGTATAAGGAGGGATTGAGGTATCTAACCAATGTAGCAGATACCCGACAAGTGATACCCTTATCAAGTGCACCTATGCATTTGACTCATACTTGGAGCAAGGAACAACATCAGCTCATGTTTTTACTCACGGCATTGGATGGGCGGATACACATGTATATGGCACAAGACGACAACATTTTCAAGCAAGTCGAAGATGTGGGATCTTATTATCCAATGATGGCAGAAATATGCGAGCATCGTTTAAAGTAAGTATAGGGATGGTGTCTTTTGTTCAAAGGTTTTTAACTTTATCAAGGATTCTCTTCATGCATATCTATGATCGACCTAATGGCCAACAAGTGATCTGCGCTGGCGGGCAAAATGGGGATGTGATACTGGCGATCTATGACCAAGGTACAACACGGCAAAACCTTGTTCAAGAAACGTTACTTAATACATGTATCATGATGCTGTAGATGGAAATCAAGTAGCGTATCACACCACCCGTGTATTCAGTCCCATTACATCCGTGCTTGTATTCCAGCAACGCGTCTCCAATACGGTACATCCAGAGGACGAGCTTCATATTGTGGTGACGTGTGCCATCGAATTGGCTATTGTATACAGGTACATATGGGTAATTTAGTTTTATAAAAGGTCAAGAGGTTTATTAATAGGATGGGTTTACTATAGATCAATCGAGAACAATGGATTAAGCAAGAGTCGTGTGCTACCACAATCCGGGAATTATGACAGCGTAATGTGCTCTCATGCTATGGACGTTGACTGGGATGGTGAGCGTGAAATCATGATTGGTACCTATGGCCGGCAAGTTTTGATTTACAAGCAAGGTAAAGAGGAGAGGTGTAAAATTATCCAGGGGGTAGATCATTTACGCAAAAGGCAAATGCAGTGGCAGGAACACAAGAATACAATGTGCTTTGGAGACGACAATTTGCATATCCAATCTATCGCATCTCCCATTTGGATCTCAACCGTGATGGGCTGGACGAGTTGATTGTCTCGACCATGTACGGGGTCCATGTCTTTCAGGTAATGTGATAATAATATGGGATTTTTTTTCCATTCGTGCTAATACAGCCGAATGTTTTTATTCCCCCTTTGTCCATGGGTGTAGCCAAATATGAAGAGAGCGCGAGAACGATTGCTAGAGGTGCTGCAGTACGTGGAAGGAAACAAACGACGCATCTACGAGCTTGTATTGGAATGGAGGCATCAAAAGGAAATGGAGAAAGCTATTGTGTTCGAGTCACAGTGAACAAGAAGAAGAAGGAGATGCGGAAGAAGAACGTATTTGGTGTGTGTTTCGTGTGAGCAGCAACAACAGCAGCAACATCAGGGATCACCCAAAATGAGTGCACCCGAGCCAGTCATCTCCCATTTATTCTCCTCGACAACAACAACAACAATACATCATGAAAGACAAGAACTTGGATGTTCAATGGTTACACATTTCCCATGACAAACCCTGTTTCTTTTTTCAAAAGACAAGATGACTTTAATACAAATAAATTCGTAATGGAACGGTTCTTTTGAGATAACAACAAAAGTGTATAAATGGCACCGATGATATGACAGTAAGATTGGAATAGACTTTAAATGGTGGTCTCGGCCCCGTGGTATGTGATAAAATGCAAGTTGGTACGAAGGCATTGGCAACCAAGAAAAGGGATGATAATGTGCATCTGTGCAAAAACACATGACTATGTGTGATACGGGGGAGAACATGGGGGACCAAAATACCTGATGCAAAACCGCTTATAATCCGCCATGTTTGGGATGCAATGCAATGGGTGAAAGAAGACGTTCCTGATAAAAATTGCGCATATCCTTTTCTGGTTAGCGGGTGCACACAGACCGGTGAATTTGTTTGGTTCAAACAAGAGCGTTGGTGCCTGTTCGCCTGATGGCCCATTGCCCAATGTGTAGTTGTGCTCTCTTCTTGTAGCGCTATGTATGTGGCGTCTAGAACCTCTTTCTTCGGCATACCCTATATACCCCGTCTCTCTCATATTCCCCTTGACGCCCTCCTCTCTTTGTCTAAAGCAGGTGAATACAAGGGTGCCGATTGAGTCTGGAACCCACTTTGGCTGCCGATCGTGCTTTTTATCCCGAGAGATTAAGCAGTGGAAGGGGTAAATGTGTGTGTGCGAATAATGGGGGTAGACCAGTGGAGGGTGGGGGGTGGGTAGAGTGAAGAAGAAGCCCACAACAGCAGTTTATGCAGTATGTCGTGGAACCTAAACAGGCAGCTGTGCAACATCCGCAAAACCTGAGAGATAAAAAGGTCGCGACCACATTCCCCCCACTGGGTCGTGCGTTCGTGCAGTTCTTTTTCTCTTTTTTCTTTCTCTCTCTCTCTTTGTCTTTTTTCTTTGACTTGTTCACAACAATAACAACAACCACTTGTTCTTTCAACGTTGCCATAACGACCACTTTCACACAACAACAATAACAACAACACCTTCTGCTCATTGCACTCATCATTCCAATCGCCAACTTAAACATACACCTTTGGTCTTCACCATGGCCACTGTTCCACCAATGCCTTCTCCACCATCACATCATCCCACCACTTCGCCATCCTCTCCTCACTATACGCATCGACGACCATCATCAGCTACTGGTCAAAAGCGAGGGTTGACAAGAGTCATCAGCAGCATGCATCCTGATGAGAAGCCATCAAAGACACGTATTCTATCTCCCACTCGTGCTTGGTTAAAACAAGGAGACATTGTTCATGATTCACAGCTACGCATGTTCAAGGTATCTTTGGGTAGCAATAAGGGTAGCATGGGTAAGTCTTTTTCTTCTTCATTCATTATTTGGTTATGAATCATTGCTGACATTTTGCTCTTTCTTCATAGCAGCTTTATGCTATTTGCCAACGCGAGTACATTCAGTGGTCGAGTTTTATCATACGGTATGTTAAAGAGGTTGGATTTATCAACATAACAGGTTGACTCATCATTGGTGATATTCATTCAATAGGAAATCCCTGCAGCTTATCGACACCGTGGGATAGGCGATATGCTCGTCAAATATGCACTACAATGGGCGGAACGTTCTGGACTGCTGGTCATTCCGACATGCCCTTTCGTAAAGCGATACCTGAAACACCACCAAGGATGTCATGCACCTGTCGTTAGCACTGAACAAGAAGGCGTCGATAAAATGGTCCGAATGCTTCCAACACCCAAGGATGAAAAGGATAATGTGCTCTTGCAGTAAATGGATCACGCATACATTATACGATGGGCACCCTTTATATATATGTACATGCAACACAATCCTCCAACATGGTCCAGCAATAGCGCCCAATGGGATGGCATCTGAAACAACATGCACGAACAATGATCCCAGCGAACAACGACGTAAACTCCCCCCACTTCATCTTCTTCGACGATGGCCCTGATTCGCTCAATGGAAAAAAAAGAACCATTCAATCACACAACATCCGTTACGTTGATACTCGATATGTAGTTAACCCCGTGACAAAGAAGGGATCCTAGCAGTTTTTTTTTCCTTCTCAGACACAAAATAGCTAGTAGAGTAGTAGTAGATTTGCAGTCTTTTGACATTATACGTACACGCGCACACACACACACATTTGTATTATCATCTCCCACCAGTCTTTTACAATTTCACATGCATCATGTCGATACCCTGCGTAGTAATATAGATGATTTATACCATAACAATTATGCGTGTGATGATGAGCTGATGTTTTAAAGTTTAGCTTTCCATTGCCATCAACACTAATGTGTTTATTTTCAAGCGCCTACAACACCAAAAGTCAGTCATCAATGTACCTTAAAATCACCACCATAAATGCTTTAAGATCACCTTGGGAATGATTACATAGGATGGTCTTGTCAACAAGCCAATATAAAAGTGATCCTCCCCCTCCTCTTTCTCTTCCTCCTCCTCCTCAGTAGTAACGGCGGGATGATTGGTTTCAAGGTACCTGTAAGGAAACTATGTTTTGACAGGATGACTTTGGCAACCATGTAGATCAGCATGCCAACTTCCATTGTGAATAATAAAACGAGTTGGCTCGTGTCTATGAGATTGATCCACCTTGACAAAGACCGGAAGAGGATATGGAAATGCTGCATGGAGTAACACAAAGGTTGCACACATACCAAGCAGCATCCGTATTTGGTCGTCCCTTGCTTTTTTATATATACGCACTCACTTGGATCTTTCTCTTTTTCTCCTTTATTATTACATCCGCATTCAACATCTAAATCCTTTACTTCTTGACCATTCTTTTGTATCGTACTCTATTCTTTCATGACAGCCGCCACCCTCACGCCACCCACTGCGGTTCCAGAGCCATCAACGACGTCGGCTTCACGCACCACCACACAACGAGCGCCATCTGTCAGGTCTTCTCATGACCAAAAACGTGCTGCACGAGACTCGTCATTGCATCGCCAAGAAAGCCGACACAGCCATCACAATTCGATTGACAAAAGCCAGGACCATTCCATGCACAGACGCCAATCCGAGAGACGCAAAACCATGCGAGTGGGCAATTACGTGATCAGCCGCAAGACGATCGGTGCAGGAAGCATGGGCAAAGTGAAACTGGCCGAGTGTATTACCGACAGCGACCGACAACAGGTACGCCTTCGAGCATCATCATTTACATACAACCTGTTACCTATGTCTCATATGTCTTATCATCATCATCATCATTGTATAGTATGCCGTCAAGATCATGCCCAAAGTGAATATCACCAGTGCCAGTAGCAGCAGCGGCAGTAACGGCAATGGCAAACCCAAGGATCCCAAAGATACACCAAAAGAACGAGAGCAGCGAACGATACGTGAAATGGCCATGATGCATCTCCTGAGACATCCCAACATTTGTCAACTCAAGGAGTGGGTGACCGAGGGTGATTATTATTACATGTTTCTCGAGTATGTGAACGGTGGTCAGCTGCTTGACTACATCATCAGCCACGGTAAACTTCGTGAGAAACAAGCTCGAAAGTTTGCCCGCCAAATTGCAAGTGCTCTAGGTATGTGTTGTTGGTTTCCTTAAAGGCGTCGACCTTCTATATACTTATCGGATTCTTTAGATTACTGTCATCGTAATTCTATTGTTCATCGTGGTAAGTGAGTGAGGGGATTGTTGTAACACGAGTTCATTGTGAATTCTCACCTCCTCTTTCCGTAATTGGGTAGATCTGAAAATAGAAAATATTCTGATCACGCGGGATGAAGATGTCAAAATCATTGACTTTGGCCTATCCAATATTTACTCCCCGTCCAGGCTCCTCAGCACTTTTTGTGGTTCTCTTTATTTCGCTGCCCCTGAGTTATTACAAGCACGTCATTATACCGGGCCTGAAGTCGATGTATGGAGCTTTGGTGTGGTCCTTTATGTCCTTGTTTGTGGTCGCGTCCCATTCGATGATACAAGTTTACCAGCTCTGCATGCAAAAATCAAAGCGGGTCGGGTGGATGGTTACCCTGATCATCTAAGCAAAGGTACATTGTTTGTGTGTGTGATTTCTAAAAAGACTTTTTGTATTGATATCTCCTCCCCCTCCACCCCCCCTATATTTAGATTGTGTTGATCTTTTGACCCGTGTACTGGTGGTGGATCCGAAACGACGTGCCACGCTATCACAAGTAATCAACCATCCATGGATGAACAAAGGCTATGATGATCCTGTCACCAACTACATTCCTCATCGACAAGCACTTGAATCGATCGATATGGATGTTGTGGAAGGCATGGGCGGCTTTGGATTTGGTGATCCGCGTGACATTTATGCACTCCTGGAGCACATTATCGCAAACTCCGATTATCAAAAGGCCGCTTCACGAGTAGACCAAAATTATCAGCATCAGTTGCATTACCAGCAACAACAATCATCCAAGCCTCGTTGGAGACGTAGCTTACGTTCACCATCAACAAGAAGAAATGCATCATCACAACATCAACAACAACACGCTTTGGATGATCCACAATCACTCCCAGCAATGTATGACCCCCTCGTATCCATTTATTATCTTGTCAAAGAAAAGAAGGAGTTTGATCAAAGACAACAGCAGCTCAAGAATCAACGACTGGCACCTGCAGCACAATCAGTACCTATTTTACGACGATCCAATAGCAGCTCATTTTCATCCATGGGCGGTGGTGGTGGCTCATCTCATGTGGATTCGGGTTTGACACGGCGGAAAACGGATCGCATCCCCAACACACCAAAATTGAATGACGACGAGAATAGCAATGGAATGATGCCCCGATCAGGAAGCTTACACTTTCCAACAAGGTCACAAAGTACCCGTATTGCTACCACATCTTCAACCTTGCTATCACGAAGTAAAAGTGCAGCTCGTCGCCTTGGCGCTATTATTCCCAGCAACAATAACCATCAACAACAACGATCATCTCTTGACGCCGACAAAGTACTTCCTCCTTTACCAACCACCAACACCATCCCACCTCCTCATCTTGAGACGGGAAAGACACCAACATCCTCCTTGTCTACACCTCTCAAAAAAACCTTTCACCAGCTTGTGACCACTAGCACCACCACCACCACGACAACCACAACAACAGCCAATAAGGAGAATGACAAACAACAACATCGTCCCTCCCCTTGGCGTAGATTATCTATTGGACGTGGAGCAAAGCAACACAACCGTGCTTCCATGGAAGCTGCCAGTGCTCACGAACCCATGCCAACCAATAAACCCATTCCTAGCAGCGCGCGTTCTTCTGACATTGCTGATCCTACCATTGGTATGTATACAAAACAGCAACGTAATAGCATTATCGTGTTTACTCATCGATCATGTTATGATGTATGTAGACCCTTCTTCTGTGGCAGGACCTGCTATGAGCACACATCCAAAGAGTCTTTTCAACTTTAATCGACGCCATTTATTTCGCAGTACGCCTCAAAAACTTTTGGATGATTTGAATGATCTCTTATCGCTCATGAGTATCAAGACACAACAATCCATGCTGGAGCCTTATGTGCTATTCTGTGAATGCGATTATCCCGATTGGACACGATTTCTATCCAAAGCACCCACGGTGGAAAATCCTACCTCGGACTCTACAACAACACCATCCGGGCAATCGAGCCGTATTGAGTATTCCGATTTGGAAGAAGGCGAACCATTACGCTTTACTGTCATGATTTATCAGGCTCGATGGGCTGGGGGTCGTCTTGGTGTCAAAGTCAAGGAGGCAGAAATTGATGAAGCCATCCTCACATCCCACACAAAAATCTATCGCAACTTGTACCACATTATCCTTTGCGAACTCGGCAAGATGGCCAGTCGCTAGTAGTAACAGTGACCATTCATTTCATTCATCACACACTCACACATATCCATCCTCATCATCCATCATCCTCATCATCATCGTTTATATCATCATCATGATACCATTTGTAGTGCATTCCAATTTCGTACATAAAAAAGAGCGCGCATGTAATGCATATGGGATTACTGTGTTTGTATACTATGTATATGCAAATTGTGGGATTCTGGGTTTATTGTTGGATAATGTGCATGGTTTAGTAGAAGATCTCTTTCGATATACTACGTGGATAAAGCATCGTTAGTTTACGTTTTTCTCTCTTTGCGTATGAATACATACTCTTCGGTGATGTAGAAATAAATCAACAAGAATTTCAAGATCTCGCCTTGTACCTAATACACGAAAACAGGGTCAGCGTCATCATGCCAAATGGATGTGGTAGGCATCTTACCGGCAAGAGGGGAGGAACAACATTGGGCATGGTATGGGTCAAATAGGTTTTGAAAACGTGGAACACAATCTACAAGAAAAGAATCAATCGCCATGTCCTCCATGCATAAAGTAATTATACATACCTCAGAGTCGGATGGCAAATCAGATTCTTTGGTGATCAAACGGAATCGTGATTGCTTGCCCAATTCTATCCAAGCAAAAAAAAAAGTCAACGCACTCTCCAACGTAATGCTAATACCTGATATCCTTACCTTGCATGCGTTCAATGACATATTTTCGGGCACGGTTATTTTCATATCCAGGCAAGTTGAGCAGCTTTTGGACCAATGCTACAGAAAGGGCATTGTCGTCCTAATAGAAACGATACGTTACCACCTACTTCTTTTCTTGTATCCATGGCAACTTACCACATAAGATGGATCGGTGATGAGCAGGGCGAGGATGTTGAGAGGGCAATCAACAAAGCTGGTGCCTTGTTTGGGTAGTTGCTTCTCCACAGCTTCCACAGTGCGTACAGCAGGCGTAAAAATATTTGAGGATATCCACTGCCATGAGCGCGTATAAGTATTGTGCATTCCACATAGATCCAATCCCTCTTTCCAATGTAGTTAGTTACCTGACGTAAGCGATCATAATAAACCTTGGATGAACGATCTTCGAACCGGTGCCAATTTTCTTGGAAATCGTCATACTACATGATGGATCAATAAATAAGCCCCTATGTACTTCCTTCCTCCCGTTGAGAGTGATTTACCTGTTCCGATCTGAAACGTTCAATGATATTTGGCTGTGGGCAAAGACGCCACAAGTACTTGTTGGTGCGAGTGGTCTTCTTTTTGCGTGTCACATGCGAAGGAGTGTATTCAAGTTTGGGCAATGAAATGTTGAACGATGGATCACCTGATCTTTCTGCTGGCATCCAGGCAAACGTCTTTGGATCATAAGGTGAGGTTGCCTTGGTGATTTCCGGAATCGCTAAATATTTCCCTTCCATATCAATATCCATTGCGATAGCTAATGTTGACCATTACATACCAGGAGAATCATTGATAGGTCCCTTCCATGGTTGTGGTCGTGCCTGAGGATTGGTGGATGGAATGGCTGATGGTGCACTTGCAGGTTGATTGTTGTTGGCAGGTGGTTGTGGTGTCGAGGATGCCTTTGGAGCTGGAGTCATTTTCTTTGTTGTAGCTTGGATGTATTGGTTCTTTGCAAAGCAATAAACTTGCTCAATGAGCATACAAAGACCTCGCGTAACAGGACCAGTGTTGAAGAGATAGTTGTAGAGGGAGAACTTTTGTAAGATCGATTGGCTGGACTGGGTCGATGTGACATGGGAGGCGATGTTGAAGAGAAAAACAAGCAATACGATAGCTTCTATAGGCATCCGTTAGTGTCAAGTGGATAAATCTGCTCACGATCTTGTACATGCCTAAAACAGTCGCCAGCCTTGAAGACAACAGTGCACTGAGGATGGGAATATTCGACGATGTGATCACACGCACCGCAAAGAACACGGCCACCATGGCTATCAGATTGCGCTTGATAACATATTCGTTCCACGTACTGCTGGCTAGTAATGGCGCTAGCATGTTGTGGTTGGGTTGGGTTGAGCAGTACGAAGAAACCAGAAAAATGGGAGTTAGAATGCATTTACTCTAGCCAGCGCGTTTAACATCCTCCGCAGGCCCTTCTTCAAGTCACACGACATACCTCTTTTCGGTGTGGCCGCAGGTGTATTTTTCACTTGTTGCTTTTCCATCCCTTCGACTCAAAATGCTTGACCACTTTATCAGTTCGATCCATCATGACAACAACTCCCACGCCCACTCACATATAAATAAGGCTGTTGTTACCAATACTATCATACGCCCTTTCTTTCTACTTGTATGCATATCATCATCAATGGCCTTTGGTAAGTCTTTCTTATGTGATCCCCAAAATGAGGGTACTCATGCATTCATCTTCTTTGTAGCTCACTTCTTTGCTTTACCACTTGAAGTGCTCATTGATGCCTAATGGCATTTGGCTGTATTCCTTGATGGGCCCTTTGTGGTAAGTGTAACTACTATCATTTATATATTGGTATACATGTTATTGAAAGGACGCCTTGCACGTTTGTAGGCAAAAGGCAACCTCACTCTGGTGGGAAATCTGGGTAGCATAAGTACATGCATCCTTCTACTACCAACGATGTAACCAACAGCTCTTCAAGTCTGACTGAAACAAGTGCACCTATCCCAAGTAGTGCTCATAAAGTTGACCCGTCAGTATCATTCCTTTCTATTTAAAGTTGGATACAATTATGAGACAAGGTTACAGAGGTACTATATACTGTAAAAGTCGAGAGGGTGATGGCACTAAATTGCGTACTATACATACCATTTCCAGCTCAAAATCTCAACAATTATCAAGACCATTACAAAACATTATACAAGGTCACAAGAAGGATGATTCCACAATCATTGGCTACGCTCGACAATCCCAAAGTAGTATCAACAATGGTGCTCTCCAAGACAATCTTAACAAGGTGATTGGGTGTTTAAGGGAACGCGCACAGGAGCCATCCAAATCAAAAAGCCGGCAGTGCAATCGCGTCACGGGATAATCCGAATGGGTGGATACCACGGTGTTACTCAGGCATGTTCTTCACCAGCATATGATCGCCTATGATTACCTCTAGTACTAACATCTACATAGAAACCATTCATGCATATAATGTTTGATCGTTGATAGGAGAATGTGCACCACGAGAAGAAAAGATTGAAACATGTCCCCGCAACCTTTGTATTTTCAGACGCAAAGCACTGTACAGATGCAGTCAAAAAGTCATTGGTTGTGGTATTATACAGACACAATGCGACAATAGTAGCCGACGTATCAATGAATAAAATGGTAGCATAGCAACATGTGTCAAAATTGGAGCATATTGTATATCGCTGGAGGAGAGCATAATGGCTCGTTTATTATGGTCAGCTTTAGATTGTTGCTATCAGTGTGCTTGGTTGGTTTGTACATACGTATTAAATGCATCCTTGTAGTTGGATCTCTCTAAAGCTCGCAAATCACCCCCCAGCCTTGCAATCCTTATCATTTGAAGAGCATACTCTATGCTTGATCTACTTGCCACCAGCATCCTTCATAGCTATATTGATTTGAGGTCGCCATTTTAGTCTCCATGGATACAATCTCCATGGATACAATGAAGCAATAGATGGTCGTAAGCCTTGTATGATAATGTTCATTGTCCGTTAGGATCTTACTACACAATAGTGCGAACACAAAAAAGGAAATTCACCATTGTCGTTGTACAATGAAGCAAATGGATGATGGTATCCATGGGTAACAAAGACTGCAAGGTTGCTCTTTATTATAGAGTTGGTTGCTACGCCGTATTGATGGATGCATTGTGTTGATTGTGTGCTTGGATTAATTCGGCATTCCGCTGGATTACCTAAGCAGGCGTTGGATTTCCTTTATATAGCATCGTTCCTGGGCTGCATGCTTTCCATACGTTTCTTTCAAAGTCAATTGTTACAATGTCCCTCAGCACTTCAAGCAGCGATGAGTTTTATGGCGATCACGTTCATAAATGGGAGGAGATTCACCATCTAGTCTGTAAGCTTCTATTGTAAAAGTGAGGGCGTGGCACCTGACACAAAGTTGACGTCTGCAACATAGCAACTAACCAGGTGAAGCTTATCCGCCGTAACCGTGAAGGACAACGTCGATACCGCGCATGGATTGAAGACACGCTATCAAAGTACAAGGACATTGAGGATTATCTGCTGACCGAGAAGCTGCATTTTCCATTGAATGATGATGATGAAGAACGGCCTCATGTTATCGTGCTTCCTAATGATTTCCCATATTCGATGGAGCCTGGCATCCAGCATATCCTCATCTGGTCACAAAGGTCCCTCAAGGAAACATACGTGTTGGAGATCTTGGAGGAAAGATATGGATCCTCAAAGTGGGAATGGGTTTATTTTGTCAATCCACCAGAGACACAAAGCGTACGTCGACTCCCTCACGTCCATGTATTCATGCGTCCTATTCAACTTCAGCAAGTGAATGGTAGCAATAGTGATTAGTTTGTCATGAGGATAGCGATCAAGCATATAGAGACACACTTTGATTGAATTCCCGCACACCTCCTCTTTCCTTTCTACATATAAACGCGGGCTCTTCTCTTTTTTCTCACTTCCCACCACCACTCTGTTTATCACGCCATGAGCTTCTTTTGGTCATTTGGCAGTAATACGAAGAAGAATGCAAGTATTCGGTTTATACGTTGGGCTTTGTTTCATGGGGGCTGATCGAGTGACATGCAGGAACCAAGCACTCCACCACCCCATTCACTACCCGAGCAACAGCAATATGCACATAAGGCCATGAGCAACACCTTTCGAAAAGGCGTTCAATACAACAGTAAATAGCTGATAAATGCTTGTCCTTGACTATGCTTGTTGACGAGTCTATCTCTTTAGTGAAAATTGTATTGCGTGGTGACGTTATGACAGGCAAGACAGCACTGTGTAAGGATCAATGTCGTACATGTTATGATCATCCACACTTATCGCATGGCTAGTTAAACGCCTTCAGGGAGAAGAGTTTGATGCGTCTTATGTCTCGACCCCACAAATTCAAGTGGCCAATATACCATGGCATTACAGAGGTAAATCTTGTTGGATTTTTCATTTCTTGATGAGTGTAGCTGACTATCCTAGAGCAGACTCCAACGACATCATCAAGATCGAAGTATGGGACGTGGTAGACAAGGCTCACAACAACAAAAATACCAGCACAGAATCAGGGATCAAGCTTGAACATAATGCGCAACCCAAGCAAGAGCAGCAACAACAACCACAACAACAACAACCATCATCCACTGAATCTCAACAACTGGGGCTCGACGCATCCACAGTGAATGTCTATCGCAACACGCACGCTGTTATTTTCCTATTCGATGTCAGCAAGCAGTGGACATTTGACTATGTAAACAATCAGCTGGCTGATGTACCTGAAGCGCTTTCGGTGCTTGTGATTGTGAGTATCCTTTATCCAGTCATAGTAAATGGAGCCGTTTTATATTGATTTTCGTGTTATCTAGGGCAATTGTAATGATAAGAGGTAGGTAAGTCCTGATCCTTCAAAGCATACATTGTTCGAAGGAAGGAAGGAGGGAGACAAAAAGACAAAAGTGATCTCATTGTATTATCAGCGCGGAGCGAGTAGTGAATTTAGATCAAATTCATGCCACCCTTTATCAGCACAACAAGGAGCGAATCGAGAAATCAGCCATCAAACCCAACCTGATACGCTACGCAGAAACCAGCATGAAGACTGGCTTCGGATTGAAATACATTTACGACTACCTTGCTGTTCCCTTTTTACAACTTCAGGTAAGCATCACGCTTTCAACAGAGACCGTGTCATCTAATTGGCTTTTTCAAAGATGGAAACGCTACGGAAACAATTGGAGCTCAAGGCAGTTGAGATTGTTGATATTCTCGAGGCGCTCGACGTTGATGAAAAAGTACCAGAGGTGATGAGACGTAGACGAGGCCAAGACAATTTTGATCAACGTATGTATACATGTATATATGGCATTCAACAAATCATCATCCGTCATCTCACGCGTCATTATTAGCATCCGAACCTCATTTGGCAAGACAACGAGAGGAAATGCAAAACATATGGGAACAGGATGTCAGTGGGATTGCTGCTGAAAGTAGGTGCTGAAGGAACAAATCAATGTTGTTCATTGACTAAAGAATAACAAAATAGATCCCAGCCCATTGGAGATTCCTGAATCGCCTTCGTACATACGCAAAGAAACGCCTCCACCACCTGTGGCACCTGTACAAGGTCGTCGACGTGAAGGATCACTTGTCTCTGAATCCGATCATATGCCAGCAGCTGTGGATCAATTTGATGCTGGGGAATTGAATGATGATTGGTTTGCATCAGACGACACGCCTCTTCCTATCAAACACAAGATGCCTTTCAACAAAGCTGATTCGGATAATGAAGAGGGTGGTGGCAACCCCATGGTAGCCGGCGATGAGGATGTGGAATCGGTCGAGTATTATACTGCAGCCAAGGAACCCGTTGTGACCACGGCAAAACCCAAGGAGAAGTCAGCATCAGAAAGTGAAAATGAGGAGGATAGCGACAACGACCAATATACCTCGCCTTATGGAGACTCCTTCACAGCAACAGAACCTCAATCCCTATTCAAAAACGAATTTGGTAACGTGTGGGGAATGCAACATGAGGATCCATCAATGATGGTGGTGCGTCAAACAAGAATTGAATCGGATAGCGAGGATGAAGATAATATGGCCACTACTACTACTGCTACACCTGGTTTGGCACAAGAGTTTCATCGTGCAGATATTGGAACGCCATCTTCTTTTTCAGGCAGTGGATTTGGAGCTTATGAGGAGATTGGCGGTGATGGTGAAAATCCCTGGTCATTGGATGATGATAAGCAACATCAACAAGAGAACAATGGTAGCCCCTGGCATAGTGAACCGCTCGAGGAAGAGGTAAAGGAATCATTGTTAAAAATGGATGTCAATGATTGATGAGGCATATCGATAATAGGTCAATGCGCATAATCAAGAAACGGAAGTGATGTCCGAAAAGCGGAAAGGAAAGAAAAAGGCATCCACCAGCAGCAGTGGCAAAAAGAAGAGTAAACATGGAAAAAAGAAGAAATCCTCCACGCCGTAGATAGCATTTATTATGAAACAAAGCCATTAAAGTCATATTGCATGAATGTGTTATGTGCTACGTTGGGCTATATGAATGGTTACTTTTCCCCCAAACAATGTTTCACCCACACAATATGTGGTTTAAGGAAGCGATTTATTGCTGTAAATGTGATGGGCCTTTGAGCATTATGATACCTAACTCGTCTCTATGATCCGCTTTTGACGTATGGTATGAAAGAGTAAAGTTCGGGAAAAGATACATAGTAGTAGGTGGTGGTATGTGTGTTGTGCATGCGTGCGTAGATAGATGAGTGTGTGCGTTCGGACTTTTTAAACCAACCTTGTTGCACTTGGATGATTTCCAGGCCGAGTGAGCTCTTTCAAGTCTTTCCCTACAACCAAAGTGGTGATGGAATCAACAGACAGCGTATCCCGGAACCATGATACGACCGAGATTGAAACGAATGACACTGTAAACGACATGCCGTCTCCAACTACGGAAACGATTACCCATCACGAGCCATCTGAAGACGATATGCCTCAGCAGTTGCTACCCGAACGGAAACGACAGCAGTTCTCGTATACAGCCAACGAATTAAGGAGACGACATATTAAAAACGAAGAAAAGATGGATAATAGTGGAAGTGGTTTTTATGAATGTAATATATGGTAAGCTATACTTGGGAGCTATAAAAAAGTATACTCATTGATCTATCTATCTTTATAGTTTCGACACAGCTACTCATCCCGTGCTTACATTATGTGGTCATTTGTTTTGGTAAGTGTATGGTATTGTGTTATAAGATATGTTGTCATTGATACATGCATTGTAGCTGGTCTTGTTTGGCTCAATGGCTTAATGCACAATCGAGAAACCCAACATGCCCGGTTTGTAAGGCAGGATGTGGAAAAGATAAGGTGATACCGGTATATGGAAGGGGGCGAGAAGAAAAGGATCCAAGGTAAGGATATGATATTGAGTTATTGGGAACTTGGTCTGACGCCATATTAGAAATGATCCCTCTATTCCTACACGACCAGCTGGCCAACGACCACCACCCTTGCGAGATCCCAATACACCAGGCTCCTCTTTCTTTGGACAACCGTTCCGGGGTATGCATACTGGAAACAACATTGCCATCTCGGCTGGTATCGGTTTGTTCCCTTTTGGCATTGCATTTGTAAGTTGACAGCTATTCGTGTGTCACAAATCTTGAATGAAGCTAATTTACCCTATTACAGAATATCCCAACCTCCAATGCTGGTATCCATGGGCAACCGGGCCAGAATTCTTTCATGTCACGCTTGATTTTAATGGTGATCATCTTGCTGCTCGCTGCTATCATCTTTTATTAGTCGCTACAACTACCTTCCTCCTCATTCACCACGATCCATATGAATACCACCATTCACTTTTCTATAGGCAACCACACACACGCACGCACACACACACACGCTCTCTCATGCATGAACACGCCATATTCCATTCTACTGTTGTAACCCTTTATCCACACGTTTCTTTTCAATGTCGAATACACTTGTATAGTTGATAGCTGGGAACATGGTTCATTGTTACTATGGATGCCATCAATGTTGCTTATGCTTCTCAATGCCCCTTTACTTTGGAGAGTACATGATCAATCAAGCATTGAATTATATACAATGGAATAAAGGAATGCAAAGGTGATTGTTTATAGACTATTATGTGACGGATGAAAAGTATGAAGTGGGACATAGGCTGCTCTTTCGGGTATAGTTGATGTACTACATCACTTGTCTTTGAACTTGACTTGTCAACCACCCAAAGCAAGATGCTGATTTCATGCACGAGAGGAAGGTGGATGTTGAGCATGTATGGTTTATGAACGCAGCTATCCTAGAAGATAGGATCACATACTTCGCTGAGTAGAGTATTCAATTGGTATGGTCCTGCTTCTTCAAGAAAGGATAATACAGTAGCATTGAGATCAAGTTGAAGAAGAGTAATACATAAGAACAAAGACTCTTTTTCCACGTGTTCTATAGATCCATATCCTTCCATCCCATGTACCCATATCCATATGTATAAATAAGTATTCGCGTGTATTCAAACAAGTTGTTGCTACTCATAGATAAAGTTGCTTCTATATAATCAAGATCTAATAACGACTACTGGAATGATCGCTGTTACGATTGGTCGTGGCAGAGGAGTGTGCAAGAGAGTGTACTTTCAAGAAGGCGCGTGTTGTAGTGGGGTGTACATGCCATTGACTTTGCATTCGGTCAAAGACAATCGGATCAAGGCAACTGTAGGACTGGCATGATGCGTTGAAGCAGAGCAATCGTTCGCAGGTGGTAGTTGTATACTTGAATGGGGAAACTGCTGGGAATGGGAGGAAGAGGGAATAGCTGAGAGCGGAAGAAGTGGGAAGTAAATAGGTCGGACACCTCTTGTATAAAAGCATGAACAATGTGCATCAATTCTTGATTATGAGATTGCTCCTCTCGAACCTGAAACTTTCACACAAGGTGCTCTGGGACATGCTGATCACGTTGATCTAAAAAAGATCTCATGTTTCATTTGAAAAATTGGAATGGGAGGGTATAATGTGGGTTTACAATGTAAATCGGAAATGGAGGACAGCGCCGATTCATGATTTATCGAAGTAGTATGCATTACCTTGGGATTCCCCATTTCGAACTTGAAACTTTGTCAGAAGGTTCGCTGGGACATGCTGATCAACTTCATTCATTTAAAAGTTGCAGACTTCATTGTGAAGATTTAAAATGCGGGGGCGTCCAAATGGTAGATGACGCGAACAAAAGAGCGGATGGCCCACCGCGCCGAAGTTGCCCACCTCCAACTTGAAAATTGGTCAGAGGGTGCTCTCGAGCACGCCGATCAACTTTTTCTAAAAAAAGACATCACCCTTCATTTGAAAATTTGGAATGGGAGCGTCCCAAAGTTTGAAAGACGGAGACATTCGCAGGGTCTGTCTTTCAAGAATTTTCGTGTTTGCTGTTTTGGCGTAGCTCAGTCAAATCAGCTCGGATCAAGAAACTTGAATGATGGAAATGAACGTCTGGAGCAGGAGCATCAATCCACTGTCATGCAATAAACAAAAGTTGGGATTAGGAGGAAGTGGCTGTTAGCTGCCAATCATAGATAGTGTATATGGTATCATACATTGGCCATTTCATTCATGCAAAATGGCTCCGTTACACAAAGAGGTCCCTCTGCATTTTTTGCTCTGTCAGGGTCCACCTACTTGACAATGAACAAAGAGCACTTCTCATATAGCATCACGCTTACAAACATAAACGTGCCTGTATCTCCGAACTTTACAATCAAAAGTGGGGTCTTTGATAGAACAATGTGCTCGGCTTGGCCAACTGCACCTTGGGTGCCAGTTTCAAGATCAAGCTTGCCAATCCCAGATTTCGCAATGTCGCTACCAGCCAAACTGGATCTGGGGGTCGACCTCTTCGACGACGACGACCAAAAAAAATTTTTTGGGCTGGTTGCGACATTGAACGCGTAACTTTCACACAAGGTGCTGTTGGCCAAGCCGAGCCCATTGCTCCATTAAAAACCCCACGTTTCATTGTAATGTTTGGAGATATGGCTGTCTTTATGTTTTCACTATGCTGTAAGCGTGATGGAGTTGCTTTTTCCTAGTGGATGGTGTCGGCTGCATTAACGGAAAGATGAAGAGCTGAGTGAAACGGCACGTGGTGGTTACACAGATACGTCCTTGACAGGTTGCTATCACAAATGGATGATGATGATGATTGCCTTTTGTGAAGGTACGTAAGTAAACAGCATCCAATAATGAAGGTGTGTCAAGGTATGCATCACATTTGCATGTAGAAGAAAGTCGAGCTGCATAAACCAATTTGTATATGTATACATATTGAATGGGTCACTCATCCTGAAACTCAATGGAGGGATCTCTTCACTTTTTCTCTTCTCAAGCTCAACCCTCTTCCCACTCCTCCTTATTGTATCACAAAAGCCATGTACTTCTTGCATGACCGGTAACCGGACCACCTTTATTATTCCATCTTCGAAGCAATAGTATGTAATCCACAAGCTAGCAACCTCCAACAAGCGTGTAATAAATAAACAATGCTTTATTTCATCTAGCTATCTTGCTATGTACTGTACATTGCCACCACCATCGTCGTAGTCGTCCTCCGTCATCATTCGCACTCGTACTCGTCACCAGTCGTCAATCTCATCCGTCACACGTACATCCAAAACACACAAGTTGAGGGGAATGAAATCTTGCAGGCTTCCTTTTGAACGTTGTTGTGAATGTGGTGATCATTGTAATCGTCATTGTTGTGAATGTGGTGATCATCGTAATCGTCATTGTTGTGAATGTGGTAATCATCGTAATCGTCGTCTCTACAAATAAGAAAGCAGGCAAGTCAGACTATCTGGTACCGGAATGATGACGATTTGGCATACCGCTAGGCGATCCTCTCTAAGGAAGAAAGCAAATCAGAAGGAATTCACAAACCAAATCACCACCATACGAGCAACGTCGGGCGATCCCCTGTTCTTGAGAAAGCACTGCACGAATCACGCAAGGCCAGTTCGATCCATGTCAAGGAAGGACATCACTTACGTAGAGTCCAAGCTCATAGTTGTCCTCATTCATCCTCTCCAAAGAAATAATGATCCCCAATCCTTCCCATCATTTCACACCTCATGAAAAGAAATCCTCAAGGGAAAGAACGAGCCTATCACGAGAAGAGCGTGTTGGTTAAACACATTCACAAGCTGTTGCAAATCCCCTTTTACCTCAACACGGTGACCATGCTATTCCAAAAACCCGTCGTCATCGACCCATCAACTCAATCGCAGGCCTATAGAGCCCTGGGCGCGTTGCAAAAAGCTTTTCCAGCACACTTGGCTAGTGCAGAGCGACGCAGCGACCACTTGATACAGGCTGGGACTTGAACCCAAAGAGATGATGATGATGCCCCAAGTTGCATTGCCTGACCAAAGAAACCTATTCAATTCATTATTAGCACACACACAATGAACATCCTTTTCATTGTTTGTTTCATTGCACTTGCCTTTTCCATATACACAAGCACCCCTTTGTTGTTGGTTACGGAAATCGAAAACCATGGTGTAGTATAGTTGAGCCGAAACAAAACGCCAAACGAGCCCACGTCTTGAGACCAAAGTTGCCCTCTATACAAGCTAACACGTCAATGGAACAAGTTACGCTGCAACATTGGACTCTGAATGTACCTGTTGACACCAAGCATAGAGCGGGAATAGCAACGAACAAGAGGAAGCAACAATATCGCCATGGCAACCACCAACCACCCACCACGCTCATTCCTCGGCACTTTGGACACGCTCACTCCCTGACAATGCATGTTCAGAACTACATTAACACCTCACAGTCAACAAGAGCACTCTTTAATAACACATTACCTACCTTGATCGCAATGTCGTGAATGGAATAAAAGCAGAGGAGCGAGAAAGAGAAGAGAAGCGTTGTCTCAAGTCGTGGAGCTACCGTCCCCAAGTTTAAATCCCCTACTGCTAATACACTGAGGCCACTCAATGACTCTCTACACACCATCCACCCAAAAACACAACTCACCCATCATCATCATCACCCTCACGATAGACAATAGGTATGCGTAAATAAAAGAAATGGTCCTCACGTATAGCAAAAGGATGTGTACCATTTTACACTTTACATGATAATGATGATCCAACAACATCCATTGTTGCCATGCTACCATGTCACCTCGAATCAAGAAAGTCCAATGACGGGCATGCTGGGCTGGAGCAGGACAATCGTTCACATGCATTGGGTTCGGCAACAAAGGTGGTTGGGAGGAATGGGCTGTTAGCTGTCAATTTATGACCATTCATTATAGAGCGTACGTATCATACATTGAGCCTGAAGTCCTGATTTTGATGTTTTGCTACTTTATGCATGCTAATTCGTTACGATTGGATACCTGTCGATCAGATCGGCAGATCATGGTGTGGATTGGCAATCGAAGGAATCTACTAAGCTGCCTGCAAATTGCAGAAATCGGATTGGGATCCCACCAGCTTCTATCGCAAACTAGTTTATCAGCTGAAGAAAAATGATAGAATGGAGAAGCTGGAAAAGGTTGACGTTATCCATTTACTTAGGAGCGATGCTCAAAGATAATTATGATGTGATGGGAGCCGTAACCCAAGGAGAGATTATGGATGCGCACGGTCACCTTGTTGGTTGAATGATGATAATAGAGGAGGTGATCTTGTCATGCTCATCTGCACATAACATCATTGCCCAGAATAAAGTTTCTTACGTCATGCCATCGGTAGCAACTGAAACCGTAATCAGCTCAAACCCACTTTTTAGGGTGCATAAGCAAAGGCCTGTCATTTGTTTCGAGAACATTGATGATACAGTAATGGTGTACTCACACGATGAGATATGAATGATTACGAGCAAAGCTATCATTGATCATGTGCTATGGATCAGTAGAAGATGATGAGACAACACGTCATGAAGCATGAAAAGGACCTGCTTGTGAGCCACAATATGTATATAAAAGGGTCAAAGTGTGCCGACCTAAAACGGGTGCAGCATTGTACGGATTTTATTTGTTCACATGCGTCACGCGTGGACAACCCCTTTTCTTTCCTGCTAATGTCGTTCCAAATCACACCACAACTCTATGAAAAGATCAAGCACTTTGCAAAGTTTCCACAGACGGCTGTCTCTCTTCGACAAATGGTCATGTTCGGTAATGCTTGACAATGCCAATGTCCTAGTGCAACGGTATTGACGATACACTCTAATAGGACCACGGCCTTCAAAAGGCACTATGTTCAAAGCCAGTCAGTTCCTGCATGGTAGTGTCAACGTTTCCTTGTATACTTTTCAAATGCTTATATATGTATCTTTGTTTCTAGAGGAACTACCTATTCGTTTGGCCCATCGTGTCAAAGAGCTTGAAGAGTTACCTGGTCATCTAAGCGAAATGCCATCCATTGTCAGGGTGAAGAATTGGTATGCACAATCTTTCAAGGTAGGACAAGTGGGTTCTGGATCATCATCATCATCAACAGGATGACCGGGTATCGTATCACAGAGGAACATTGTATCTCAAAATGTTGTGCTTTAGGACTTGCTTGATTTACCACCACCCACACTTACAAGCACAATGAAGGAGCGTATCAAGCAGGCATCAAGAAAGAAACCTTATTTGCCACATCATGTCGTCAATCCTACTCCTCCTCCACCTCCTGCTCACACTAATTTGCATCCTGTGATACCCATTGGACATCGGTAAGAAAGGGAATAAAAAAGTGGATACGTTGAGATTTGTGTACTCACCTATGATTCGATATCACAAGTGCAGTTATTATACCAACGTAGAGGAAATCGATTGCTCTCCTGAAGTTTTGACGTATACCGAGAACTTTGTCAAGACCATTGAACAAATCAAGCAACGCCACGACCCCGTTGTCATGACAGTAGGCAAGTGACTATTCGTGTGGGTGACAAAGGATGAGAGTACTTACATTGCTCTTTAATAGCACAGGGCATTTTAGAATACAAGGAGCTCTTGAAATCCAACACGATGGATACGGAGGTGCAGCAATTTCTTGATCGATTTTACATGTCGCGTATGGGTATTCGAATGCTCATTGGTCAACATTCGGCTCTTTACCGTGATCCGGTGCAAAAGAACTACGTGGGAGTGATCTGCACCAAGACCAATATTCGAGAAATTGTAAAGGATGCCATTTCGAATGCACGATACATTTGTGAAGAGCACTATGACATTTTCAAGGCACCTGATGTTCAAGTATACTGCCCTGGTGATATTGAATTTATGTATGTCCCATCCCATTTGATGCACATGGTCTTTGAGCTACTCAAGAACTCGTTGCGTGCAGTCGTCGAGCGATACGGCAAGGATTATGAAGATGAGTATCCTCCTGTCAAGGTTGCCATTGCACATGGAAAAGAAGATATCACAATCAAAATATCGGATGAAGGTGGAGGTGTTCCACGATCTGGGATCCCACTTGTGTGGACATACATGGTAAAGATTGAAAGGATGAGATTGGATATGGATGCCCACCTAACAGGTCAATGTAGTATACGACAGCCAAGCGACAAGATATAGAAACTCCTGAAGAAGACAAATCGGATTTCAATGCACCCATGGCTGGATTTGGTTATGGTTTACCTCTTTCACGATTGGTAAGGATGAACGATACAAGGATTGAGTAAGCATGGATTTCTCATGATGGAAACGGTGATAGTATGCAAGGTATTTTGGTGGCGATCTCAAGTTGATATCCATGGAGGGGTAAGTGATTTATACTAGCATATGGAGCAGGATGTACTCATATCGCGTTATTTTAGCTATGGCACGGATGCCTATCTTCACCTCAACAGATTGTCAAATAGCGATGAACCCCTTATGTAAAAGAACTTTATGCATTAGATCATCATCCCACTCCATCCTTTCTTCCACTCCGCATCCATCCTTTTCATTCATCCGTTTTTGACATTGTTCAAGAGAACTGATTTCCCATTATGAATGAAGATACCGATAATGTGACCTTTCCAACCGTATGCATTTGTTTGATTTTATTAATAGCTTCATGTTAACAACTGAGGAGGTATTTAGGAAACTATTCAAGCAGTGTTCAAAAACTCATGGAAGGAATCGAGCACCAAAGGTAATAAAAGAGATTGAGTGGATCCAATGGCCAATAGCTCCATGGACTAAGACGATCGGTATAGCCAACAAAGATTCAATACAACTTTCATGCGAGTTTCTTCGGCTCTTCACTACCGGTAATCATGATAATGAATATGGGATACACGCGACTTTTCACTGACACACACAATACAATCAGAGGCTGTGCATCGAGCGGCAGCTGAAACGGATCGAAGCACTGACAATGAAAGTAAACGGTTGATGACTGAAAGCTTAGAACAAATTTTACCTCAGCTGCTATTAGATTTTTGATGGCAATGAATGAAAACACTTTTTTTTATATAAAACTACATCTGCAACTGACCGTTGGTATGCTGATCAATGAAAGAAGACTGGGTAATGGGTACAAATGAGGGTGTGTGTTGTTGTTGTTGTTGTTGTTGTATGGAATCGGGTGGTGAAGGAGCGGGTAGTGGTTGTTGTTGTTGAGAAGAATGCATCGAGGTAGGGTAACTAGCGACAGGCATCGTGCCAGCGATGCTGTACGGTGGTTTATGCGATTGCTCGTGTTTTTTGAGAGACCGTACATGAAGATAAGCCTTTTCACATCCAGGGAAACTGCAAATATGAGGGCGTGAAGTTGCATGTGTCTTGATGTGGGTGGTGAGTGAATCCGGTCGTGGGAACCGTTTCGTACAACCTATAATAAGCTCAATTGTTAGCTTTAATCCTTATTACACAAAGAGGGTGGTGCACCTACCAGGATGAGAGCACACAAAGGGGCGTTCACCAGTGTGTGTTCTAAGATGAGTATGCATCTTGTGTCGTTTCATGAATGGCTTATCATTGCGTGGACACCCTATCCATTCACATCGGTAATTTGGCTATATACATATAACAATGTATGAGCATGATAATACATGTAACATAGGCAAATCAGAGACATACCTTGCCACTTCCCACGTGTACATCTCGTAAATGACTCGTCAACTCATGAACCTGGTTGAATTCTTGTCCACAATCCTTCCATAAACATTTGATTTCTTCATTTGATGATTCTTCATGATCCGTTTCTTGTTGTCGACCTTGATCATTGGATCGTTGTTGAGCTGCAGTATCGGGTTCTAATCTTGATCATTAATATCTATCACAATTCCCTTTTGAGGTGGGGGGGAGGATGAAGGTAAGCTTACCAGGGGTGACGGGACTGCTTTGTAAAGATGATGTACGCTTTTCTTGTTCTAACTCCACCAAACGAGCAATCAGTTCTTGTCGAGTCATTGATGCATATTCTTTTGGACATGATAATGATGATGTAGCAGCAGCTGTAGTGTTGGTGGTAGTGGTGGTGTTGGTAGTAGCGGCGGCGGCGGCAGTAGTCGTAGTTGTAATATTACTAGTGATCGTTGCACCAACATTGGATATATCAGTAGATGTAGATGGTGCTGAGACAGTGTGATGAATAGGTGGACGACGAGAAGGAGGACGACGTTGATTCTTTTCATCTATAGCCAGTAATGAAGGTGTGGCTGGCGATAGGGTGCCTTCGGGTGTGGTTGATGCGTTACTAAGCTGATCCGCCGCATTTGTACGCTGTTCATTGCCGAGAGAATTGATTCGTAGATCTTGGTGGTCTGTGTTAGGCTGAGATGCGGGCATCGTGCGCCTTTTCTTGTTTGGTGTATCCATAATTATCGATGCAGACGTTGTTGGAGTGGGTTGTGATGTAAAAGATGATTGATCCACATGATGCATATTAGATGAAACTGCTGTTGGTGGTGGTGGAGGTGCAATAGATTGTGGTGCAGAGGACGTTGGATGTGTTTGGATCATTGTCTGCATAAACATTTGCTGATCAGGTTGCTGTTGTTGTTGTTGTTGTTGTCCTTGCTGATTGAACGTTGTATTGAAAGGGTTGTCTTGGACGTTGCCTTGCAACATGTCATTCACCCAAGCAAAACTAGGATCCACTATGCCATCCGTATGTGGTGGTGCCTGTGCCTTTACAAGAGAGCAAGTTGTTAATACCCTATCGTTTCACTATAGAAAACAAAACAATAAAGTAGCATACCATAATCATGGAATCAGAATACATGCTTGCTGAAGGTGCTGCCATGTTGGCCTGAGAAACAGTGGAGAAAGAGATGGCATTGTGTTGTTGGAGTAAATGGTTATGGGCTGCGTCAGGAAGTTGTTGTTGTTGTTGTTGTTGGACATTGAGAGAGACAGCACGATCAGGTTCCGAGCTTGGGTTGAACATTGCCAGCTCTGGAGCTTCCTGCTGCTGACCATTGCTCGAGGCCATAACGGCAGCGAAGACCAATTGCTGATTCTGCATGTCCCCGGAGCACTGGAGTAGAGAGGTGGTCGGTGAGCAACAATACCAATGGTGTGATGCACATCACATCCGTGACTATGAGTAACCTTATCGCTGGTTGGTCAGGTTCTTTCTATTCCTATCGACATCCGCTATCCATAGAGACATCATCCCATTGCTCAAGTTTTGCATAATCTAATACGAATGAACCCTTGCAACATGAATAAAAACGGCTTTCCCTTGTGATTCATCATGCGTTGTTTTACTCTCTTTAACTTTTCCTTATCATCATGCCAGGACCTGGAACATTTTTCGCCTTAGGAGCTGCTGGTATAGCTGGAGCAACAGCCTTTGCCAACCGCAATAAAAAGAAAGAAGAGCTTGGACAGAATAATGATATGACCCCACATGCAATGGCACGTCGAGGATCGAGAGGCATGGAAAATGATCTCTATGAACCACGTAAACAGGTAATGTGACATTTGTACATACATGATGTAACAAGAAGGCTGCTAACAATAACTACGTTTATCGTGGTGTAATACTAATAGGCCGAAAACTATTGGCGACGTGAATATGGTGTCAATCTTAGCCACAACTCGGAACACCATTTCCCTGGTGGCCGAAGAGATTCCAAATAAAAGCTAATATTTGCTACGTTGAATAGCACAACGTTTGTTGTTGTAATGTAAATGCTTGGCATAGAGCACCGATAGCTTGGAATATTATGTTTCAGAAGCTGCATGTGTTTTTAACGCCGCAACCCAGAGCACGGATGTATGCTACGCATCGACCACACAGTGGCACTTTTGATGCAAGTAGTACATGATAAGAATAGCAAAGTAGAAAGAAAGGTATCATGTCAAATGAAAGGATCCATATTTATGAATGCATTTGGAATATCAAGTAATAAGCTAAATCCCCCCTTTTATCCCTATTTTACATTTCATCAACATCTCGCTCCTGTCCACGTAAAAAGTAAGAGATCACCGATAGACTAGAAGGTCGTTTTGAGAAGCCGATGCATGTGTACCCGCCCATTGTCTTTCCTTTTACAGTGTTCCTCTCATCCTCATCAACACCCACTTTTCTTTCTATTTTCATTTTTCTTTCTTCTCCTCTTTGTTCCTTAAAAAACAATGGCCGACTCAAACGGTTCACCACCACAAACCGTTCCTCAACGCGATTCCTCGTTGCCTTCTTCTGAAAAGACACCTGAACCTCATGTCGCGAATGCAGCCATTTCAGCATCAGAGGACTTGACACCTGAACAGAAGCGCGCTCAAGCCGAAGACAGTATCCAGCACACTGGTTTATCAGAAGCGTTTAGCAAGAGTCAAGAAAAGCATCGCACTGGTCATTTAGCAACGGACCTTGGTACAAGTGACACGGCTCAAGTTATGCAAGCGCTTGCAAACGCCAACGCCAAGCCTGTTGCTGAAGCCAAACAAGCGAGCGATGATGATAATGAGCCAAGTGCTGCTATTGCTACCCCCAGCAACAAGACACCAGGAAGTTTTCCACCTGCCAGAGTTGGATGGACAGCCTTTTCCACACTACCCAATCCTGGAGATGAAAAGACCATGGAGGCTCTCAAGGAGACGTTTTCAACAGACGCGTTGGTGGACATGTACAAAGGATCACGTAACTCGGATGGTTCGGAAACGCTTTCCAATGACCTCCTCGCACAATACCTCAACGAGTCGTACTACGGTGAATGGTATCACAACGCCGGCGTTATGGTGTTTTCGGTGGTGTTTACGTGGTTGCTCACAAAGTTTGGTGGTGGTCTAATGATGTGTCTTGTCGTGGGTGCATTTTTGGGTAAGTGAGATCATACTTGGATTGCCAAGGACACACTAGGGACTTTGATGGTTCGGCGGAAAGGGCATGAGAGGGCAACCAAGGGGAGAAGGATGGATGGCACTATGCCTATTTGGGCTATTGTCCACAAAAAGAGAGACAAGGAGGATGAGAGAGAGAGAGGGAATAACGCGCCACGATCCCATTACTGATCACCTAAACTTTTTTATAGCAACCTATTATCAAACTTCGATGCGTCGATTGCGTCGTAATGTTCGAGATGATATTCAACGTGAACTTATGAGCAACAAATTGGAAACGGATATCGAGTCAGCTGATTGGATCAACCACTTTGTCTCTCGCTTTTGGCTTATTTACGAGCCTGTACTCTCCGCTCAGATTATTGGCATTGCTGATGCTATCTTGATTGAGAACACTCCCTCCTTCCTTGATTCGATTCGCTTGAGCAGCTTCACTCTTGGTACAAAGCCCTTCCGCATCGATGGTATCAAAACTTATCCAAGAACGGAACCCAATGTCGTGGTATGCATCATCTTGCATAAGATCCTATTATCATTCAATGTTGTGCTAAACTTTATATCATAGTGCATGGATTGGTCAGTCTCTTTTATTCCCAACGATGTCCTCGATTTGACCCAACGTGATCTCAAGTCCAAGGTCAATCCCAAGATCATCCTCACCATCCGTGTGGGCAAAGGCATGATTGGTGCTGGTATGCCAGTGCTTTTGGAGGATCTCGCTTTCAGTGGAACCATGCGTCTCAAGTTTAAGCTCTTTAACGAGTTCCCTCATGTCAAAACGGTTGAAGCCTCTTTCTTGGAAAAGCCCCAATTCGATTATTCCCTTAAGCCTGTTGGTGGTGAAACATTTGGTTTTGATATCAACAATGTAAGTGTGTTGTGATTTATTATACCATCCTTAAAACACGTGAACTCATCCTTTGTTTCTCTTTTAGATCCCTGGTCTACAGACCTTTGTGCAAGAGCAAGTGCATGCAACGCTTGGTCCAATGATGTATGCTCCCAATGTATACACTCTTGATGTTGCTGGCATGATGGCAGGCACCACAGACCTTACAGCAGCCAATGGAGTATTGGCTATCACCGTGTACAGCGCTTCGAATCTCAAAGCCAGCGATTTGTTCGGCAGCTTGGATCCTTACATCACTTTCCATGTTGGCAACATCCATAATGCTGAGCTTGGACGCACAACTGCTATTGAAGATACCAACAATCCCAAATGGAACGAGACCCACTTTTTGCTTCTCAACAACCTCAATGAATCCATCTATCTCGAAGTCATGGATAGAAACAGCAACCGCAAAGACACAGCTGTTGGTGTCGCCAACTTTGATCTCAAGGAACTTAATGAATCCAACAACGTTGCCCAAGGTCTTAGCTTGGTGGTGTTGCGTTCTGGAAAGCCTGTGGGCGAAGTCAAATGTGACATGCACTACTTCCCTGTATCCAAGCCTGAGAAACAAGAAGATGGCACCATTGTTCCACCTCCCGATTCCAACAGCGGTGTGCTTCGCTTTACAGTGCACGAGTGCAAGGCTTTGGGTGGTGATACTTCTCGAAGCAGTGGGTTCGGCCTTCCTATCATTGGCGGCAAGGATGATACCAATGCCTATGCTATTGTGAGAGTGAATGGTCAAGAAAAATTGCGTACCAAGGTGTTCAAGCGTAGTGTCAATCCTCGTTGGGACAAGTTTATCGAAGTCTTTGTTGCCGACAAGACCAAGTTGGACTTGGGTGTCAATGTCGTCAATAGCAAGGAGTTTGTGGATGACGAGGTGATTGGAAGATGGCGTTCAAGCTTGCTCAATTTGGAGCAAGAGCATATCAAGGATGGTGTTGACTGGTGGAACCTTAAGGATGGTGCTGGTCAAATCCATTTGAGTGCCATGTGGAAGCCTATCGTCATGACTGGATTTGCAGATGGTCTTGGTAGTGTTCAATATCGTCCACCTATTGGTGTGGCTCGCCTTCATTTCTTTGGTGCACGTGATCTCAAGAACGTTGAAGCTCTCACTGGTGGCAAATCCGATCCTTACATTCGTGTCTTGTCAGCTATGCAATTGCGTGGTGCAAGTGAGCGCGTTGATGATAACTTGGATCCTGATTGGGACCATGTCATTTATGTCCCCGTTCACTCTATGCGTGAAGATTTGATCTTTGAAGTCATGGATTACAACGACATCCAAAAGGACAAGTCCCTTGGTCTCTACGATTTTATTCTCAAGGACATCGTCAAGGAAGTAAAGACCGAGGATGGTCAAGTGTACTATGAGCCTACAGAGCCTATTGACCAGTATGTATATCTTTCACGATCCTGATGTATAACTCAAGCTGACCTTTGATATTTTAGATGGGTGGATTTAATGAGCCCCGAACGTCGTAAGGGCAAGGGTCGTTTGCATTTCGCTGCTTCATTCATTCCAATGATGGAACTTCCCCAACCTGAAAAGAAAGAGGAGGAGGAAAAGAAAGAAGAAAACAAGGAGGAAGCCAACAAGGATGATGTCGCTAATGGTCAAGAACCACCTGCAACTCCACCTGAGGAAGCTGACCAGCTTGCAGTTGCCGATTTGCCCGAATCAGATCTTCATGGCGAGCTTATCAAGTACAATGCGGAGAAAAAGATCGATTACCTTGCATATGAATCGGGTATTCTTACGGTCACTATCCATGGTGCCAAGTACAAGGAGCGTGTTAAGGGCTTTGCTGAAGTGCTTGTTGACTCCAATGACCCACAATGGCGTACCGCTCAAATCAAGGGTGTTGATTTACCTTTCAACGAAACCGGTGATGCTTTTGTTAAGGAAATGGACTTTTCTCGAGTCGTTGTGCGCATTCGACCTAGCAGCGATGATGATAAGGATGATTCAACAATTGGTTACTTCACCAGCTCTGTGCGTGATATTGTGCGACGCATCATGGAAAAGACCGATGAAGAAAATGAGGAGGGTGAGAGCTACCGCTTGATTGATAGCGATGGTGCTACTATTCGCTTGAGCTTCAAGTTCACCCCTGTTGTCAACTTCAAATTGGATCCTAGGGAGAGCCTTGAGAGTAAGTCTTACATGTCATTTGGGTGGTTTTACGTATACTAACGTTTTATCCTAGACCAAGGAAACTTGACAGTGACACCTATTCGTGCAAGCAACCTTCCATCGGCTGATCGTTCTGGTACCAGTGATCCATTTGTTGTCTTTTTGATGGAAGATGTCAAGGTTCACAAGACTGAAGTTTACAAGAAGCAACTCAATCCTAAGTTCGAGAACGAGCAATTCACTGTACCAGTTGTACGTATTGAAAGCTGCAAACCTTTTTTTGACAAGATGGATCCTAATGATGTTATTGGATAGGCAAATCGTATTGGCGTCAAGCTTGTTGCTGAAGTGTATGATTGGGATCAAATTGGCAAGGACACGTTGCTTGGACGATGTGAAGTGGCTTTTGATGGAGAACAACTTGAGAGCTTTGCCGCCAAGGATGTTGAAGCTTCGTTGGGTGGTGGTGCAACCATTCGCCTTCGTATGTTATGGTCGCCACAACTTTTGGCTCGTAAACGCACTGGTACAACGCTTCTCAGCTCTACGACCAAGATCTTTACTTCTGCACCAGGAGCCGCTTTTGGAGTTGGCAAGGATGTTGTCGGTGCAGGTTTTGGTGCTGGCACCAAGGTGATCGGCACAGGTGGCAAAGTCATTGGTGGTGGTGTCTCTGCTATTGGCGGCGGTGTCTCTGCTATTGGTGGTGGCGTATCTGCTATCGGAAGCGGTATTGGTAGTGGTATTCGAGGCATTGGTCGATTCGGCAAAAAGGACAAGGCAAGCGATGCAAGCTCAGATTCATCATCCACCACTCCAGCTCCAGCTCCTGTTCCTACCACGAGCACCACAAGTACCAACCACGATGGTAGAGCTAGCGTTGACTCTGGTGCTGTTCCAAGACAATCCATGGGTGAAGGTATGTGATTTCGTATAAGGGTGATTGAATAGCTTTGACTAAATTCGATAAAAAGGCCAAGGTGGTGGATTAACTGGTACATTGAATGTATCATTGTTGGGTGCCAGAAATCTCAAGGCCATGGATCGAAGTGGTACAAGCGATCCTTACGCACGTGTACGTATGGGCAACAAGATTGTTCACAAGACCCGTCATGTGAAGAAGACATTACAACCTGAATGGTATAGACAATGAGATAATGTATCCAATGATCATCAGCTAAACTTTACATTTTCCAGGAACGAATCATTCTCAGCACCTCTAAATGGTGGTAGCTCCATCCTCGACATTAAAATCAAGGACAAGAACACGCTCAACGATGTTGATATTGGTGATTGCTTTGTCAATGTTGCCGAGTTATTGCAAAACCAGAATGTTTATGAAGGATGGTTGCCATTGGAACCCCAAGGAACGGGTGAGGTACATATTCGAATGGATATTTCTTCAGATGGTGGCGACAATGGCAGCTCGACTAGCCGTGGATTGTTTGGCAGAAAGTAGTAGTAGCAGTATCATTATCTCTGTAAGCGCAATAATCCTACAATGAATATAGTGATGAATACATACCAACAAAGAAACTTGATCATGTGCATGTTTCCAAATGTTTATCATCATTCATCAGCAATCTTTACCAACTTTCAGATAACGACGACATTTTGCCTTTTACGTTACAATGCAATGAGGATATCATATAACCCGCATCTCGAGCAATGCAATGAAAAAATGGGATTTACAGCTTATAAATGAAATACATAAGCATACATACATACGTTCGTATCATCATTGATTAAATGACACCGGGGATCATGATCCGTGAGAGAGATAACGTCAATGACTTGGTCAAGCTCAATGGTCGCACATAGAGCCATGAGGCTGAGTGATTGTGATACCGACAAATTGGTGGTATGAAGCAACGCTAATCTGAGGAGGTGGGGGGTGGTGGAAGAAAACTACTTTTGATAAGACCACTCACTCACATTAAGGTTATTTTCAATGCTGCAAAAGGCCATGTTGAAGAGGGCGTTGTTTGCATTGGCGTCAATGGAACCACGGGAAGGATGAAAGGACGGCCCACTCAACGTTTGTACTCATTTGAGCCGAAACAAGTGATATAAAAATGAGAAATCGGTCCTCTAATTTTTTCTCTTTCTTCTTGTTCTTGCCCTGTTTGACCATGGCTTCCCGCCCTGCACCCACCCCCTCGCACTTTTCAAGTTCGGTATATCTGGGGGATCTTTCTCAACTCTTTCAAGAAATCGATGCTATAGAAAATGGGCCTACACCATCCACCACAACCAATACCAATACCAATATCATCAACGAGGACTCGCACCATATGACTACAACCTCTTCTTTTCCAACTCTCCCCTCTGAAACACCCACGTATAACGAGTATCGTCCGCAGCTTACCAATATGATACCATCAGCACCACCACAACCACCACAACCTTCTTCTTCTTCTTCTCAACCACAGCATCATCCACCTTTCTTGTACGATAACTATACCACAACGACTCCAGAAAACGATCTAGTGGATCCACATGTAGGATCCATGCAAATGCAATATTCAACCTTGGATTTTTCACCTCATCTTTATCTATACAACCCTGAAAACACAGCATCCATGGCATCAACACAACATGTTCCTCCTCCACAACCAGATCCACTACCATCATTACCAACGACTATGACATCACCGACCACGATTCAATACGATGATACATCGATAGCAGCGACGACGCCACAATACAATGACACCACAACATACAATACACAAGGTCGATCTATTACTTTTGCTACAGCTGCCACAAGCAATGGATACTTGTTACAACAAACGGATGCCCTACAAGCATGGAGATCTCAGCAAGCATCAATGACTAGCTTGAGCAGAAAAACCAGTCGAAGCAGCATGGGTGGCGGTGGTGGTCCTTTAAGCAGAAGCAACAGCCGTAGTAGTAATGGGCGTTATCAATATCGTAGTCGTACTAGTTCCTCATCTGGAAGTGCGATCACGCTTTATTCCAACAGCGAGACCCATCAATGCATCGTACCTGGTTGTAACAAGACGTTTTCACGTAAAAGGGATATTTGGCGACACTTTTTCTTTGTGCACAAGGGAATGCCTTTTATGCACATGGGTGCTGCTATTATGTCAGGTTGGCAATTCACTTGTGAGAAATGTGGCAAGGATTATTCAAGGAAGGATTCACTTAAGCGACATCAACAAAAGAAGCATCCTGAATTGTTTGGTTCTTCCTCCACCTCCTCTTCCTCCTCCAAGAATAAGAAATAAGCATATAAGGACCCCTCCTTTATTCTGCATCTCTCTTTTTGCATTCCATTTCTACTATTACTATCATCATTGATATACATGCATTTCCCCTTTTTGCGTCGTATTACGGCTTTGTATATAGTTTCCATTTGCACACACACACACACACATAGTATCATACTACACACAATAAAGCCATCCGCATCCGTCTGCCAATCACAAATGGGAAAAAAGTCCCGCTGGATTTTTTGGATGACGTTCAATTTTGTTTTTCAGAGGGGTATTGCTGCCCAATCCACCGCACACACAAACTTGAACCTCCCCACTCTGCACACCACAAACACGCAATGACCGCCAACGATAACAACGATTGCCTTTACAATGCTGGCAAGACTACCGTCATTTCCGGCTCTCTCGGTCTCGTCGTGTCCGCCATGCAGAACACTGTACAAAAGCACACCGAAGGCGCTAAAGGCGTCTTTACCAGAACAGGAGGCACCATCGCGCTCTTTGGTAATTAAACACTCGCGCAATGCGTCTAATCTTTCGCCATTCGTATTGCTGACACTCGACCTATTCATATACGCTTTATTCAGCTGCCATGGGTGGTATCTTTTCGTTGACCGAGTGCGCTTCCAAGAATATCCGTGGTGAGAGCGATCCATTGAATGCTGGTATTGCCGGTTGTGCCGCTGGTTTGGTGGCTGGTCTTAAGAGTAAGTATACAAGACATACATATGGGAAACGCCATGGAGTAGAAACAAGCTGACGACATTCCTTATACGATAATAGCCCATTCGATTGCCAAGATGTGCGCTGCTTGTGCAGGTGTTGGTGCTACTATGTACGCCTACGAAGCCTCTGGTGAATTCAAGGGTCTCATGGATGGAAAGACTCAACAGGAAAAGAAGGATTACAGAGACTCGTTCTTCAAGGGTTATAAGAAGGCTGAAGAGCAGGCATAAGCATCTCAATCTCATTCATACGCCATCGCCACTATTTCCCTCTCCTTGCCATTCTCTCGCTCGTTCTAGATTTTCCCCCATCAACAAAATGTGTGTTTGAGCCAACATATAAAAAATCTGTCTCTGCTTTTTTTTCTCGGATCAAACAGAAAAAACGTCATTATTATGGGTTCATGTGAGATATCTTCGTAAGGGGCGCATTAAATCTCGATTAAAGGCGACTTCAGTAAACTTATCCGACGCTGATGCTCGAGCATTGGATGCCATTGCCTTGTATTCTTGATCCGATAACGAGAGTGCTTCATGCAAACAATCGGCAAACGTATCAACAGTATTGGCCAAGTATCCAGTCCGCTTTCCATCATATTCAGTGACAATATCCAACTTTGGTCCTGCTGATTTGTGGGCTACGGGGATCAATCCTGCTGCCTGTTCCATCATCTTAATTAGCGTCTTCTCGTTATCCAAAGATCCCTGCTACTTACCATGTATTCAACAACGACAATACCAAAATGCTCATTCCACATTGTATGGAAGCCAACCTTGGACGTGGTTAAATTGGAAACAAGTACATCAAACGCCGCATTCACTTCAAATCGTACATAGTCCTACAAAGAACCCGCTCATTCAATATGACTCGTTGCTTGATACCTATATCCATTATTACCTGTACTCCCAAATCTTTGGCTTCTTGCTGTAGATTCTTGATTCGATTTTCATCTCCTTCATTGCGTGCACTTCCAATGAGAACCAACTCAAAATCAGGCGTATCTCTCCATTCAGGATGCTTCTCCAAGAGTTTAGCTAATGCCTTGATTTGCATTGAATGATCTTTCTCTGGTCTAAAGAATAAAATGTTACATTAACGATGATAATGGTTGCTATCCAATGATTCACGTACCTGAATTGAGCCACACTAACGATCTTTTGTTTACGACCCTCAAGGCTGTACTCGTTCAAGCGATCCGTATCACATGGTGGATACACAATATCGGCGTCGGTGCGCCAAAGACTGTCAATGTGTCCCTTTGTCCACGATGAATTCACCATCACAACCTCGGCAAACGATCCACACCAGCTATAAATGCGTGCAAAGATGCGGTAATAACTGCAAAGAAAAAAGTCAACAAAGGCCCTTTGATATTGCTACTCATTCTCCTTGATACTTACATCATTTTACCAGTGCTCCATATAGCATTCTGTGCTAGTCTTTCGTCGTTGTTGTATTGGCCACGGCGCTCATACACACGTTGTAACATATCTGAGCTAGTAAATTGGATATAAGAGTGGGCCAAATATGGATCATGATTATCAATCTTACCTGACGGTTGGATAATGGACATAGGCTGCAATTTTGACATGTGAAAGGTAATGAACAACTGGATATGTGAAAGCATAGCCCATGGTATCTATAGTAAGCGTGCGTGAAGAAAGTTCAGTACAAGTATGCATGATGAGATGTAATTAATGCGGATGTACTTACCAAAGAAAAGATCAGGCACCAATCGACTGATTGCCTCATAACCCATCACCATGGATGCCAGACTTTGCATAATCAACGTGAATCGAGGATAACTAAACAAAGGATATTAGCCTTTCGATTATTGATACAAGCGTGTGCAAGTCTTACCGATCATCCTCAACAAGGTATCGTGTATACAAGGGGACAATCGCTAATGTTCGAGGATTGATGTCAATACCGAAATTGTCCTACCAAATCATTGTATCAATATACGCCAATAGTTGATAGGTTGATGGCATACCTTTGCTTTGAAAAGCATTTGCTCCTTGGTAGCATCGGTATCGCCAGTGTACACAACGCAAATAACGTGAGGAAACTCCTTTTGAACGTCGCGAATAGCTGTCCACAAGACGCGTTCACCACCACCTCCTGCATTGCTGTCGAAACAAAGGTGAATGACAATGCTCTTGTTGTATGCTGATGAGCTTACCAGTATGGGTGGAAAAAGCCGAGGAAAATAGGTTCAGTGTCAAGAGATGGGTTGCCGAGCGATCCCAGTATACGCTGCCGATTCAGTTCCACATTGTTGAGCGTCCGTAAACGGATAAACCGATAAATGAGCCATGTTGCCACCAACGTTGCCGTAATCCAAAAGGTGATGGCCATTTTGAGCGAACAAAGCGTCAGGTACGACCGGCTATGCGGTGGTTCTTTGTGAAGGTGCTTTCGGTCAATTAAAAAGAGAGCAGCAAATCACGTTACTAGAACTGAATCTCTTATCGTAGGTTTACGTAGCTAGTCAGCATTGATCGATAGGCATCAAAATTAGGCATCGAATAGCTTTGGTTAGATGTTTGCATAAGAGTCAATTACAAGAAGAATGTATACAATCGCATGATGGTTTCTTTGTTTTGCACACAATTGATTATGCGAGGGAGGGAGAAGAGTGGTGCGTGATTATCATTGAAGTGAGCTCCTGCCTGCAACATTTGGTCATTTCAATTAGCTCATAAAGGGAGATAATGAAGTTTCATTGTGTATTTTCACCATAATCCTTTTGCCGTACATGCCATTGTTTCAAATTCATTTGAATGTGGTTATGAATGATAGATGAACCACTCACTTGTTTGATGTTGCATGGTAGCAAGCCAAGCTGGCATGTAACGAGGAATTGATGGATCATCTTACATAGTATGCCACAGCTCATTTGAATGTATGGGTTCTATCCTCAAGCATACGTGCTATATTGGAAAGGCTGTAGATTAGCCACGTGGCAAACCACGATACGTACACCTCTCATCCGTTTGATCCTGTAGAACACCCATCATCTAGTAGTACAGATCGAGAACTCTCTGGTGCACAATATTTAATGTATATTGCTATTTACATTTATTGGGTGCAAATGGTGGTGCTATTACTGGTGGTGGTGGTGGTTGTATCTACTTCGGGGGGATTGGCGGTGTTCATAGGAGTAGGATTGTTGTCATTGTTGTCTTGCTGAGATGGCTGATCTTTTTCAATTGGCGGGTCATATCGTGTAATCAAGTGCCGTACTTGATCCAAGTATTGAGACACATCCTCCGAGGGTAAAAACATGTTTGCTCGTAATGAATCCAAAAGCTTGTCTAGCCTGGTTCGGGTCTCGTGGAAAATTTCATGCATATCCACTTTGCTGTGCAACATGTTAATGTCTTGTGCACTCCTTCCCCATTATCTCTTTCCCACTTACTGCTCATAATCCTTGAACTCTTCCATCAAGTGCTCGAATTCTTTCATGACACTGGGTGATATATGATCGGTTTGGATTACAGTGCGACGACATGCGTATGGGAGTCCTAGGTTTCATGTTAATCCCGATAGCCATACCCAAATACCATATCCTTTGACTCACTAAATTGCTTGGTCTCGTTCCAGCGAGGACTGATGTGTAGATATTGTATTATTGAATGATCGCTGACAATGTCTGGATCGTAAGGTGTGACAATCACTCCAATAAATGGCTCGTCTCCAGTATCCTGATGCCGAAAGAGAGTCTAACAAAGTATACTTTAGTCGTTAGCTTTGTATAATATGTATGCGCACATGGCACTCTACCTGATATGATGTCTGATTCTCGATATCCCGTATACTTGGTTGTGGTTCAAAAGTAGGATGCGAATGGTACCAGCCAACAACGCCATACCCTTGCTCTGCAAAGACCTCACGTGCCCTCATTTCAGATTCCGGATCCATTTCACACTGGGAATATCATTAGCCCTAATCTCGTGCTTTCCATCAGTGATCTAATCCCACTTACTTGAATACCAGTACTCGTGCTACGACATGGGAATACACTCTGGACCTTGAGAAGCTTCACTCCATCTCGTACAACATAGTTGCCTCCAAGTAAACCAATAATCTCGGTATGTGCCAAATGTGAATGAAAATCCATCACAAGCTAATAAAGCATTGATTGGTTACCAAGGTACAGGCATACAAAATTAGCACATACCAATGCATCGCTTGTTATCTCCACTCTGAATGGTGCAGGATCTTCGTCGCTGTAGTAATCCACTGGTACAAGACGAAAGGGATCATAGCCGCGGCCAAACTCATCGCTGTTGTAATGCTTGGGTCGTTTGATTATCCGTTTAGGTCGTGACATGTCTGAAACAATAAAGCAATAAGTATGATGCAATCAAGGGGCTCAATGCTGCGCTTGCTCTTGGCTAATTTTTTTTACCTTTTGGTTTCCCATGTTCAATAACACGTCCTTCAAGCTCTTTTGGATCGACCCTGTTGTAAGTGTTGCACAACATGTTTGTGAGACTCGACTGGAGTGAAGCATTCCAGTTGGTCATATGACGTACCATTCTCCAAGTTCATTTCGAACTTTCCGTTTTCGTGGCCTAGTAAATGTTTGTATAAGCAACACGGAATTGCATCATTCTCTCTCTCCCACGTGCTGCTGGTATCGACGACGCCACTTACCCTTCATAGCCAATGACCAAATCTGCTGCAGCAAACATATCACCCTCATCCTCATCGAATGTTTTTTGAGCTATTCGCTTGGGTGGTCGTGGTGCATTGTTGATACAACCGACATTGATGGCTCCCACGCTTTCCAAATACTCGTGTACACGTCCAATCGCATTCACATCACCACAATCCTTAAGGCCCTTTCGTGCTGATGTTTTGGTCAGATAGCGAGGTCGACAAGCCTTCCATCCATCGAGTAAATGATTGCGAATCTTAAGATAGCGATCAGGTGTCTTTGATGCCTTGTTCTTGAACCATTCTGGATTGTTGGCTTTCTCATCTTCCCCGATAACGTATCTGTCAAATTGCTATATGAGACACACAATATGAGTAAAAAAGCGCATGTGCCTTCCCATGAGATCACTCCAAGCTACTAACCGTTTCAGAATCATCCTGATGTTGATCCATTATCTCGCTTTCCTCCATTTTGATGTCAACCTCCTTTGGCTCATCAGGATCCAGTGGTATCGTAGCGGTCGCTATTGGATGCGGATCCTCTTCCTCTTTCAATGTTGTGGTATGATCCTCAATTGAATTGTCGTCTGTTTTGCTGGAAAAAACCTCCTCCTTTTCTGGAGTCGAATCCCTTTCCTCTGTTGTCTCCGCAATGACATCCTTCTCATCCATGGTATCGATCTTCTCTTCCTCTTCCTCCTTCTTCACTTCCACATCCTCTTGTTCTTCGGTAAAATGAATGTCTGGCACCTCTTGATCATCATCCGATCCTTCAGTAATAGATATATCCTCATCGTCCTCATCCATGACGACGTTATCCGTATTAAGTGGCGTTGATGGCGTTGTCTCCAATCTGGGTGCAGTATCATTATTTGGAGAATGTTCAATGACGGTTTCTGGGATGGTGGTATCTTGGCTCTTTGTCGACTCGACTTTGGATGCCTATAACATAGAAATCAATCAGCTTTTCATCCATCCAACGATACCACGTGATTGAATACCTTGTTGTCAGATGCCGTCCAATGCCTTGCTCGATTCTTGCACTGTAAAGGATTTCGAGTCTTGACATCGTTGGCAATTGCCTTCCAATTTCCATGGCCATGTGTGTTCTACTCATGCCAACATCAACATCCTATTCTTATCGATCATCCTTGACTTACTATTGCCTCACGTAATCGTTCATCTTCATCGGCAGCCCAACGTGTTTTGTGTGATGGAAGTGATGCGGATGATCTTGCTGATATGAAATAAGTACAATGAAGCATGGTTGCATACAAACGCATAATGAAGACAACAACAAACCTTCAGGCTTTGGTTTCTTTGATGGCTGCTTTTTACGTTTGCTTGGAGAAGACATGGTCGCTAGCGTATCGTTGCCGTAATAATACTGTTCCTCGGCAAGCATTTGTTCAATCAGCTCTCGCGATCGATCGTCCATATCCTATGGTGAAGCGTTGTGCCTGACGTTAGCTTTCTTGCTAGAATGAGAACTGGGATAAAGCATTCTATATTACATTATGGAAGTGCAATGGTGGATCAACCGATTCTGAAGATATGGTCCTAGTTGGAGAATGGGGAGACCGCGTCAGTTGATCAGGATTGGGTACAATAGCTGACGATCGACTCACGTGAGTGTCTGATCGGTGGGTATCGTTGAAGGTTCATTGGAGATATTGTCGTCGTCGTCAATGTCAATGAATTCGTTTTCGTCGTCGCGGTTCATTGGAAGAGGGAAGAGTGAGAAAACAGCAACGTATATGGAGAGCGGGTGAACCTCTGTGAAAGACTTCAATGATAGCCCTTCCACCCACCACCACCACCACCTCCACTGCTCATCGGAGCATCAAAAGCACAACCAAATCGTCCTTTGTACTATCCATCATTGACCACCCGTTTGCATGAAATACATCAGAGGATACCCGACTTTGAAAAAAATCCAGTATACCGGTACATGAGGCATTTATCACATTGGTCAACCAGCAATCAAACACTGCAGGTTAGATAAACGTGTGAGTTTTTGGATGTTTCCCACCATTTACAGCCATGTATGGTTAAAAAGAAATAAAAAAAGAAGGTTGGCAAGGAGAGACTCGATGCATGTTATCAACGGGAAAAAAGAATGCACCTCGTAGTAGACCAAAAAGGAAAAACATGGTGCTTGCTTACAACATGACAAAAAGGGATGATCTATACATACAACTTGCCTGTTATCATCACCATCACCACCAGCCAACCATCGTCAGATGACTTTCCTCCTCCATGTTGTTGGTCAACAAAGAGCGTTCATCGAGCCAGCGTCATATTGCATCTTTTTTTGTTGATGCAACACATCAGGCCAATTGTGCCAAGCACTCAACAAGAAGATGCTCCTTACATGATATCGCTGCGATGAAAGTGCTATTTGCACGATAACAATAAAGTTGCTCAGGTTATTGACAGCGTTCATTAGAGTCCAGTGTTTTTTAAGTATGGGTTGAAACATGAGCACGCGCAAGAAAAGGATATGTACGAAAGAGTGGCATATGCAACTCGGCGGGAGGCACGTGTGATGAAGCGATGTGTTTTTGCAGATCAGATGAATCACAAACGGGATCCTCCCCATTTGCAAGCAACATCCTTTGTTTCACAATTTTTCTTTCTACATGCCTGCAGCGAACGAGTGGGAACCTCGACTATATAAAGTGGAGATCAAATCAACCACTTTAAGCTTTCACTCATATCCCTTCCCCTCTTCCTCCTTCCCTTCTTGTCACTTTTTGGATACACATTGCAAGTGCCCAAGAGTTATCTTGTCTCCATAGCTCATCTTCTATCAGCACCATGTCAGCTAAAAATGATCCAGGGGACAAAGTCCTCGAAGGCACTATCGAAATGAAGGCTGAAGTCACCAATGAAAAGCCGTTGCGCAACACGCGTGATCTTCCTGATATCAAAAACCTTACCGTGGAAGAGTTGTATGACAAAGACAAGTATGATTTGTCCACCATGGAGCCTGGCGATGTCTTTGTCTTGCTACAGTAAGTGTTGTATCATTAACCTGCATACATTTACCAGTCATTCACCCATCATCTTTTCGTTTTCTTTGATAGAACGTCATCTGAAGGTCTCACCTCCAATGAAGCTGCAGCTCGTGTGGAGAAGTTTGGATACAACAAAATCGAGCACAAGGAACAAAATCCATTCTTACAATTCCTTGGTTTCATGTGGAATCCTCTATCATGGGTGATGGAAGCTGCTGCCATTGTTGCTATTGCTCTTTCAAACGGCGAAGGCCGTCCACCAGATTGGCCTGATTTTGTTGGCATTGTCTTGTTGTTGTTGGCCAACTCCTTGATTGGTTTTCTTGAAGAACGTCAAGCTGGTAATGCTGTCAAGGCCTTGATGGAAGCACTGGCACCCGAATGCAAGGTTAAACGTGATGGCGAGTGGCAAACAATGGAAGCTGCCAACTTGGTACCAGGCGACATTATTAGTATCAAGCTGGGTGATGTCGTGCCTGCTGATGGTCGTCTTATCACAGCTCATGGTGCAGTCTCAATCGATCAAGCAGCTCTTACAGGCGAATCATTACCAGTGGGCAAAGAAGTTGGCGATGAGGTGTTTTCAGGATCAACGGTGAAACAAGGCGAAGCCGAGGCAGTGGTGATTGGTACTGGTCTCAATACTTTCTTTGGTCGTGCAGCCAAACTTGTAGGCGAGGCTGGTGATGAGCTTGGTCATTTGCAAACCATTTTGGCAAGCATTGGTAACTTTTGCTTGTGCAGCATTGGCATCTTCGTGGTGCTTGAGATCATCATCATGTATGCAGCGTTCCATTATTCTTATCGGCGTGGTATTGACAACATCCTCGTATTGCTCATTGGCGGTATTCCAATTGCCATGCCAACCGTCTTATCCGTTACCTTGGCGATTGGTGCCAAACAGCTTGCTGAACATAAGGCTATTGTCACTCGCATCACTGCTATTGAAGAAATGGCAGCTGTTACCATCTTGTGCTCTGATAAAACCGGTACATTGACCTTGAACAAGCTGATCGTTGATAAGCCCACCGTCAAGTGCTATGCTGAATTGGATGCAGATGAAATCATGCTGATCTCATCATATGCCTCGCGTACTGAGAATCAAGATGCCATTGACTTTTGCATTGTCAACTCATTGCCTGATAGTAAGCAAGCTCGTGAAGGCATTGAAGAACTTGAATTCAAGCCGTTTAATCCCGTTATCAAGCGCACGGAGATCACCTATAAGCGTCTATCCGATGGCAAAGTTATGCGTGCTACTAAGGGCATGTCGGCATTCATCATGGATTTGTGCACACGCAACAAAACGGATCAACAAATCAAGCAGCTCGAAGAAGATGTCGATGAATTTGCACGCCGTGGTTTACGTTCACTTGCTGTTGCTGTGGATGAGGTCCCAAGTGGAGATCCTGAAGGTGAAGGTCTTGGTTTTCGACTCGTTGGTCTGCTTCCCATTTATGATCCTCCTCGTTCTGATACCAAGGAAACAATCGATCGTGCCATTGCATTGGGTGTGCAAGTTAAAATGATTACGGGCGATCAATTGGCTATTGCAAAAGAAACCGGTCGTCGTCTTGGCATGGGTGATGACATGTACCTTTCCCAATCTCTCAAAGAAGGTCCACCACCAGGATCTGGATATACCACCGTGGATGATCTCGTGCTCAAGTGTGATGGCTTTGCTGGTGTGTATCCCGAACACAAGTATGAAATTGTTGAACGATTACAAGCAATGGGCCACATGACAGCTATGACAGGTGATGGTGTCAACGATGCACCAGCACTTTCCAAATCCAATGTGGGTGTTGCCGTTGCCGATGCATCCGATGCAGCTCGTTCAGCAGCCGACATTGTATTGACCGAACCAGGTTTATCAGTCATCATTGAAGCGTTTGTTCATTCACGTCGTATCTTCCAGCGAATGCGAAATTATTCAATCTACACTTGCTCGGTCACCATTCGTATCGTTGTTGGTTTTGCTATTATGTGCTTTGCTTTCGAGTTTGATTTCCCACCTTTCCTTGTGCTGATTATTGCTGTCATCAATGATGGTACTATCATGACCATATCCAAGGATCGCGTACGTCCATCACCTTTCCCTGATAGCTGGAATCTCTTTGAGATCTTTTCTTATGCGATTGTCTATGGCCTCTACCTTGCTGCTTCAACCATTGTGTTCTTTGCCGTTCTTTACAAGACGTCGTTTTTCCAAACCCACTTTGGTGTGCAAAACTTTACCGATCCAAACGATCCAGTATTACACGCGGTGATTTATCTTCAAGTGGCATCCATTTCTCAAGGTCTCATTTTTGTTACTCGCTCGCATGGATTCTTTTTTATGGAACGACCATCAACATTGCTCATGTGTGCATTCGTTCTAGCACAAATTGTGGCGACATTTATCTCAGTGTATGCACAATGGGGATTCACCAGCATTCAAGGTAGTGGCTGGACATTGGCAGGCATTGCATGGGTATGGAACTTTGTTTGGTTTCCTCCCCTCGATTGGCTTAAATTTGCTATGCAACGTGTATTCCGTCCAAAGTCAACAGCTGCCGCCATCCAACAAGGTGCTGGTGCCCCTCGTTCGAGACGCTCATCCATTGTTTCCACCTCAGCATCAGCACGCTATTATGCCAATCGCACACGATCACTACGTGCTCTCGAACGTCCTCGTAACTTTGGTCGTCGTTTGCTTGGCCTCAACAAGAAATTGTCCATGGATCCAACGGAGTTACGTCGTTTCTCTTCTATTCAGGTACAATTTTGTGGTCCAGCATGAAACAACCAGCACATGTACTAATTAACATGAATGCATTGTGTACTTTGTTGTAGACGAGTCAAGCCGCTCAAGTGCTCAACAGTGGCAACAACAACAACCGATCATAGCTCTTATCATGATTGCACGTATCTTTTACTTCAATCCTTTTCCCTTTGTGCTTATTACAATTAGAAGTGTATATAATAAGTGTTGATGTAATAAGATGGAAAATTGTAACACCTTCCTGGTTGTTATGCTTCTTTGTTTTGATGAATGTATTTAAAGAAATCATAACGCTCATGGATGTGAGCCTGCAGCATAAAAGTCTTTGCTATATGGGCTTAACTCTCTATCTTCCACATCTCCATCTCCATTGCAAACGACTATATATAACCCAAATTGCAATCTCATTTATTGTTAAGCTATCTATGATAACCTTTGCCGTTTCTTACTAATATGGTTGCCGAGTGAGTCTGCGTCTATTTCATCTTTGTGTTCGAGCTTGCCATTTGTCTCAGCCTCATGTCGATACTTTTTCATAAAAGCCTGCATGTCCTGCTCAAATCTATTCTCGTCAATACTCTTGCGTATAGATGCCATGAATTGCTCCAGCTGGTATACGTTATGGCTATCATTAAAATAATAAGTCAACCAGTCTTCTCATGCACCCATAATAAGCCATACCTCATTAATAGAAGCGGTCCAAGCATTTCGTGAGCATTGAGGAGATGGTGGATATATGCCTGAGTATGGGGTGTGCTGCAGGAATAACATTTACATGATGGATCAATGGGATCAAACGTCTGGGATAGCTCCTTTTTCCACAAATTGAGTGTCTTTTCTTCAGGCTCGCTCTGGGTCTCAAGATCGGCCGTTTCTCCAAACTTGAAGATGATAGCTCTACCCTTCTCCGTCATTTGATATGCGTAGCTCCCATCGAAAAGGTCAATTCCATTTGTAATTCCTTGGAGGATCTTCTCTATAGAAGAATTAGCCTATCCATAATGGTTATGTAATCGTCGTAATTTACCTGGAGTGGATAATCCATATGCTAGTCTTGGTTTGTCCTTTGGTAAGTGGTCGATGGTTGTCTTGAAGCATTTATCAATTTCATCATCCTTGAGTTCAAAGGCATTGAGGATGAAACCTTCCCCATGGACAAGAAGTGAGATGATATCCACATATCCTACATACTCTTTCCTTCCTACATACCTTGAACATCCTTTTCGGCTGTAGCAAAAGCTGAACGCACACGCTCTTCCTCATTGTTGTATCCAACAACAGGGGCCATAATGGGTATATTGAGCTCCTAATTGGATAGACGATCTTAGGATCATTGTATGCAGCCTTTCCATCCGTATAATAATAGTACCTGTGCTTTGGGCAAGGATTCATTCAACCATCGCAACGTGCGATCCACACCCTTGATGATCCGCTTCGATTTGATCTCTTCACCAGCCTTGACGGTATCTGCAAATGGAGCGCACCAATCGGGTCGATATGCATTCAAGGCTTTGATCCAAGTCTCTGTAGTGATTCTCTGCACACCACTATTTGTATCAACAGCGATAAACTTGTCAGAATTGGCAGCCGTCGGCGCTAATTTGATGGGATCACGCACATCCAAAAACAACAATTGATCCTGTAACACCCATCACCCATTAATGGCCATGCATAAGAATACAATAGGTGATCGACAAACCTGCATGTTCAAGTACTTGTGTAGGCCATGTGGATAGTTGAATGATGGCGGCTCCTTTTTATCCACGCTATAATGAACCATGGAATCAATATGGCTGTTGATCGCTTATCATAGAATAGGTTCTTACAAATGATCCAATGATACTTGAACGGACTCGACAGGTAGTTGCTTCAAGTTGTCAGCCACCAAATGAGGTACCGATCCGCGTAATGTGTATGTGAGACAGGCTGGCGTTTGAATGGTCTTGTTCTTTTGTGCGAAATGGACTGATCCTCGACGTAGCGACGTTGCATTCTCGGCTGAATGGAGGTTGAAGATGCGCATCCTGCTCATGAAGCTGTTGACGTGGTTTGTTTTGCGCAAGAGTAAAAATTGGTAGTGTGGTGACACAAGGCGAGTGTCATTGTTGTGGAGACATGTGGTGGTGGCTGCATTGAGAAACAAAGAGCCTCCTACTTCCCCAGCAAACTCAATCCTTCATTTTCTGTGTTGCCACATGGCATTCATTATACGTCCTACACACACGCACACGCTTGTTTTCATGTACGTATCACGTGCTCTTTTCTCTCTCACACTCTCTCACATGCAATAAAGAGTCGTTGTTTTGAAGAACAGTTGCTAGACTTTAGTGCTGCATAATTCTGCAATCAATGCGTCCATTCCTTATACAGTATGATTTATAGCACAACCATGCTCGAGATGATGTCAATAGCACGTAATACGCCACAATGACTTTTACATGGACGCACCGTGACCATCCTCTTTCAAGCGGCGGTCCATGCAATATGATCTCAGAGAAAAAGATATCACCGCCCCTTGTTGATGCTGTTTATAGACCATCTGCTGCACTACCACGTGGATGGATGCTGACTTGAATGCATATACCCTATTGGCAGAATTCCTCCTATCATTACTATAGAAAAGCTGATCCAGATCGTTGGTATAGGTCATAAAACACATCCATCATTTGAAACAAAGTTGCATTTTCAATTGGCAATGATGCTCCCTTTAGCTCTCAAACATACATTTACGCAGTCATCACTCAGCTCAATCTCCGGCCAGGAGGTTAGTGTATGTGTGCGCGAATGAGAGCATTGCAGTGTGCTATGTACCTTTGTAAGCAAGGAAATACAAGGTGGGGGGAGGATGTCGACAACGTAAATACAATCCCCAAGCAAACTAGTGATCGTTTCAGCAAAATGAATATCCTTATTTGACCTCGTGTAGCATACGAATCAATATCCAAAACTGCAATTGAAGTTGCCATGGCTATGTAATTGCCAAGAAAAAGCGGGTGAAGTATGTTCATGATATAACTTTGGTGTTTGCTCGGGAGCAAAATCGGATATGTAATGGGGGAGTGAAAGTATTTTGCTTTTTTTGTCTCTTTATTGCCTCGGCTTCTGCCTCAGATTTAAACTCGTGTGTATATACCCACATTTAGCAAAAAAGACCTCCAAGCCCGCATTTGCTGCTTACAAGGATATGCTGTAGATGACGCTTTATACTACATCCACAAGCCATTAGCATTCTTGATTAGATGACCAATGTGTCCACCAAGGAACCGATATTAGTACCATGGCATGATCATTGTTGTACCTAGTGCAATGTCCAGAACTCAAAGTTGCAACATGTAAACATTGAATGTACACATAAGCTACCATTACAGTCATTGTGTGACATTGCATTCAGGGATTTGACTCAAAATAAAATCAGTGTAACATACGAGACATGACAAACCAGTGTCCTCAGTTAAGGCGATATTATCAAAAACGGGCAAAACGAGACATACTTTTATAAATGTTGCACGAGCTTCATGGCGGCGAAAACTTATCCCCCTTCCGTCAAAGTGGTACCGACGAGGGGCACAGACAACACCACCATATAAAAGCAAGGGGACCCTTTTAAACATTTTTTCTTTCTTACTTCTTTAAGCTCCATTCCCTTTCCTTTCATTCCCCTGACTTTCCTTGTAACGCGCATTTCCCATTTCCCCCGTCATGCTCGTGAAAACCATCGCCATTTCCTTGGCTCTTGCTCAATCTGCCAACACCTTTGTCGCTGGTGTTGAGTACTGGAAGAACTTCAAGACTCAAGTCGACCCTACCAACATCACGATACCCAAGATTGATCAAACCACTTCGCTCGATCCTACTGCTCAATGCCAATACTACACTCCTCAAAATTTCGAATTTGATCAATCCCAATGGCCCAATGCTTGGGAAATTGCTACCAGCAATGGCATGAACGAGACCGAAGAATTCAAGAACCTTTACAACTCCATTGATTGGGACAAGGCTCCAAAGAACATCTCCGTTCGCGTTATGCTTGAGGATGGCTCCGTTGACATGAGTGGTAAGTAGTCTTCAAGTATCATGCTATTGAATATCATTGTTAAAACCTCTACTTAGATTATGATGAATCCGAGGATCCTGATTGTTGGTGGTCGGCCACTACTTGTACTGTGGTAAAGTATCCAAGTTAAAGATTCCATCATCATCAACATTGGTATTGATCTTTTATCATCATCACAATTTTGATAGCCCAAGCACAAGGATGTCAACGCTGATATTTACGCTTGCCCTGAACCTGAAACTTGGGGTCTTACCTATGACGATGGTCCTAACTGCTCGCATAATGCTTTCTACGACTTCCTCGAGCAAAACAAGCTCAAAGCTAGTAAGTTTTTATTGTCCATCCATATCACTCAAGATGAATCGTGTACTAAATACCGTTTTTACTTTCAGCCATGTTCTACATTGGTTCCAACGTTGTCGATTGGCCCTATGGTGCCATGCGTGGTATCAAGGATGGCCATCACATTGCCGATCACACATGGTCTCACCAAATGATGACCACTTTGTCTAACGAAGAAGTCCTTGCCGAGCTCTACTACACCCAAAAGGCTATCAAGATGGCCACAGGTGTGACACCCAAGCATTGGCGTCCTGTAAGTGATCATCGCGGTATCATTAGCAACGTACAATACTAACAATTCCATTATTGACAATATAGGCTTATGGTGATGTTGATGATCGTGTCCGTTGGATTGCCACCCAATTGAACTTGACCACTGTGCTCTGGAACCTTGACACCGATGACTGGGCAGCTGGTGAATCCGTTCCCAAGTCCACCGTTGAGAAGACCTACCAAGACTTTGTTGAGATGGGTAGCAATGGCACCTTCGCCACCAGTGGCAACATCGTTTTGACTCATGTAAGTAACCCACATTCATATCTGTTTCGGTAAGATCACATTATTAACATAACTATCCTAAAGGAAATCGACAACACCACCATGCAACTCGCTTTGGATTACCTTCCCAAGATCCAAAAGACCTACGATCACGTGCTTGACGTTGCCACCTGTATGAACATCACCCACCCTTACATTGAAGAAACCATTTCCTTCCCTTCCTTCAGCAAGGCCGTTTCCAGCAATAGCACCGCCTCTGCATCTGCCTCTTCTTCTAGCGCTGCCAAGAGCTCTGGTTCCGTTGCCTCTGGTACTACCAAGCAAGGTGCCGCTGATCCTTCCAGCTCTTCCATGAGTGAAGAGGCTTCTGGTGAATCAGGTGCTTCATCCATTGTTGCTGCCGTTCCTATCACTGCATTGATTGCAGCTGTTTCTGCCTTGTTCTTCTAAGTTATATGTACTAGAGGATCCCTCTTCAAGTGCAATAAGATTATACTCATTTCAAAACATCTCTAAACCCCCTTGTGTTAATTTAACATCAATGTAATAAAAGCTGTACTGATATATCAGCGTAACCATGAGCTCCTTTTGTGTATGCGTATAACAATTATCAGGTGTATTATGTAGTTCACAATGGCACACACTCAAGTTGAAAATTACTAGTGGCTAATCTTCATTATCACAGTGCTCTTAATGTCATGCATGCTTCTGTCATCGACAGCTCGCTGGGGAAATTAAATGGCGGGATCCAGCTGCTCCACGACTTGAGACAATGCGTCTCTTCTCTTTCCCCTTCCTCTGTTTTATCCCATTCACGACGTTGCGATCAAGGTAATGTACTATAAAGTAGTGCTCTTGTTGGCTGTGAGGTATTAATGTAGTTCTGAACATGCAATGTCAGGGAGTGAGCGTGTCAAAGTGCTGAGGAATGAGCGTGGTTGGTGGTTGGTGGTTGCCATGGCGATATTGTTGCTTCCTCTTGTTCGTTGCTATTCCTGCTCTATGCTTGGTGTCAACAGGTACATTCAGAGTCCAATGTTGCAGCGTAACTTGTTCCATTGACGTGTTAGCTTGTATAGAGGGCAAGTTTGGTCTCAAGACGTGGGCTCGTTTGGCGTTTTGTTTCGGCTCAACTATACTACACCATGGTTTTCGATTTCCAGTAACCAACAACAAAGGGGTGCTTGTGTATATGGAAAAGGCAAGTGCAATGAAACAAACAATGAAAAGGATGTTCATTGTGCGTGTGTGCTAATAATGAATTGAATAGGTTTCTTTGGTCAGGCAATGCAACTTGGGGCATCATCATCATCATCTCTTTGGGTTCAAGTCCCAGCCTGTATCAAGTGGTCGCTGCGTCGCTCTGCACTAGCCAAGTGTGCTGGAAAGCTTCTTGCAACGCGTCCAGGGCTCTATAGGCCTGCGTTTGAGTTGATGGGTCGATGACGATGGGTTGTTGGAAGAGCACGGTCACCGTGTTGAGGTAAAAGGGGATTTGCAACAGCTTGTGAATGTGTTTAACCAACACGCTCTTCTCGTGATAGGCTCGTTCTTTCCCTTGAGGATTTCTTTTCATGAGGTGGGAAATGATTGGAAGGATTGGATTGGGGATCATTCTTTCTTTGGAGAGGATGAATGAGGACAGCTATGAGCCTGGCCTCTACGTAAGTGATGTCCTTCCTTGCCATGGATCGAACTGGCCTTGTGTGATTCGTGCAGTGCTTTCTCAAGAACAAGGGGTCGCCCGACGTTGCTCGTATGGTGGTGATTTGATTTGTGAATTCCTTCTGATTTGCTTTCTTCCTTGGAGAGGATCGCCTAACGGTATACCAAATCATCATCATTCCCGGTATCAGACGATCTAACTTGGTTGGTTTTTATTTGTAGAGATGACGATTACGATGATTACCATATTCACAACAATGACGATTACGATGATCACCCCATCTACAACGATGACGACGATGACGACAACGAGATTCAAAAGGAAGCCTGCAAGATCCCATTCTTTTCAACTTGTGTATTTTTGGATGTTGGTGTGACGGATGAGATTGAGGACTGGTGACGAGTACCAGTAGGAATGGTGACGGAGGACGACTACGACGATGGTGGTGGCAATGTACAGTACATAGCAAGATAGCTAGATGAAATAAAGCATTGTTTATTTATTACACGCTTGTTGGAGGTTGCTAGCTTGTGGATTACATACTATTGCTTCGAAGATGGAATAATAAAGGTGGTCCGGTTACTGTATCGGTCATGCAAGAAGTATATGGCTTTTGTGATGCGATAAGGAGGAGTGGGAAGAGGGATGAGCTTGAGAAGAGAAAAAGTGAAGAGATCCCTCCATTGAGTTCCAGGATGAGTGACCCATTCACTATGTATATGTATCTTTTTACATATACAAATTGGTTTATGCAGCTCGACTTCCTTCTACGTGCAAATGTGATACATACCTTGACACACCTTCATTATTGGATGCTGTTTACTTACGTACCTTCACAAAAGGCAATCATCATCATCATCCATTTGTGTAGCAACCTGTCAAGGACGTGGTCTGTGTAACCACCACGTGCCGTTTCACTCAGCTCTTCATCTTTCCGTTAATGCAGCCGACACCATCCACTAGGAAAAAGCAACTCCATCACGCTTACAGCATAGGTAAGACATAAAGACGCCTGTATCTCCAAACTTTACAATGAAACGTGGGTTTTTTATTAGAGCAATGTGCTCGGCTTGGCCAACTGCACCTTGTGTGAAAATTCCGCGTTCAATGTCGCAAACAGCCCAAAAAATATTTTTTGGTCGTCGTCGTCGAAGAGGTCGACCCCCAGATCCAGTTTGGCTGGTGGCGACATTGCGATATCTGGGATTGGCAAGCTTGATCGTGAAACTTTCACACAAGGTGCAG